AGCGGCCAAACCGTAAAAGATAGATAAAGAGAATATTTAAGTTATAAGTTAAGAATAGTCTGATAAGACTACAAACCAGATTTGAGTAACGTAGCACGGTTTTCGAGAAATCACGAATTTCAAACGAAACCACACAAAATCTCCGAAGTTCTCTATTAATTAAATACATTTTTTTTTAATTCAGGTTTTGGTGAACATTTGGTTCACTGGTTTGCTAGTACTTAGATAATACAAATATGGAATTTTAAGATTATTTCAATTCCACGATCACCGTGACGGAGTGGCTTCCACACGAATTTTCATGGTGACGTCATATCGGGGTTCCCAGGGTAGCTCCTCTGTCTCATTAATCCAGAAAAATAACCGTTTTACATTGTTTCGGGTATGCGTTTGAGGTATCTAGGTAGGTATCTTTACAGCCCCCCTTCTTGCAGTTCTGACCTGCAAAGGGGGGGTGGCGGAGAGCTGTACTGGTACTCCCGTGCAGCCATCCGCAGCGGATGGGGGGCGGTATGGTGGGCAGTAGGCCGCGTACCCACCCCACACGCGCGGGCCTACCTGCGCACGTCGGCGGGGTCCCCGAAATAGCGCGGGAGACCCCGGCCGTGGAGCCCCGGCTAGGCCGGGAGGCTGCTGGGTGCGGAGCCGCGGAAGAATCCCTAAACGGGGATCCCGCGGCTTCGCGCTAAGCAGTGTGAGGTATTCGCAGGACTTTTTTAGCGGATATTATACCGTAAAGCGCCCGTAAGAGTTGCGGGTTCCTCGGTGGGTGGCTACCCACTGGGGGGGTCCGTAAGACTTGCGGGAGCCAGGTGTGAGGTCCGTTCGGCGGTGTGCCTCTTGTCCGTCTGTAAAAAGATTTTTTACCTGCGTTATAAAAAAAAAGGTAGGTATCTTTACTAGTTGGTAGACCAATGCTGGTATTTTATATGCGCATTGTGGAAGACCCAAATTAGGGTCGTCTGAGTAGGTAATTACAATTAGTAATACATTTCGACGATTATTCTAATAATTTTACTGAATGCAAAAAACGACTGATTCTATAAGTGTCATTTACTGTAGCTGTATTCTCGTCGTCTCGGAACTCTATGCCGCTCTCTTGTTATTGCAATAAATCAGAGAGAACCAAAATGGCAACTCCATTTATTTTTGTTACATTTCCGGTCAGCTACTTGTTTATTAATAAATTAATTCTATTGGGAAAGTTCTCGAAAATATAAAAATGTAATTTTAAACTTTCGAATTGTTTATGTTATTTGTTGTATGTAAAAGACATGTGTCCGTGCGATTTATTAATTAAAGTTTTGTAAGCCAGAATCTGGCATTGTTCTTTACACGCGTTGATCCATACCGGACCCTCTGTGGATCCGCGCGTGAAAATTTTGTAAGTCTTTACAGAATAGCATTACTGCTATCCTGGTGGCCACAAAAAGTTTTACCTATTGACAAGCGGACCTATTTTATTTAAACTTATCATCACACCACACACTCATCTTACGAAATACTAATACATCAAGCTATAACTATCTTATCATGCCCTGTATCAGATACGGTGTGTTAGGGAGCAGTCTTTCTGCTCATTCGATAGATTTTACACATCTTAGGTAATAGTTTGTGTCGGATCGCTTAATATATAGGTAAGTTCCATTAATTATTCATTTCTAATTGATAAGAGAACTTTCTAGACAAAAGTCTTTGACCAGTGTTTGTTATCAGTGATGACCTATGGAAGCAAAGCTTAGTCGATCTCATAAGAAAACTCAAAGTCGCACAGCGGGCAATGGAGAGAGCTATGCTCGGTATTTCCCTGAATAGAATCAGAAATATGGAAATCCGCAGAGAACTAATGTAGCTGATATCGCTAGAAGGATTGCTCAGCTGAAGTGGCAGTGGGCGGGATATGTGGCGTTGAGAGCCGATGACCGTTGGGGCGGAAAGGTTCTCGAATGTCGACCACGCACTGGACGCTGCGCAGTGGGCTGAGCCGCGGGAAGCCGATGCCAGTGGTGCAAGGCCGATCGGTGCAGATCTTTGGCGGAGACCTATACTCAGCAGTGGGCGTCATACACTGTGATGATGATGATGATGAAGAGAACTTTCGAGGTTCCCACTGGTGCAGTGGCTAGTGCGTTTGGTCTGTGGTTGTGGAAGTTATGTAACTTTCGCAATGGCCGGCCTTAGGACGGGTGATGAAGATTTTATTATCACGAATTCCTTCGTGCGTCAAAAGGCACATTAAGCCGTGAGTCCCTGCTGCATCTGCATAATTATATCAGCTGTTAAGCATTTACAAAGGTGGGTAATCGGCTGCATAGAGCAACACAGCCGACGCAGCTAGGAGGGATTGCCATAATGACATAATACTACTAAAATCATTCTGCCGCTTTTTGCGGGGGGAGGAATATGCACATAAATGCAGTCCAACATACTTTCGCAAAAAGGAAATTCTAATTACGACACTCGCACATAAAAAACTGACAACGCTAAATCGGGCATAGGTGAAACTTAAGTTTTTTTTCGACAGATCTGAAATTTGTACTGGCGAGTCGATTGTTTTGTCAAACAAGTCCGACGATTGAATTTTAACTAAATTATATGAATTTTGTGTTTAAAAGTGATTAAATTGAAATATTAAGTTAATAATTATACATCATCATCATCAGCCTATTAATGTCCCCACTGCTGGGGCACAGGCCTTCCCTATGGATGGAATAGGGAGATTGGGCCATGACCCACCACGCAGGCCCAGTGCGGATTGGTGGGTGCTAACGACTGCAGATGCAACCGGGACCAACGGCTTAACGTGCCTTCCTAAGCACAGAGGAGCTCGAGATAATAAATTTTTGGTCACCCATCCAATGACCGACCACTGCGAAAGTTGCTTAACTTCAACGATCGCAACCGAACGCACTAACCAGTTGCGCCATCGAGCTCCAATTATACATATATGTGAAATTGAACACCATCCTTTTGCAAGTTTAATATTCCAGATACGTTTTACAATAAATTACATAATATTTTGTGACTCAGTCTAGTGAAATATCCGCCGCGTTATGGCGCGATTACACTTGGCCGCTAGCCCGAAGTGCCAATGGAATTCGGGTAAACGACTGACTGTAAATGAAGGGAGTCGAGTACGCCTGTATTCGGGTAGATTTCCTTTTGTTTACCCAACACCGCCTTCCAGCCCGTATTCCAGTGTATATATTGCTTCGGGTGCCCGAATTCGGGCTAGCGTCCAAATGTAATTGCGCCATCAGACTTAATTTACTCTATGTAAACTTTGTTAAAACCATTATGAATAAATAAGGTAGGGCTTGTCAAAGAAAATATCATTTTAATGAGTTTAAAATTTCTCTTAGGTAATTTACTTAATTTAAAGAAACGGAAAGTGCTATATGTATGCTTATTCCATTACGTGTATCATAAAAAGTTGTAAAGAAGGCAAACATGTTCATTGTTGGTGTGATGGAAAGTTGCAGTAGGTACTTAATAAAATACATAATTATTGTACTTGCCCCGAGCGTGGCCGAGCGCAAGAGAGTTGACTGTCGCTCGATTTTATATAAATTTTTGTCAAATCCAGTATTACTGAGCCACAAAATCCTCAATAATGTAGGTTATCCGGCCTTTTAACCCAAATGTCCGGCCAAACTGGCTGGTCTGTCCGGCTATTAGGTTTGGCGGCCTGGCAAGCCTACTCGGGACTATATTTTTTTTTGAGTATTTATGCTGTTGGTCGCAGATGACCTTTACAGCGTCACCGGGTTTGGAACGACGAGTCCTACTCTGAGGTCCGAGTAGGACTCGTCGTCCCGAGAAGCCGAGAATTGGCGAGTGCCTCTAGAGGTAGAGGTATTCCAGGGGGATGGCATCGCCTCACGGGGGGAGTCCCCTCTCCGTTAAGAGCCTCTAGACCACTTGAATCTGAGGGGCGGGGGGGACTATAATTTCGTTTCATTTTTGTGAGTGGTACCCTTGGTACTGCAAGTGTCCATGGGCCAGTGACCACTTTTCGTCAAGTGGACTGCCACCTCTTTTGTTTGCATGTAAACATAAAAAATGCTGTCTTTATAAGTAAAGATTTTTGTTTTCTAGGTACAAATAACGGGCTGTTTTGCAATTGTTCTAGTTAAATGTTGTTATGGTAGATTTATCTAGTAATACCAAGTAAAATTTGCTGGGAAAAGTAATGTAGTAATTAAATTCAGAAATATGGATATAATAAAATTTCAACGTTGTAATTTCTTACGTGTATGCACCTTTTTTATCTTATAATTTTGTTTGAACAGTCGATCAATGCGTTTAATTTGAGGAAAAAGATTATAGTGAGTCAACCTTTAAAAGATAGAAGTGTGCTGTCGCGGACATTTTTTAAGGAACTTTTAAAGGAGAACAATTTATTCATACATGATTTTTGTGTAACTTGTTGTTTGCACAGCGCATGCATAAAAGCTCTGAAAATAAATATATATTTCCCATTTTCGCAACATTTTCTTTGATGATCTGCTCCTATTAGCCTTATCATGAAGTTATATAGCCTTATAACGATAAATTCCTCGATAAATGGGCTATCTTACAAAAAAATATTTTTTCAATTTGAATGAGTAGTTCCTGAGAATTGCGCGTTCAAACAAACAAACCTTTCAGATTTATAATATTACTATAGATAGTAAAGAACCTTCTATCGCTTTGCTTTGCTCTTAACTAGCTTAAAGATATATATTTTTTAAATAGCTTGAGTGGCGTGGAACTCTCGTTTGGAACAAAGTTTAAAATTATTATATTCCACCCACCAATCTGTACTGGGTCTGCGTGGCTTGTCATCTCATGGGCCAATCTCCCTAATCCATAAAAAAAAGGAATTCGACCCAACAATGGGCTCAGTGCGTATTCGACTCGGCGCTGAATGGGTCTTTTGCGGATCGGGCCCCGTGCGGATTGGGCTCTCCGCCTTCTCCTATCCGTCTCATATATATTTATATATTTTTTGTCTCCAGTGGCGGCAGAATGACGGAAGCGCCAACAGTGAGCGTGCAGCAGGGCCAGCTGCAGGGTAGGACGGTGAACAGTCCATCAGGGAAGGCGTTCTACAGCTTCCAGGGCATACCTTACGCGAAACCGCCACTAGGATCGTTCAGGTTCAAAGTGAGTATTATAATCATCATCATAATCCAGTTGTATGACACCCAGAACAAAGGACCAAGGACCTCCACACTGATCGGTCCTGCGCCACTCGCATTCAGCAGCTTCCCGCGATCTTCACAAGATCGTCGGTCCACCTGCTGCGGCGCCTGCCCACTGAGCGTCGTCCGGTGCATTCAAGAGCTTTTTCACCCCAATGGCCATTGGTTCTTCTCGCTACGTGTCCGCCCAATGCCACTTCAGTAGAGCAATTCTTCGAGCTATATCGGTTACCATAGTCTTCCTTTTTTTTTATTGACAATGGAAAATCCATTTACGGACCATACCGCGCGCGGGCTAGGCGCGCGACGTGTGTTGGACTCCCCGACGCGGAACAGCGCCGGTCCTACCCACTAAAAACCACCGGTACCCTCCTACGCCCTTGTGGGAGCGTCTCAGGATCGGCACACCTCTGTATGCGCCACTTCATTGGGACGCCCCCGGGCCGGCCCGGCCCAACCAGTGGACCGAGCAACACGCCTCTGGGGGATTGCGCTACGGTACTAGGCAATCCCTAGACGGGGTGGCCTAGGCCAAGCCGCGCCCAGACCACCTTAGGGCCGACAAAGATCGGCAGTCACGGCTACCTGCCGTCTTCGGCCCACCCGCGTCTACGTTACCATAGTCCTACGGATTTCCTCATTTCTGATCCTATCGGAGTACTATAATACTTGATTCTTTTTCTTAGGAATATACGTATTCTTAGTTCCTACTTGTACGAAGGCCAAAGGTAAAGAAGATCTTTTTCCAAGCTGGATGATGTTAGTTCGAGGGTTGCGGCCCGACTGATGATGAGTTAGCTTCCGAATTTCTCTCGCGCGATGTAGGCTTCATACTTTATAGTGTAGCGCCATCTCTTGACGAGGCGAGTGATTACCTTCTCCATGTTAGTTATATGTAGGGCGTATAGATGTCGCCGCCATATACTCTTCTTTCACGACCTCCGTGGTGGTATGGTATGTACACCTGTTTTAGTGTCGCCTCGCCTACTCGAACACGGCGATTGTCTCCAGCTGCAGGGTAGGACGGTGAACAGTCCATTAGAAAGAAAGAAAGAAAGAAAAGAAAGAAAACTGTTTTTATTGTTGACAGCACATAACATACACATAAAATACAAAAATACATTACAAAACGAAACGAACAAGTAAAATCAACAAACAATAAAAAACAGCTACAGAATGTGTATTTTATGTGATGCCAACACTGGATATGGCTCAGCATACACAACAGGTAAAATACCTGTTGCACTGGTATTCTGCCATACCCAGAGCAATGACATCACAGAAAACATTATTAAAAAATAAATATATATATATATACAAATTAATTACCTCCTAAATACAAATAGAAAAGAAATCACACTATAGGTCAGAATAGTCAGAATTGGTCAGAATACATCACAATATCTGTGGCAGAAAATTGCTTATGATTACAGAAGTAATCTGTGGTTGCTTACGACAGCTTGGGAAGGATTAGGGAAGGCGTTCTACAGCTTCCAGGGCACATATCACACAATCATCATCATCATGTCAGCTGTAAGACACCCAGAGCATACATAGGCCTCCCCCAAGGATCTCCACATCGATCGGTCCTCCTGGTGCGACGATGCCTACTGAGCGTCGTCCGGTGCGCGGTTGTCATTCAAGAACCTTTCCGCCCGAAGGGCCATCGGTTCTTCTCGCTACGTGTCCGCCCATTACCACTTAGCTCTTTCAGCTGAGCAATCCTACGAGCGATGTCAGTTCCTTTAGTTCGCCTGCGGATTTCCACATTTCTGATTCTATCACGCAGACCAATACAAAGCATCGCTCAACGAAATAACGTTTCCTTTAGTTACTTTCTTATAATGTTACATAAGTAGTTTGCATTGTGTGTGCAGATGCTGTTCATAGTTAAACTTAGAGTTATCATGGCGGTATCAGCCTCGTTGAGATTACTATTTTATCTCGCTAAGTAAACTGACGCCAGTATTTTTGCAAGATAATGTTTGATTTTGATGGAAGTCAGCGATAGAATATATTTAAAACAAAATGTAACTGGAAAAATATTTCATTAGTAATTTCAACTGTTTTAATTTTTATCCAATGTTTTAAATGTTGATAATGATAATAATCTTCTTTATAATAATTATCTGCTTTAATATTTCTGCTGGAGTGGAATTGAATACTATCTTGACTGAATAGGGATAATGATTAAGGTTTTTTCTATATCTATCAGGAATATTATCAGAATGTTAATTTTATTTTTTTACACAACCACAACATTACAGAGATATATTATTAAATTAACTTATACAGTAGGAACAGTACAGTACACACGCTTTATTATTAATCCTGAGTTGCTCATATAAACTTTACGCATTGCGTATAATGACGACACAGTATTGAGGACGTATCAGCCTTTATTTAATGAACTCTCAAACAGAGTCTCTCGTTATATTTCATAACCCGCGACTTCGTCCGCTTCAGCTTTAGTTTTTCGAAAATCCAACAGGAACCTAACATTTTTCCAGCATAGAAAGGATCCTATGCCTCAATCCAGATCATGAACTGTATGCGTACCTAACTTCAGCCAAATCCGTTTAGTAGTTTTTGCTTATAGACCGGGAGATGATGACACAACATACTTGGTCATTTGTACCAGTATGGCGGTTCTTCAGGGGTCTAATTACGTAAAGGCAAAAAGGAAAATGATGGTCATAGCGCTCGCACCGGCGGCCCAATCGCGTGGGCGTTAATCGAACGCGTCGGATAAATAACGAGTGTCGAACGATTTGTTCCACAAAAATGCTTATATTTTCAGATAGTCGAAAAAAAGAAGTAGGCGGTAGCGTAATGCCATACTTCTCGGGTGTGACTTACAGCCCGCCATACCGACGCGAATACATTAACTTAAATAAAACAATTCAATCATTTGTAATAATTTTTGCACAGCTAATCATCGTCGAGTAGCCATTCACGAAAATCACCTTGCCATACTTTTCCGACAGTTCCCAATGGCCGCCATACCGCTGCAAAGGAGTATTTTTTTTTTTTCGCCAAACGATTTGTACCAGTATTGCATTTGAATTTTTGGAAAGTATTTGGCAAAATGTGACCGTTATTATTTTTCCCATACTTCTAGTAAGGGGAAAAAGTGCTGCCATACTTGAAATACTTATTTATTTGACACGTTTTAAAAATACGACTGCAAAATACGTAAAATCATTTTTTACATCATGACATCATTGTATTCTCGTCATTTGGATGCAATTGTACGTAAAAAAAATTATTATAGATTGTAAACATGGGGCGGATGACTGTCGGACTTGAGCTAAAAGGTGAAAAAGAAAAAAAAAATTTGACGATTTGTACCAGTATGGCATTTGGATTTTTGGAAATTATACGATACAATGTGACCATTATTATATTTGCCATACTTGTAGTAGAGGGAAAAAGTGGCGCCATACTGGTACAAATCGTTCGAATTACGAATAAAATCTTGGGAATTTGAAAAAATATTGTTCACATTCGCCACCTCCCACAGGTATGGCATTATCAGACTTCTATTTATGATACAAAAGCCTGGTACAAATGGTTGAATTGTTTTATTTAAATTAATGTATTCGCGTCGGTATGGCGGGCTGTAAGTCACACCCGAGAAGTATGGCATTACGCTACCGCCTACTTCTTATTTTCGACTATCTGAAAATATAAGCATTTTTGTGGAACAAATCGTTCGACACTCGTTATTTATCCGACGCGTTCGATTAACGCCCACGCGATTGGGCCGCCGGTGCGAGCGCTATGACCATCATTTTCCTTTTTGCCTTTACGTAATTAGACCCCTGAAGAACCGCCATACTGGTACAAATGACCAAGTATTTTGTGTCATCATCTCCCGGTCTATTAATTGAGTAACAAACACTAACTAGAACATTTATAATATTAGTAGTATTCATATTTTATTACAGTAGAACCCGTTTAATACGATCACGCTTAATACGATTACCACACCTATTACCTCTTGCAGCAGCATAAAATTCAATGAGAATGTGAATAACACACAAAAAGATGCCCTAACTGATAATGATTAAGTAGAAGATGAGTCAACTCCGATTTTGTCTTCTTTCAACTTTTACAGTGCGTCTTCGCTTTGAATCAAAGCGCGCACTGTAAAAGTTTAAATTGTGTTGAAAATCTTGTATTTGCTAATGCCTCAAAATCTTTTTGACAAACTAAAATAAGTGATTAGTTTAAATAACGTAATAATAAATAATAATACACTACATTTTTTATTACATACATAATTCTTAAATGTTGTACATACAAATTCCAGATTTTCCTATCCCGCATAATACGCTTTCCCGCTTAAGACGCGTTTTTGGTTGAGGCCCTGTGAAATCGTCTTAAACGGGTTTTAATGTATTAGTAGGATAGAACGATTTTGTGACAAACTAATAATTTTGATGAGAGAGGTAAGGCAAAGCGGATTTATTGTCTGAGGATGCTAGCTCTACCTTACAGAAGACCAAAGTGAAATAACACTACCTCTTGGTGGTGTCGTGCTTCTGATGATGAGTAATAATAATAAATAATAATAAATAAATATTTCCAACACTCGCACCAATTAGCCTAGCCCCAAAGTAAGCACTACAAGGCTTGTGTTATGGGATACTAGGGTAACGGATAGAATACATATATTGTACATATATAAGTATATTTATATGGAAAATACATATTAAACATCCATGACTGGAGTACAAATGCTCGTATTCATCACACAAACATCTGCCCCCACCGGGATTTGAACCCAGGACCTCTCGAGTCGGCGACACCATCAAACCCGGCGTACAAACCACTCGGCCACGGAGGTCGTCGTAGTAGTTTCAGGGTTATCCGCAAAAGGGGAAGGAGTTAGGGTATATATGTGCTAGTGACACTTTAAGTATAGCAAGCATCTATAGGTTATTATGATCATAATCAGGCTACTAGTATCCCCACTGTGGCACGTGATACTCTGGTATCGCATGCGTCTATACGTTACATCATAAGCTTAATAGTGTTCAAACTGCTGAAGCAGAGGCCTTCCCTATGAATAGAATAGGGAAATTGGGCCAGGACCCGTCACACAGGTCCAATTCCGATTCTTGAGCGCTAACGACTGCAGATGAAGCCGAAACCAATGACTTAACGTGCCTTCCAAGGCACGGAGGAGCACGAGATACAAAATTTTTGTTCACCCATCCGATGACCGACCATTGCAAAGGTTGATTGATTTCCACGATCGCAGACAGAACGCGCTAACCCTTGCGACACGAGTTCCTCTGTACATAGGCCATAGGATATGGTGGGCGCTATTTGGTATGAGAATTAACACCAAATAGCGGCCACCATAACCCATGGCCTACAGCATATCGCCTAGAAATCATGACAAGATCATAAAAATAAATACTTTTTCCTTTCAGGCACCACAACCGGCAGAATCATGGGACGGTGTCCGCGACGCCACATCTGAAGGCAGCGTGTGTCCCCAAATAGACCCAATAATCACCAAACAATTCACAGGGGACGAGAATTGCCTATACCTAAACATCTACACACCAAACCTTGACGGTGCATTCCTTCCAGTAATGATATACATTCACGGAGGAGGTTTCAGAAATGGCTCGGGCAGTGCTTCCTTATATGGAGCAGATTTCCTTGTAGAGAAAGATGTTGTTGTAGTTACTATAAATTACAGGCTTGGAGCACTGGGTTTCCTAAGCCTTAACACCCCTGAAGTTCCAGGCAACGCTGGCTTAAAAGACATAGTCCAAGCCATACGCTGGATCAAAGAGAATATTCATAATTTCGGTGGAAATTCTGGCAACTTAACCGTTTTCGGAGAAAGTGGAGGCGGTGTCGCCACAGCTATTTTAACCGCTTCGCCATCTACGAAAGATTTGATAAGCAAAGCGATCATACAGTCTGGAACAGCTATTAACCACGCTGTTTACCAAAAATGTCCCATTTCTAACGCTAAGAAGCTAGTCAATATACTATGTGGCGAAGCCGAGGATGTTGATGATATATTGGAGTTTTTGAACGCCACTTCGGCTAAAGAACTCGTGGAAGCGACTGAGAAATTAGCCAGTGATGGCGTAGAATTCGGTGTGACGATCGAAAAGGAATTTGGCGATGTAGAAGCAGTTTTGACTGAGTCATTTTACGACGTACTCACTTCAGGAAGGGTCGCTGATATACCAATCATGATTGGTTCCACAAGTTTAGAGTTGACTCTCGAGAGGAAATCTGATGATTTGCAAGACTTGATTCCCGAAGAGCTTCACATAGAAAGGAATTCGGAACAATCTTTAGAAATAGCTGAAGGAATCAAATCCCTTTATTTCAAAGGAAGCCACACAGGTGTGGAGAGTTTAAATGAGTATTTAGAATTGCTTTCGGACACTATGATAAATATACATACACATAGGCATGTTAAATATTTAGTTCAGGTTTCTAATAAGCCTGTTTATTACTATAAGTTCGATTATGTTGGAGAATTGAATTGGAGCAAGAAACTTCTGGCATCTTTGGGTTTAAATCACGCTGGACATTTGGATGAGCTTGGGTATTTGTTTAGCAATGAGATGATCAAAGATGTGGAGGCGACTCCTCAAGATTTGAAGATGAGGGAGAGAATGGTGCGACTCTGGACCAATTTTGCTAAGTCTGGGTGAGTTGTTATAGTATGTTACACTAATATTATAGCCCATAATTTAATGAATTAAATGAAATATTGCCGGTCTGTGATGACCACGGACTTTGAGTAGTAGATATCATTGAGGCCCTTGGTTCATTTAATGGTTAGGTCAATAGCAAAAATATATGAATCTACACTTTAATGGCATAAGAACATTTACATGCTGCGGAAGCTATATTTCTTAAATATTTTATTTCAAACCAATCTCTTAATATAAATAACAGTATTGGGGTTTAATTACTAGTCTGAGTTATTACTGGCCTATTGGCCAGATCTCAAGTTATTTTGAAATCTTGGTTTCCTGTTAAAAATAAGATTAAAATCAAACCCAACCAAATAAGGATTATTCTCTTTGATTAAAATAAATCAAATCAAACAGACTAAATTTAGTATTCTTTCTTTTCTTCCAGAAACCCGACTCCTGAAGAAAACTACTACTTAACAGTTACCTGGTTGCCGGTCACCCATGATAACTTATACTTTCTCAACTTAGGCTCAGAACTGTCCTTGGGTTCTAACCCAGACAAAGCCAAAATGGATTTCTGGGACGAAGTCTACACCAAATACTTCAGAATCTGGGATCAACCGCGAACAAACACGGAGGAAGCTGTAAGAAAAACTGACATCATAATTTCGGTCACAGAACAGACCCCTGTGGCATATCAGGAAGAAATAGTTGCGGTATCAGTAGAAGAGACTCCTGTAGTAACTAATGAAATAATTGTGGTCCCAGAAACGACCCCTGAGGAACCCCTTGTGCAAATCTCCGAGACACCAGAACCGGTTAAAACTGAACCCGTGATAGTGGATGAGATAGAAGTGGTTCAAGAATCTAGCCCTGTACAAGTGGTTGATAATAATGGCGTCGACAAAGAAGAAGATGTACATGAAATAGAACCAACACCTGTACACATTTCCAATGGCAACTCGAACGAAGTGAAAAAACCGAGAACGTCGAATGAAATCAAAATGGTGCAACAACCAAACGGAACGCCTAAAGATGTTATTAGAGCGAATGATCCTCCAGAAGACGATTTACCTAAAAACATAGGAGTCAACAAATTCGTTAATTTCTTCGAATCACTTGGTGGTAAAAAGTGAACCGTATCACTCGTCTAATAGAGTCATAATTTATTTAAAAACATTGCATTCCATTTAAATAAAAATATAATTAAATAAGAATAATGAAAGACCAATATTGCGTTTTACATATCAACAGATAGATTTAGAAAAAAAAATAACACGAGAATTGTTTTAGTCAAAAAAGCGAGTCTTCTAGTTTTTAACATTATGTAAAAAATAGTAGTTTCTATTATGTAAATAATTATATATTTTTAAAAGCAATCGATATATGAATAAATTTTACATATTATTATTTTTCTCGTTGAAATAAGTATTTTCGTCGTTGCCATTTTATTACTTTTATCTTTATATTTTTTTTTATAATATTACGTAGGTGAGGGTGGATATAAAGTGATGAGCCAAATTCAAAGTTTATTTTTTGATAAAATTTGGATTGGATTATAACCAAAAAACAATATAAAAAAATAAGAATTCCGATGTATTTTGGCAACCCATTTAAAAAAATATTTAATGTGTTAAAGTAACTAAATTATTTGGTAAATTATTTTATTTAAAGCTATTACGTGCAAATCGCAGATGAACAATCGACATTTAAATCTACATAATTAACTTTTAAATTAGTAAAGCTTTTTTCTAAAAACATGTGTTATCTATTAAATTGTGAATATCATTCGTAAATGTTACAAATTAATATTTCGAATCGGTTTAATTATTATTTGATGATAATAATAGATGTGTATTTTTTATATAATTGTACTTATAATGCGGATTATGTAATTATAAAGAATTTAAAACATAATAACTTTGTTTTTTTATCACCCTTAATAAATATTTTAATAAAAAATAAATGCCAACGTAATTACTACCAATGCTTCATTTCATTATGTCCTCAGAACAATGATACTATTGATACAGTGAAAAAATAGTTATTTTTGCCATTGAAAGATGACTTGGCTTGATACAAATGGATGGCGTTGTTCTGAAGACTTGAATTTTTGCATTGAAAAACTCACAACAAATTTGTGTCAAAGTTGTGATTCAAAAACTGTGATGACATCAAAATCATAGGTTTTGCACTAGAAATAATATATCATGGTTTAGCACATTAAAAAAACTTGTATCTTCAACTTTCAATGATTAAATCAAAGGTTTGAATTTTCAAATAAAAAAGTTGTGATAAACATGATGATCAATGATCATCCCATTAGAAAAGGAAAAACGGCCTCTGTTCCACATCTCAAGTTTTATCGGTAACAATACTCAGTCCTATTTATTTAGTCGTCGATGCAAATGACTGTCGTTTCTGAACGAATCAATCATCTGTTTTTGACATTTCATTTCACTGACACTGTCATTTTGACGTGTAATTTCTGTTTGAATTTGATCAAATCAAGATTTCTACTTAATATCCAATTTTTATTGTGTTTTAGATAATCAAGTAGATATATTTACGACTCTTTTGTGCACTCTTATCCAAGTACCTATTTAATTTTATGTAAGATACACTAGCTTGAAAAGAAATAGTGTATATATTTACAGAGGTAAAGTTACACTTTCCAAACTGCTGCGATTTAAGCATTTAATTAGGTAAGTACAATGATTCGACGCACTAATATATGTAAAATAAAACATGCCTAGACCCTGCGGAAAACCTGTCATTAACAAAGGACATTTTAATTACCTATTGAATTACTTAGATGAGTTAAAAACTTACATGTAATGACTTTAAAATTAATAATTTTACTCTATAGGTCAGAAAAACTTCAATAATGAATTCACTATCATCTAATCTTAAATATAATACACCGTGAATTTTGAGACCTGAGAAACTTACAAAATGTGTAAATAGAAATAGTGAAAACAGTTCTAAAAAGTAAACATACTACAACCATTTACAAAAATATTGATTTATATTGTTTATTAAATTTCTTAGGGCAACACAAATTTGTGAATAGCATATCTACTATGCAATAATTATCTGTTTAAAGTATGTAGATCTCAAAAGTAGTTTTGTTAGATTAAATTTATGGCAATTATAATTATTAAGGTTTCATAATTGCACAATTATTGAGTTACAGTGGAGACACTATTAGAAAAAAATAGTTAAAGTTTTATTTTTGCTGTAATATAAACTAAATCACTATCTAACTTAGTTTGTAAAATTTATCAGGTAACTCAAAATCCACAGTGTATAGATATATTGAGACCAAGTTAAAATCACATAAAAAACAGCCTAAGTAATAGTTGAGTAAATGATTTGGTTTTTCAGATATATAATAATGTTCTGTGAAGCGACTGTAGAACAGGGTGCTTTACAGGGAAAAATATTAGAAGCATACGATGGTAGAAAATACTACAGTTTTGAAGGAATTCCTTATGCTAAGCCTCCAGTGGGAGACCTTAGGTTTAAGGTAAGTTTAAGCTGCTTACTTAATAAAAGGTAAAATTATTTTCTGGTTCAGGGAATAATAATATATGAAATAAATTGAAAATTACTAAACAACAAAAAACTGTAAGCAATATGGTATTTGACAAGTTTAGCAAAACAATGTCACGTTATTTACTAATCTTTATGGAATCTATAAAAAATGGATATTTCTAAATCTGATGTGTAATTTAGTAAAAACTAAATTAAAAATTAAATTTTCAAGTTATCACGAAAAAGTTTCTCTGGACTAATGTCCATGCATGCTTCCTGGATAGCTCGGGCCACAGAATAACTTTGTAAAACGAGTGCGAAATAAACTATTTCATACTAGTAAGACGCCATATTTGGCGTCTTACTAGTATGTGACGCTACACAACTGTCATTAAAGTGTCAAGCGATGTAATGTCACTTTGGCCCGAAGTTTACTAGTGTGTGACGTCATTTTAATCTTGGTCAATCCCAGGTGTTTTCGATCACGTGACCATGAAGCAGAAAAATCATTCCTTTTAATGATTTTATAGAAAAGTTATTTATTATTTGTTCTTTCAAAATAGTGAAATCGCTGCTAATTTTCATATTAAATACAGAGGCCAACAATTGTCACATTTTTTTTATACTGTCAAATAGTCTATTGTAGGCATTTATGGTAAACTCAACTTTACAGAGGATTGCATAGATATAACTAGTTTATGGTATTTATTTTTTTATTTATTTATTTATCATCAACAAGTTTCAACAGCCTTTTGCACAATATAATCTAATATAAATTTTTATATGGTAATTTAGCCAATTATAGAAACTCACTTTGTATTCAATTCAAAATTTAAAATGTTTATGATAATTTAAATATATTTTATGTATATTTAAATAGAAATTACAAATAAACAATAATATAAAAATACCAACAAAGATTCAAATTATTTTTGCGATAAATATAAATACCTATATTAATCAAAATTGCAAAAGGAGCATGATAACTAAATTTGTGTGAAAACTAAAAATCTCAGATCAAGAATACTCTTATGAATAAGGGCTATTATAAAGTTAATGATTATCTAAATGATTGTAATGCATGGACATAGTGTTCCTTCCAATTTGTTATTTGATGGGTATTAGTCGGTTTTTGTAACAGTAATATGGTACCATAAGGTGACTAGCTGGCTCAAATCCGCTTTGCTATCCATAAGCCTACACTTTCCACTTCAAATTTTATTATGGATCTATACTTTTGACATCAGTAACACTAAACAATGCAGATGTGAAAAGATGAAATCCATGAAATACCTTGGGGTAATTCTAGACCACCGTAGTAATAGGGCTAAAGGAGAGATGGAATTTCCTATCATATAGTTTCTATTATAATCCAGACGTATTCACACACGTACACCACACAACACACACACACAAAACACACGCAAACACATACATACATCATACACTTAATTATATCAGCACAAGTAATTACTACATGCTTCCTGGATAGCTATTTCATTTCATTTTAATATTTATTTATTATTATTTGTTTAGTGGATTATGATAATTCACACGCTAACAACTTTTGCCGACTTAAAAACCAGTCAAAGGGTGCGGCCAGAGTGCACTCAGATTCAGAGTCAGATTCAGATTCTGAAAACAAGCGCCCGAAATAAACAGTGTAGTCGAAGGGTACGGCCAGATTGCACTCCTGATTCAGATTTAGATTCAGACTCAGAAAACAAAGCGCGAGAAAAAGCAAGCAACCTGCTTAGACTACACTGTTTATTTCTCGCGCTTGTTTTCGAAATCTGAATCTGAGTCTGAATCTGAGTGCACTCTGGCCGCACCCTTATGGTATAAGATTACAGGGGTGTATTTTAAAACCTGGCGCCCCGGGCCAATTAAGTTTTGCCGTAACTATTTTTTCCGTAAAGAATGCCTTTAAATGGCTGCTGCTGCCCTTCGCTGCTCTTGCGTCCGCTCCTTCGCAGTCTGCCGCCACGGATCGTAGCCTTTTTGGCTCTAGCATAAATACACCCCTTATCGGAAAGGAAACTGATTCGCACAGCTTCAAGTGGAATCGCTGAGTGTTATTTGTGTGAAACTATGCTGCATTGCAGTGGGCATTAATCAGCACATCAAAACGGAAACTGCTATAGGAGATACGGAACTGATCTGATAGGTATAAGTGCTTAGAACTCCAGTCTATGCTTATAATATCCTCTGATGAGTATGAGTAATAAGGCAGCGGGTTGTGTACCGCAACTCGACACTGTAGCTGTTTTGCGTGAGGAATGGCACCAGTCTAATTATTCCAACTCGTCAAGGTAGCCCAGCAGTTTACGAATGTTGCTACAGGCTTCTAATAGCGTCCTAGACATCCCATGTGTAAAGTCCTCAGGCAGGCATTGTACAGAGGAATGTCAGAAGTAATTAATGGTGGCCACTCACAATCATGGCTTATTGATTTGGATAAATTACGCTTGACTAATCCTAAATCCTTCGGTCCACACACGGTAAGTTTGGCTTGAATAAGTCACTTGATCAAGCGGCAGGATGGTGAGTGGCTACCACAGCGGGACAGGTTATACCTTCCTACTCTCAGATACCACTTGCTATGTTTTGGTAGCTGCAAAATTCTTTAACAAAACCACAGACAAGTAAACTTATGCAGTAGACGTTTCTGCATATAAATTGCTACTGCACAGGCTTCCTTGTCTATGATCAAGAAGTTTGCCGGTTATTTAAAGCAATTTATAAATAGTGAACAGAACAATTGTTCTAATTAAAAGCATGACAATAGGTAGACACAAGTAAATACTCTTTTAATTGTTAACCTTTCTTTCCTAGAATCCTGAGCCGCTAGACAGCTGGCCTGGCCTCAAAGATTGCACAAAACCAGGGAACAGGTGCGCACAAATAAACCCTTTATCTGGCAAAGGTTTCGAGGGATCAGAGGACTGCCTCTACCTCAACGTTTATACGCCGAGTTTGCCAGCTAAGAAAATCGAGAACCTACCAGTTTTATTTTTCATACACGGTGGTAAATTGATATTGGGCTATGGCGATTACTACCAACCAGATTATTTTTTGCGACACGATGTTATTTTAGTCACAGTCAATTACAGATTGAATGTATTGGGATTTTTATGTTTGGATATGCCAGAAGCACCGGGAAATGTTGGTATGAAAGATTGCGCTGTGGCATTAAGATGGGTGAAGAGGAATATTAGTAATTTCAATGGTGACTCTAACAACATAACAGTTTTTGGAGAGAGTGCAGGTGCCGCCATTGGGAGTTCGTTTCTGTGTTCTCAAATGACAATAGGCCTTTTTAGCAAAATTATATTGCAGTCTGCTAATCATATAGCTGATATTTTTATGCACGTCCAAGACAATGTTAATGTTGGACGTCAAATAGCATCCGTTTTGGGCAAAGAGTTGGACGACAAAAAGAGTATTTATGACTTTTTGAAGAACACACCAGTTGAGGATTTAGTAGAAGCATACATTTCAACTGAAATGGCAAGGCACCCGTATGATATTAGCCCTATTTGTATGCCTGTGATCGAAAAGGAGTTTGAGGGAGTCGAACGTATGTTGACAGAGTTGCCTAAAGATAGTATGCGCAACAATAATTTCCAAAAAGTTCCAATACTAATGGGTTCACAAGAATATGAAGCTGCTGTGTTTATCCGTCAAGATGACGATGGGATATTTTACGAGAAAGATTTGAAATTCACCGTCCCTCAATGTCTGTACTTAAAAGAAACGGATAGTGAATTTAGAAAGATTACGAATGCTGTTAAGCAATTCTATTTTCAAGATAAAGAAATAGGCGATTCGACTAGAGAACAATACGTGTTGATGATGTCTGATGCGCTTTTCAATAGAGAAATAATATATTTTGCTGAGTTAGCATCTAAGTATAACGATCGTGGCGTATTTGTATACGAATTTAATTATGAAGGCAACTTGAATTTTGATGTCATGAAGAATATGGAAATTAAGGGTACCACGCACGGAGATCTGATTCAGTACCAGTTTTACAGAAAGAGCAAGCATAAGAGATGCACAGAAAGAGACATGAAACTCATCGATCTCTTAAGTGAAACTTGGTGCAATTTCGCAAAACACGGGTAATGGTTAACACTTTAATCTATGTTACATTAAAAAAAAAGGGAAGATACGGCACTCGCGGCTCAGAAGTGATCCGCTTAAATTGTGGTGCATGACCACAATTCGCTTTAGTTACAATTGGACATCCAAACACGATGCCTGTGCACTTAATAACAATATTGCGTATATTCTGTGTTATAAAGATAAAAATTGCTTTCAATTCTTTTATAAAGAACACAAATAGTTCAAGATCAAATAACAAATGCCATGCCAACACTTTCATTCGTAAAACTATAAACACATTTTTTTCTCAAAAATCACGGTTTGCCGTGAATGTTAGTTACTGATTCGCCATTTTTTAGTCCAGAAAAGGACAACAATACAACTCAGCCGTCTGTAGAGACAGAAAAGAAAACGCAGTTGGCTGCAAAGCGACGTGGAGTCGCGCCGTTTCGCTCGCGCTGCGTTGAAGCGTACAATTATATCTCGCTCGCTCGATTGAATGTTTATTTACAGACGTGTGCGTGTGTGAGAGAATTGCTCATTTAGTTGGTAGTTGAGTCGGATCATATTTTATTTGATGCTAGTATGAGCGTACCGTATCTTCCCTTTTTGTTTTAATCTAAGATGATAATTATAAAGACAAGCGCTACTGACTGCCTGATCTATCAACGCACAGCTCAAACCACTGAACGGATTGCGCTGTTTGCCACACTTAAAGCTATTATGATGTAAGCGTACGTACCGGAACTCCCAAAAACGGTGGTTCAACGTTAGTATGGGAAACCAATATTTTCACGCAGACGAAGTCGCCGGCACCCATTAGTTATTGTATCAGCATCAGCCTATTAATGTCCTCATTGCTGGGGCACAGGCCTTCCCTATGGATAGAATAGGGAGTTTGAGCCATGACGCTCCACGCGGCCCAGTGCGGATTGGTGGGTGCTAACGACTGCGGATGCAGCCGGGACCAACGGCTTAACGTGCCTTCTGAAGCACGCGAGAGCAGAGTTATTGTATGAAAATCCACATCATCAGTTGATTATATCCGAACTGCTCGCGCAAAGACCTCCACAAAAGATAGAATTATCTAGGCTGAATGGAACTCATCGCGATAACCTTATGGTCGGTACATACGATAACATTTATCGCAGCGATTTGACTGGGCAGTGAATGAAATAAGGAACCTACTAAAGCCTCGATGACACGGGCCGAGTTACAAGCTACAAGCCAGCAAGTTCGCTAGTAGCTTGTAAACTCACCCCGCGTCATCGGGTAGCAGATAAATAAATAAATAATAAATAAATATTTCCAACACTTACTACTAGCCCCAAAGTAAGCACTGTAAGGCTTGTGTTATGGGATACTAGGGTAACGGATAGAATACATATACCGTACATATATAAGTATATTTTTATATAAATACATATTAAACATCCATGACTGGATAACAAATGCTCGTATTCATCACACAAACATCTGCCCCCACCGGGATTCGAACCCGGGACCTCTCGAGTCGGCGACATCACGAAACCCGGCATACAAACCACTCGACAACGGAGGTCGTCATGGTAAAAAAGATGTTAGACATGTCAGATGGTAAAAAAGACAATGACATGGGGCGATTTTACAAGCTGCTAGCAAACTCTCGCTTGTAGCTTGTAAACACGCGCCGTGCCATCGAGGCTTTACACCTCCTAACTTTAGTAAACGAACTGAGTGATTGCTTCGATTTCCATCTACGCACACACTACGATGATATTGTGCAAATGCGATCGACGACGATTTATTGAATAGATTTTGTAACTACCTCCGTTAGTCTGCATCAATCAAAAAAACTATGCAAATTCTCGTACTTCAAACGTTCAATTAACTGCGCAGTCAAATTGTACGCGTTGTTGCGTGTGTACCAACTGTTTTTTTCCCTTTATCATTATCATCATCAGCTATCATATAAGGAGGTAATGGAAGATGACTTCAGAAGTATCTCTGAAGTCATTTTTTAACTTGACGACTCTGTATATATCAATACAGGGAGAAAAAAGCAGCCCTTGCTGAGTTTCTTGCCGGTTCTTCTCAGTGCAAGGTCTCCCGCTGTAGTTTTGCGAACCGATGGCGTAGCTTCTTGACCTTCACAAGTGCTTGTAACAGCCTAGACTGAATAAATGACTTTTTATTTCATTTCATATTGGGCATTGGCCTTCCCTATGGATTGTTTAGGGAGATTTGGCTGTTACTCGACACGCGGGCCCAGTGCTAATTGGTGGATGCTAACGACTGCAGATTCAGCCCGAATCAAGGTAGGAGTTCGTTACTTGCCCCTAAGATTTTGTATTTATTTGTGATATAAGTGTCTTTTTCATGAAGCCGATTTCATAAAATAGACATTGATTATCATTTACTAAACTTATTTTTTCAGTAAGCCAACGTGGAGTAATCAACCTGTCGAATGGCTCTCGTACACGCCGAAACACCGTCACACATTATCAATAGACGAAAATATTAAGCTAGTGGAAAATAAAACGTATGCAAGATGCAAGTTTTGGATTGACATTTGTGAACGAAAAGCTAACTTATGAGTTATAAAAAATAACCATTTTAACTTAACCAAAGATTATTTAGGTGGTGGTAACTTAATGATGACGATTCTGGTATGATTCCCTAAATTTAAAACAACATTTAACATCAGCCTCTCCTTTTCATTCAGTAAAGAGAATAACAAGGATATACTGTGTTAAAATTTAATTTTAGGTTTAGATTTTCATGCCAGAATCGGTACCAGTGTATTATATTACTAATGTCGATCCGGAACGAAGGACCATATAAGGTTGACCCTTTTAAGGTACTTCGCGCCGGATCAAAGCACATCTGTATCATCAACGTTTAAGCATTTAAGGTTGGGGGTTCATTTCTATAATAACCGTTTATTATTTCGATCTCGCATTAGGGGAGACCTTTTTTTTTTGTTGACGATGGATAATGCATTTACGCACCGTACCGCGTGCTGGCTGGGCGCGCGGCGTGTGTGGGACTCCCCGGCGCGGAACAACGCCAGTCATACCCACTAAAAACCACCGGTACCCTCCTACGCCCATATGGGGGCGTCTCAGGATCGGCGCACCTTAGTGTGCGCCACTTCACTGGGACGCCCGGCGCCCCCGGGGCATTAGGGGAGACCTAGGAGAGTTGTGACATTTTTTTTATTTTAGGGAAATATCTCACTCTTGGATCAATTAACCGTTATGGCTTATGTGAATAAATATAGCACCATTCCTTCACTTTCAAATCAGTTATTAAAATTAATTAAAGTATTACCGGCTTTTGAGAAAATCAACAAAAAGTAAAACTACTTTCTCTGTCACAACTCTCCTATATCCGAGGTAATTTGTTACAGGTACCGAGGTAATATGTGACAGCTTTATGTTTCCATTATTTGATCATTAAAAATAAGCAACACATATTAAAAATAATAAAACATGTTTTTCTTTACTTACCAGAAGTAATGTAATCATCTTTTACCATATCAAATACCTATAACATTCCCATAAAAAGTGATTATATATTTTATGTAAATTATGGCATGGCTTTGAGATCTTCAAGATTATATGCAGTCGAAAATCTGATGCAATCTTAGAGGCAATTATAAGAAACGTATTGCAACTCGCCTCCAGTCTCAGACCAAATAAAAAGTATAGACGGAGTCTGCCGAACCAAAAAGTGAAGCCGATAAAACTACGCCTCGGCGTGTACATACACAGTTACACGCACACACATGCAACGAAACTACGCCTTGGCTTCTCAGTCGAGCTATCCCGACGCGCGGAGTGTGACGTAATAATAAATAACAATATTTATTAGAAAAAATGCCGAATTATGTAGTGAAAACGTGTAAAAACCAATCTTCCAAGAATAAAAAACAGGATGGAATCACATTTCATACGTAAGTAAAGTTATAAACTGCTATTTTCAATTAATCAAAATCAAATTTGAGGTTGTCGCTTTGTAAACAAAACCTGAACGAAATGTTGCCATGATTATTCGTTACAGTTTTACCCTTTTGTTGGGTAACGTGAAATATAACGTAACGTTATTTTAATATATACATTGTGTGGCATACTTTTATATTATTCGAATATTGTAATGCATGGATAAACAATTACACGAAACATCTTTTTTCTTTATGTATTCGTATAAATTTTTTGGGATGTAATACACATTATTTAATATACGTTCTTTTTAAGATTTCCTAATCGAGATCAAGATCTAAAAGAGAAGTGGATTGCAGTCATTCGTAAGAGTAGAAATGCACCATTGTGGCAACCAGCTTCCCGCAGCGTGGTTTGTTCGACTCATTTTCAGAGCGACGATTTGTAAAATAATAATATATTTGTAATTTTATTTGTATTGTACTTTTTAATGGCCTTTTTGACCCAAAATTCGCGATGTTTGTGGATTTTTTTATTATGTTCTTGTATAGGAACCAGTGATTATATTTTGTGTATTCTATAGAAAATTTCATGTACATTTTAATAAAAGAAACTATTTATCAACGTTTGTATATGCTTTTCGTTTTATCGACATAAAGTTGAGATGACTGATTTGTAAGCGATTTCAAGTGCCTTGTTGCGAGTGCTTGAAACTATAAAATGAACAAACCTATTCCATCCGAGACTTGTAACTAAAGTAAAATAATCAATCCAACATAATTAAACGTCAACACATAAATCAAGGCACTTGGATCTCGCATTTGTTTTTATCAACACTTGCAACACGACCCTTTTTTTTCTGTTGCGTGTTATATTTTATAATTGTATTTGGTAAGTTATTATATACATTCATTCATATATAGTACATTCTATATGTACAAAAACCTGGATTTATAATTTACAAATTTTGAAAATACACCTCATTTTACCTATTTAAACGACTTTTTTTTATCTTTCCTGAGTTTACCATAATGTAATTAAAATAAATTATAGACATGACGCATTGTGTACACACTGTTTTATTGAAAATTTTATGAAGAATCCAAATATACGTTTGTGAAGGGTATTTTTACAAAATAACAGAGAAATCGGCAGAACAATGCAATCGTTCCCACCCAGCGGGCGGGCGGTCCATAAAGAAGTCCGGCACTTGTAGGTGAGAACGGCGCATGACCTTTGGCTCACGAGAGGTTTAGAGAATAAGCTTACGATATTTTTTTCTAATATTTTATAACGTTATTAAAAATGTAAAAACGTTATGAAATAACGTTATTACATTTTTCTAATATTGGGGTGTTTTATATGACTATGGTAACACTGGCTAATGCACTACATACATAAAAAACCGGCTTCACTTTTTGGTTCGGCAGACTCCGTCTTTACTTTTTATTTGGTCTGAGCCTCTAGTATAATCTGCGTGTGACCAGCCATTGCATACTAGGCATTGCACCCACTCTTCATTCGTTTTTGTGCGTTATGGAGAGTTGTGTCAACCTGTCACAACTCTCCTACGTGCTCAAAACCACAACTTTGTCATCATATGTTTTCGTAATTCATATTTTCTAAATAAGATACAAACACAAAAGATCAGTGCAAACGTTTTGAGACATAAATAATCATACAACTTGAGAAAAAATAACACAACAATACACATGTATTAAGACATGATATGAATTTAATCAAAAATTTTAAGAAAAAATTACTTTTAGCGTTTCTTTGTACGTAGACGTCGTAATTACGCAATCGCTTCCGTTGCGTCGTCGGTGGGAACTGAGTGAAGTAGCATGTATCTAAAACTATAAAAGAGTGTTTTTACTATCTCGTTAATTTTTATAGGTTGGGAGAAATCGTCTGTGTCACAACTCTCCTAGATTTCCCCTATGCGTTTTGTTTGATAAACGCCGTGGATATAAAATGAGTCAAAAGCTCCTTGTGATAAAATTTACTATTTTGTTTACCTTTTATTGTTGATGTATAATTAAGAAATAATAATAAACAAAAACAATTTGTCCCTTAATGGACTCGATCTATGTTACACATTTCAAGTATTTTTTTATTCAATGCATTTTTTTTCAAATTCTGTTATGTGGCTATACTTTTGTTATACTGATGTATTGTGTTGTCTTATTTTTAAATAAAATATAAATATCGATATAAATGTTTAATTTCTTCATTTAATCAGAATCCCAATTATTTTTATATTTGAGAAATAATAAACAATGTTATTTTTTGATGAGCTGAACGAAATAAATTCTCAATCAAGTGTATATATTATAATATCTTTATGCGAAGAGAAATTCGGCCTCTCGGCCTGTTTTAATTATATGTGGAAAAATATAAGGACTAAAAGATACTCTAGTTAATTTGCACACTCGTGTAATCTTCAGCATGTTTAATGTTATTTAAAGGGAACTGATTAATTTATGCTTAGTAAACAGATTTCATAAGGACCACTTTCAACGGCAGTTACCTTTCCAACAATAACAATAAAAATATTTGCGTATGGCTGTTTAAATTAATAATCTTTTGTCTTTAAACTTAGCAAAAATTTAAAAAGCTACAAAAACAAGAAAATGTCAAGTCAGTAATGGCGGCCATCGTCGTTGCGACATATGTAGCGTGACAAGACATGTCGATTTTGTCCATGATATATGAAAAAATCCAATGGCAGATTCATTCTTCGGGTTCGATACTTCGTTATCGGTAAGTCGGTGTACATTACTGTGCATTTTAAGGTCATGATCAGTGTAGAAAGGGTCATGTTTCCCAGGTTACCAAAGTGCCAGCCTGCAGGTTGATTTTCGATGTGCATTCATTTCCCTCCACTATTCACGTGTAATATTTACGTTCCAACTCTCTAATGATATTCTACTTTAAATTAATAGAGTTCTGTTTTGAATGAAAATAAGTTAAACTATATTTTTTGTATATGCATGCAAGTGATCTACACATTTCGAGTATAGGTATGGCACTTGTTTGTATCAAGTTTTGATGTATTTGTATGTTTACGAATACAAAGGGAATGTGATCGGACGTTCGCTTACGTTGCATTGATGTTGATATTATTTTTACCACCTTGAGACTGCTGGATATATGAGATGTTGTTTCATTTAAACTCTTCCTAAGAACACTTTCTATTGTCACTTTTTACATGAATCACCTCTTTCTTTTAGCAGTGACATCAGAAACTGCAACATTATCCAACACAAAGTACTAAAGCAGTAGTTACCTGTTGTGAGTTCAATATGAGGTTATTCATTGAATATTAAATCTGAATTATGGTATGCAAAATAGAAATAAATGACTTACTTTCAATGAGTAATACTGTTTTTATACATTCATTTATAGAGAAGTGTTTGATAACAATTTACATAATGGTGACACATGTTCTTTTTCTTATGAATAAATGGACTTGTTAATTCTTTTTGCAGAACTTAAATGATGATGAAGGAGGAGGAGGACCATCCGAGGACGAGTACGATGCACTCAATGATGAGACCTTCGGACAAGATTGTGAGTGTCTATATTATTTTATAGTAATCAGCAGACGAGGTAGCAAATGGAAATCTAACCTGTACCATTCGCTATCTGGGCTGACCATTATGCTACCGCCCTGATGGCCGTGTCGAATTTTTCAAGCACTTTTTAGGCTGGAAGGCAGCACCATCTCTTTGCATTGTTGGTAACCCACATTGTCAAATGAATACCTTTACAAGTATTAAACATTTGAAAGTAAAAACAGCAACAATAGGTGTATATCTATCTTATTTCTTGCATCCAAAAATTTCATGGTCTAAAGCTGCCTTATTACAAAACACAGACTAAAGTTAAACCTGGATTAAAACTGATGCTGTCACTTTTGTTCAAAAAGAAGACAAAGATAACATTAGTTTTAAACCTAGGGATGGCAATATCTGACCTATCTGCCTATTTCGATATTGAAATCTTTCCTATAGCCTATTTCATTATTTTTGGTGTTTTCAAAATCAATACCAAAATGTAGCATTGCGATATTGAAACACTATTCAAACCAAGATAATGGTACTTCACTTAACTCTGGTTGTGTGACCGTTTTTTATTGGTTTCCAATTTCCAAAAGTGCTTCAAGTTGGTATTCAGTTATTATTGAAAACATAAACAAGCCTTTGTTATGATTTCCACTCCAGATTGAGATTATTTGAAATAGATACCTAACACTTCATTGTTTAGTTAACGAAAGATAATGGTAAGCTTAATAATAGCAATTTAAAATTAAACAAGTTACAATTTAGGAGGTCTCTGTAGCTAAATTAAATTACTTTTTTACTTAATGTAAATAATTGCCCTTGTGTCAGAATTTTTGTAAATATAAAATCAGCTTTTCTTTTGAAACTGTAATACCTACTTACTACCTTACTATTGAATTTATAATGTGACCATAAGTTAACCCAGTATTAGATAGAAGCAGCAGCATTTCCAGTGCCAGATTTTAAAATATTCCCACGTTTGTGGGGCTTCCGCACACCTAAATCTGGCCCTGGCCATATGTGCATTTATACACACATATCGATAAATTCATATTAGAGCAGAAGTAACTAATATATTAATTTCTTTGATGCAGCGGAAGAGTTGGACTGGGAGGTGGAACATGAGCACCTGGCCGGGCAACTGGAGAGCAGCCGCAGGCATCCTGGCCTGGACGATGTCAACTCACAACTGGGTATGTGTTGGTTTAGATAATATCAAGTCAGATACACAATTTTAGGTTGGGCAAAAAGTTTCTTTGCATTTTATAAGAATTTTCTAAAAGTTTTTTTACATTTAATTAAAGTATGTCGGTGCCATCTTGTTCAATAATTTTTTGCTATCTTTTAGGTAGTAATGATTTGCACTCGCATGTTATTCGATTTCGATATTGGTTTGTGCTAAGGGTACAGTTATTGTTTTTGAACTAAAACACTGTATGTTCGTTTTAATTTTATATTTACAAATATAAGTTTGATAACTTCAAAAAAACAAGATATATTATTATTTTGTTATAAAACGTTAACAAGACATATAAAATAGATCGAATTCAACTATTGAAATACAATAATGGTTAGTGCTAAGGGTACTGACGACATTTATTTATTTTTTTACAGAAGCATCATTGTCCCAGTTAGTATTAGATGAGACGGACTCCAGTCATCTGCATACATTAGGTTCAAGTGTGTGGAGACACGACTTACCCATACCCGCAGCTCCTACAGTAAGTAATTAAATAAATAAAATAGTTATAAAAATATTGTTAAATTTTTTAAGTATTTAACTGCTAGATGTATAAATCAAAAGAAAAATTTATTAATAGAAGACCAGGGAGCAGACTCGAACCCGCACCCTCCGCTATACAGGCGGCTGCACTGACCATTATGCTACCTTGGCCCTAATTGTCCGTGTCGAATTTTCTCTAGTATTTGCAAGGCTGCAAGGCAGCGCCATCTCTTCAATGCCAAATTACTACCTTTACAAGTATAAAACATTTGAAAGAAAAAAAAATTCTAGCATATTAGCTCTTAAGAATTTAATTGAGACACTTCAAAAATGGTTGTAATACCCTATTGCTATATATTTGCCAACAATATGTACAAAATAAATATGTTTGAATTAACTTGAAAATTATATTCAAGATAGTTCCAATAGGGATGGTGAATACCTTTTTTTTATTTGTCTATCAGGTACATTATCAAATAGTATTTTATATAGATACTAGCGGACCCGACAGACGTTGTCCTGTCTACACGTCTTTGTGAATCTAAACCATTCTCAGATCCCCTTGAACACACACAAAAAATTTCATCAAAATCGGTCCAGTCGTTTAAGAGAAGTTCAGTGACATACACACTCACAGAAGAATTATATATATAAAGATATATTTTTGTTAATCCAATCCATGGACTAATTAGAATTTTATTTAATTAACCCGTTCATCTAACTATTTTCGCCACCGTTAAGATCTTTGTCGCACTACAATTGGAATTAAGATCTCATCTTGAACAAATGTTTACTCTTTTAGCAGCCAGTGCAAGGTCTCAAGAATGTGTGCACTGTGGAGGAACTGGAACGCCAGATGCGGCAGAAACAGCAGAGCCAGAACTTTTTCCAGGTCAGTTACAGTGGAATAGAAAATATTCAGTTTAAATTGTGAGTTGTCCATCTTATGTTTATTTTCGCCGCCCGTGACTTCGTACGTGTGGAGTTAGTTAGAAATAAAGGCTCACTGCTCGTTCCACGTAGGTGATAACGTGATAATATGTAGCCTATATGTTCTTGACCTGACTTCTTAATAATATTAGTGCCAAATTTGAAGTAAATCCATGCAGTACTTTTGAGTTTATCCGGGACATATATACAGACAAACAGGCAAAAAATCAAAAAACTATATTTTTGATGATTAATCGATTGAAGATCACACCCCAAGTATTCTTATAAAAAAATATTCAATTTACAGTTTTGACTTTCCTACCATTTTGTTATATTTATATATTTTGAAAGGTCAATGGAAAATGAATTTTTTATTACATTGCCACAGATTTTCCGTTCATTTTTTTTTATTGAAATATTCTGACTTTATCAACAATCATCGGTGGTTCTGTGGCAGAAAGCTAGCCTGCTACGCAGTTGGCCCGGGTCGATTCCTAGTTGAGGAATGGCTTTTTTACTTTTTAGAAGCAAGAAAAATATTTGACACGATGTAATGCATTGTCGTTTTCAACTATAGATAACTTTAATTAAAGATTATTTATTCATTAGTATATATTGGATTTTGTATTTTGCGGGCTTTTAATAATTTTATCATAGGGTAGTTTGTGCACTTGCAATTGCCTTAATCCAATCAGTCTCCCATCTTTTTCATACATGTGTACTTTTAGCTATGACCGTCCTGCTATCGACTACACCGGAGTGCATCGAATATATATGTTATTCCGTCCCCGATGTGAATGTTCTAATGGAAGACACTCATGTTGTGATGTAATACCATTGTTATCCAAAAAAATATTGTGCCATTTGTTAATTATATTGAACACTTTTCATTGTATTGTTTTAAACTTTCATGGTCTAACATTATAGTAATATATGTTATTAACGGGATTCTTACCATGTACCTTGTTTTCGAGTGAATAGTGAGAATGTGAACAGTGGTACGGGTATCTAACGCAATAAAAGACTTCGTCGGTGGGTAGACCGATATGTCTGCCAATAACAGCCTACCCGCAATTACTTTAGTTACTCCGTGATCATGGCGCTTGCAACAGTGCCGAAATATCGGAAACTCGCTAAAAACAAGGTACATGGTAATAGTCCCGTTAATAACATACATTACTTTTCATTTTATTTATATCAATGCAATATCTGTACCGGTCAACGATTTATTTTGATATTAGTGCTTGAAGAACAATTTGTGACCAAACGGATGGTGTGCTGAGATAAGTGCGCATGTTCGTTTCCTTTGTCTCCAGGTCTTCAACCATTTTAGTCGTCCTAAAAACACAAGGCATTTGCAAGGCGCAGTTTATTTTGTATTTTTATTCAAATATGATTGTGTATTACCGCCCCCAGATATAGTCTCCATAAAACCTACGCCTAGGGTTAGCCTCTCCATATAAGCATTGAGCACGCATAATTATTATTTTCCCGCAAACCAAAGTTATGGGGGTAAAGGCACCTCCAGTATACTCATTTTGAAATTGCCTTTTTTATATCATAATTATTCAAAAGGTAATTAATATGCTTGCTATAATCTGAATGTCACAAATTTTACACTGCTTATAAGTTCAAGGTTATAATCTTTCCAAAATGTATTTTAAATTACCTTTTTTATTGGTCCTCTATTACTCTTACTTTTCTTATACTTACTGGACGCCTTGATGTTAATATAAAAATATGACTACAAGTTTCATCTAACCCAAGTTATCAGCCAATACATCTACCTAATTCCCATTTATGAAGAAAACACTTTGATCACATATTTCAGTTTTATACTTCTCTTACAGCCCCGATATCCCCCAGTCATATTACAAAGACCCCCGGGCTTACAAGCGCCCGTATCATTACCTTACGCCCCACAACAGCAGCTCCAAACCAACGTTAATACCATGAATCAACCCCTTAACAAAATAATCGGCCAGCCCAACCAAATGATGCAGAATCAGATGGGCCAAAACGTCAACCAACTAGGCCAAAGCGTCAACCAGATGGGACAAACGGTCAACCAGTTCATGCAGGCCGCCAATCACATGGGCCAGTATCAAAGCAACCAAATGGGACAGAATAACTTGATGGGCTTGTCGCAGAATATGCAGACGAATCAGTTGTTGCACAATCAGATGAGTCAAAACGTTTCACAAATGGTGCAGAACCAATTGAATCATATGAGCCAATCCAATCAAACGAATCAAAACCAGATGCAAATGGGTATGAACCAGCTAAATCAAAGCCAAGGTCAGATAGGCCAAAATATGGTTCAAAATATGAGTCAACTTAGCCAGAATCAGATGAACTCGCTGAATCAAATGGGCCAAAACGTCAATCAGATTGGTCAAAATCAATTAAATCAGATAGGTCAAAGCATGAACCAACTAAACCAGTCTATGCCACAGATGGGCCAGAATCAGTTAGGTCAAAACATGGGACAGATGGGTCAAAACGTCAACCAGATGGGCCAAAGCGTCAATCAGATGGGTCAAAACCTCAACCAGATGGGCCAGAACGTCAACCAGATGGTCCCAAACGGCAACCAGTTTGGCCAAAGTATGAACCAATTCCCCCATATGATGGGCCAACCAAGAATGATGGCGCCACCACCCGGTATGAACATGAATCCGAGGCAGAATTTTAACCAGAATATGGGGCCTTATAACCAGACATTTCGAGTAAGTATTTCAGTAAAATTGAAGTAGTTAAAAGAGTATTGTAGCCTTCATATTAGTTAAGTATTTCGGCCTTTTTATTTATTACAAATATCTTACTACTATCTTTAATAGGGTATTGACAAGTTTTAGAAAACGATCTGACGTTATTGACTAATGTTTATGGAGTCCGTAAAAAGTGGATATTCAACATTTTGTTGTGTATTTCAGTAAAAATAACCAAATCTAAAACTCCATTTTCAACTTGCCGCGAAAACGTTTCTTTGGACAATATGGCGTCTTACTAGTGTGTGACGTCACACGACTGTTATTTAAAGTCACTTTAACCTGAAGTTACTTGCGTGCGACGTCATTTTAGGCTCGGCCAATCCCAAGCATTTTGGGTCACGTGACAATAGATAAGAAAACTATTATCTTTTTCGTTAGTTTTTAGTAAAATTATGAATATTTTTATGGTAAAAATAGTAAAAACCCCTGCCAATATTCATTCTAAACACAGATGCTAACAATTGGCACTTTATTTTTAACACTGTCAAATACCCTATTACATTAAAAATAGTTTTATCGAACACTACATGTTACTTCTACACTAAATTGAAGTAAATTGAGTAAAGAGTAATGAATTACCAAAATAATTGGTAGTTGTTCTGGAATACTTGGACAGCTTTTTCGTAAAGTTCCGTATCTAGTTTTGAACTGCACTTCTATAATTCTTACCACTCATTAAATATTTATATTTCAGGGCCCCTCAATACAATCTAAGCCAGAACAGATTCCCCAACCAATGATGAATCAGTACCAAACGAAGAACCAATCGCCGCTCAGCGCCAAAACTGTTAACAACCAATCGCCGCAAACCAAGCCGGGTCAGATCAATAAGACTCAAGCGAAAACCGACCCAAAGACTAAAAGCAGAGTGTTCAATTCTAAACCGCAGGCTAATTTGACCTCTCAGAATTTAGTCCAACTCATACAGAATACGCATCCAATGTTACATATGAATAGTAGCTACCACAATGCAAGTCACCATCCTATGCTTAATAACAGGACTATGTTTAACAATCAGTTTGTGAACAATCAAATCTTCAATCAGCGGCTCAACGGAACTATGAACAGGTGAAGTAATTTTTCATCCAATTTTGTTTAGGAATAGGCTAGTTGACTCATGTCGAATTGTATTAAATAAATGTTTATTTCTTACAGTATTTGGTCTAAGGAACCTAAATATATCGAGTTCACTTCATAAAAGCAGAAGATTGCTGTAGAAATTTAATTTAAAAAAATATTTTTTAGTCTATATTTTTTAAACACTAAAAACGCTGTTCGCCGCATCCGCCATGATTGTGACGTCTCTTTCAGTAAACAATTAAATGTCATTCACGTGTTATTGTGGGTGGATTCTTTAGTCTGAATAAATTTATCTTAAAACACTTTTAACTTTAGAAACGTTTCCGTTTACTGTTTTTTTTTGACAAAAGTAATTAATTATGGATGCCGACTTTGTGAAAGCAGAAAGCTGCCAAGAATTGACGCATTGATGGTTGGTGAATTTTTTGCACTAAACCCTGATTTCTGCTCTGCGGAGCAGAGAAACGACAAGGCATCTATGTAAGTACAGTGCATTTATTATTACAATGTAGTAATAAACATAAAACTGATACAACATATGAATAAGTGTAATAAAGTTGCGTAGGTTAATTTCTTTCGGCACTTTAATCCACAACATTCCTGGAGTCTTCAAGGATGTGTTTTTATATTCTCGTTCAATACAATAATGATAAATACTTTATTTTTCGTGGTATTTATTAGAAATCATGTTCTTTATATTGTAAACTCAGATAAGTTTTTGTTTACTACAGTTGACATCATAGCATAGACAATGCATAGACTAAAATGGCCGACAGCGTTTTTGTATGTCCATGAAAATTCTATTTCAAAATTAAAGATTTGTAGCTTTCTAGGTCTCAAAAAAATACAATACATTTTTTTTCGGTCTGCTAGAACATTAATTAACCATTTACAACCTTTTTCCAAAAAGGGTCAACTAGCCTATTGTTGTTTTATCTTAATCTTCTTTATGTATAAAAACCGGCCAAGTGCGAGTAGGTATCGCAAAGGCTAACGCAACACTACGATATTGGGATCTTTATTATTATCATCATCCGCCTATTAATGTCCCCACTGCGGGGGCACAGGCCTTCCCTATGGATGGAATAGGAAGATTGGGCCATGACTCACCACGCGGGCCCAGTGCGGATTGGTGGGTGCTAACGACTGCAGATGCAGCCGGGATCGACGGCTTAACGTGCCTTCCGAAGCACGGAGAACTCGAGATAGAAGATTTTGGTCACCCATCCAATGACCAAGCTTCACCTAACTTCACCAATCACAGACGAACGCGCTAGCCCCCCGCAAGTTTGAACCCCGATTTCATCCCCTTAAGTTTTATTTTAGTGATATAAAGTACCTTGTCTCTGGTAACTACCACGTAAAGAAATTGATATGAACTTAATTTGATTTTAGACATTCATTAATGTGCTCCTCTCCAGAAACAAATCAGTATCGGGGTAAATGTCAGAAGCGTTTTAGGGCCCAATGTATAAGGCAAATTTAAAACCTTTTAAAACCTTACCAATTTCCTAAGAATCCTGCTATTATCAGACAAAATATAGTTATTACATTATATATTTTGTAATTGACATTATTTTTTTCCCATTAGCACTTTAAACGGGGACGATAGCAGTGGATGTAGCGATTCGGACGAATACGCCGGCCTCATGACCCAAAGAGAGAAACAGTGGTTAATCAACATACAGATGCTTCAGCTGAATACTGGAACACCCTATATACATGACTTCTACTATACTGTGAGTATATTTATATCTTCTTTAAAAAAAGGGAAACTTACTCTACACAGGACTACTCAACGAGAGAAACAGTGGTTAATCAACATACAGATGCTGCAGTTGATCACGGGAACACCCTATATATACGACTTCTACTATACTGTAAGTTAATATTTAAATATAGATTTCATAAAAATAGGAAACACCCTTTATACAGGATTACTCGACGGGAGAAACATACAGATGCTTCATTGTAACATTGGAACATCCTATATAAACAACTTTTACTATACTGTAAGTAGACAATAAAGTAGGAATAACTAAAAAAAATGCTTCAGGCATAGAACTTATTTTCAGGATTGAGATTAGAAAGGAAATACCCTCTATACTGGACTTCTCAAGGAGAGAACCAATAACTTTCTGATATATAGGTAAATGATGGAGTTCAACACGGGAACATCCTATATACACGAGTTCTACTATACCGTGAGTATATTTATATCTTTATTAAAAAAAGGGAAACTTCCTCTACACAGGACTGCTCAATGAGAGAATCAGTGGTTAATCAACATACAGATGCTGCAGTTGATCACGGGAACACCCTATATATACGACTTCTACTATACTGTAAGTTAATATTTAAATAAAGATTTCATAAAAATAGGAAACAGCCTTTATACAGGACTACTCAACGGAAGAAACATACAGATGATTCATTATAACATTGGAACATCCTATATAAACAACTTTTGCTATACTGTAAGTAGACAATAATGTATAAATAACTAAAAAAATAATGCTTCGGACATAGTACTTATTTCTGGATACAGATTGGAAAGGAAACACCCGCTTCGGTATCGATTGTAAATCACACCCCAAGTATTCTTTAAAAAAAATATTCAATGCACTGTTTTGACTTTCCTGCCATTTTATTACAGTGAAACCTGGTTAAGTGGGACCTGGATAAGTGAGAAACCTCTATTATTGAGAGTTGCAATGAGGTCTCGGTTCTTTTTCATTAAATTACCTCTGTTAATGGGACTTCAGTACTATCTCAGGGTTTGACCTAAAAACAAGGGAATAACGGCACTTTTCGACCTCTGTAAGCGGGGGCCTCTGTAAATGAGACAACTGTAATTTTAAACCTGCTTAATTTGAAAACTGGATTATTGGATACCCTCAATAATTGGTACATATGTCTTGGTCCCTTGAGATCCCAATTAACCAGGTTTCACTGTATAATTTATATGTATAGATTATTATGATGATGATATTGTTGTTTTGTTACACAGGTATTTTTAGAGCGACAAGCGAGTAAAGAAAAGGAGGGATTGAAAGAAGCACACAAAGCAAACCAGCAGAACCATCCATTCTATAGCGGAGGTAAGTTTAATTATTATAATCCACTAGCTGTGCACCGCGGTGTTACCCGCGGTTTAGTAAGGACATTTTCCCGCAGTAAAACGTAACCTATGTGTTAATACAGGGTGTCAGCTAACTCCATATCAAATTTTATTAAAATCGCTCCATCCGTTTCGACGTGAAGAAGTAACAAACATACACACTCACAAACTTTAGCCTTGATAATCTATACAAGAGGTTCCCAATCATTTTTGTCTACTGCCCACTTTCATAATAAAATATTATTTAACGCCCCCATTTTTTCTTAAAAACCACTATAATTTCAAATTAAATTAGTTCCTTCTAGATGAAATTACAAATGACGGCCCAAGCCTCTACACAATGCCCCCATTCCGAGTCTCTTACCCCCCTTTCGGCCTGCAGCGCCCACAAGGGGGCATTATCGCCCACTTTGGGAAAAGCTGATCTATACTAATGGCGCTATTACATTTGGTCGCTAGCCTGAATACGAGTGCCAATGGAATTCGGGAAAACGACGAAGTGTAAATGAACGGAGTCGTGTATGTACGTATTTGGGTAGTTTGCGTTTTGTTTACCCGAGACCGTCTTCCAGCCCGAATTCTAGTGTAAATATTTCTTCGGTGCCTGAATTCGAGTAATGTCTATCGTGCATCCGAATTCGTGTTAACGATCAAGTGTATTTGAGCCATTATATTTTAAACACCTTAAGTTAATGAGTATCTTGTAGAAAGTAACCTTCGGAACTAAAAAATCGATTTTAAAATTCTTTTATCAGTTGACAGCGACAATATTCCTGACTTTCTGATATCAATGTCTATGTCAATAATTAATAAAGGTTCAAAACTACCATCTGTACAATGTGGTACCTTGTATTAAGTGATATCTCCATTTGTCTCATAGATGGAGATTAATTTGTATCCATGGTGTATGGTTTAGTTAACTTGAGATAGATTTATTTCGAAATTATTTATTGGCTTAAATAATTTCGAAATAAATTGTGTATAAATAAATATTACCAACGCACACCAACTAGCCTAGCCCCAAAGTAAGCACTATAAGGCTTGTGTTATGGGATACTAGGGTAACGGATAGAATACATATACTGTACATGTATATTTATATATAAATACATATTAACCATCCATGACTGGAGTACAAATGCTTGTATTCAGCACACAAACATCTGCCCCCACCGGGATTCGAAACCCGGGACCTCTCGAGTCGTCGACACCATGAAATCCGGTGTACAAACCACTCGGCCACGGAGGTCGTCGTCGTCAGTCGTCTAAATGTTCCGGAATCTAGTTTTATTTATCACTACTACATTCCTGGCTTGAGAGACCTTAGTAAACCATCCTGTAATCTGCAAACCGACAGAAATTTTACTTTAAACTGTTTTACCAGCGATTGTTTTGTAATAATATGTATAATTTATTTTCTCTTATTATCACCCCTTTTAGGTGTAAAACAAGAAACTCACACAAGGGAGCGACACAACTCGAACAGACACAATTCTACAAGCGAAGACTCTGCACCCAGGACTTATGTGCCAGCGCAGTTCGAGAACTCATTGGGAAAATTGCAGGTAACCATTAAACTAATATATTTTATTATATTATTATTTTTTCTCTGCATATACATTAACTTATACAGGTAACATTAAAATATTTGTTCAAATTAATACCTTATGTCGTGGCTGTAAGATTCAATGTCAATAGGCTATTTGACAGTATGAAAAATTATGTACCAATTGTTGGCATCTGTATTTAATATGAACATTAGTAACGATTTAACTTTTCTAAAACAACAAATAATTAATAACTTTTTTATAAAATCATTTAATAGAAATGATTTTTTTTGCTCCATGGTCACGTGACTGAAAACCCCTGGGATTGACCAAGAATAGAATCACGTCACACGCTAGTAAACTTCCGGCCAAAGTGACATTACATTGTATCGTTTGACGTTTTAATGGTAGTCGTGGGACGTCACATACTAGTGAGAAGCCACATTGTCCAGAGCGACGTTTTCGCGGCAACTTGAAAATTGAATTTTTTATTTAGATTTTTTACTAAATTACACAACAGAATTAAAAATATCCACTGTTTATGGACTCCATAAACATTTTGTTATTAACGTTAGATTGTTTTCTAAATTTTTCAATTACTCTATTGCTGTGATTCCCAATTAGTTTTTTCTACGTACCACTCCAAAAAGATCTCAAAATCGCGTACCCCTTATTGCAGGAATGATAAATAAAACATGAAATTATGATTTAATATTTAAGTTAAGGGATGGTTGCGCGTACCCCTTCATGCAACCTTACGTACCCCTGGGGGTACGCATACTACTAATTGGGAAACACTGCTCTATTGCATACGAGAAAGAAAGAGAGTTTGATTACGGCGCGAGAGACAGAGCGCACACGGAGTGAGGTATTTTATTGCACCTATTAAAATGTAATTAATTTGCAATACGATAGGAAATGCTAAGATAGTTGCGTATCTCTGTTAGTTAAATTTCAAGGGACACTTACCTGAAATACACTACGCCCCTTTTTAATAAACGAAGACTACGCTTGGATTGGCTACTCCATATTTTGTCTCTGTCTATTGAATGACAAATGGCATTTGAGTGACATGAACTGAACACGGCGAAACTAGTCTAAGCTTATGCCTTGTTTATTAATAAAGGGTCCATGTTTATTAAGTGTGTATCTGGCGTCATTTACAGTTTTTTGAAATGATTTTTTGTCAGAGCGTGGTTGAAACACGACTTTGAAAATTACACACAATGGATGTTAGTACATTATTTATTATTTATGAAGTCCATAAAGAGTGGTTGTTTATCATTTTGTTGTGTATTTTAGTGAAAAAACTAAATTAAAAATTCCACTTTCTCACTAGCTTGTGACATCACGCGGCTGTCATTAACACTTCAAACGATACTAATGTATTGTCACTTTCACCGGAAGTTTACTAGCGTGTGACGTAATTTAAGGCCAGTATTATAGAAAGATTCTCAGTGATTGATCTAGTCTTGAGCATAGTTAGAAAGGGATGTCGCTATATATATAGCACATAGCGATATCCCTTTCTAACTGTACTCAAGTAAAGATCAAGACTTAGTTGTTGTTCTGTAATACGGGTCTTAGTCTTCCAATCCCAGGCGTTTTCAGTCACGTGACAATAGATCAAAAAAATCTTTTCTATTTCATGATTTTTAGTAATATTATCAACTGTTTTTTCTCTGAATAGTCAAGTCGCACCTTATATTCATGTTAAATACACATGCACAAATTTGCACTTTATTTTTCATACTGTCAAATAGCCTATTTCGCTTCCGACACTTTTTGATCGCGATTGTGAGTCTACTGGTTATTAAAAAAAAATTCATTCAAAATTCAATATCGTTTATTCAGTCTAGGCTGTTACAAGCACTTGTGAATGTCGAAAAGCTACGCCATCGGTTCGCAAAACTACGGCGGGAGACCTTGTACTGAGAAGAACCGGCAAGAAACTCAGCAAGGGCTGCTTTTTTCTCCCTGTTTTATTTCATACAGTGTCGTCCAATTGAAAGTTGACATCAAACTTGCAAACATGTGTTGAGGTCAACTTCCATCACATAATGTCAAATATGTAACAATCAATGAATTTACTAACAATAAGTGCAAAGATAAGTCCCAAAATAGCAAGAAACAATTTTCAAAATAAAATGAACAAGTATATGAAAGGGAGTAAGTGCAAGGTTCTCTTCAAAACTCTTTCTATAGCTGGGAGCCTTAGTTTTAATATAACTTTTGAAAAATTATCTACAAGTAAAATTACAACCAGGCCGTTTTATCATTCAAATATTGATTGACAGTATAATATCCTGTCTTAAGTAAACAATTCTTAATGTGTATTTTAAATTTATGAGGAGGCAAATCAAGGATATCAATAGGAATCTTATTATAGAAATGTATACCTTGACCCATAAATGATTTATGAACCTTCTGTAACCTGTAATTTGGTATCTTGAGTTTATTTTTATTCCTTGTATTAAAAGAATGTATGTCACTGTATTTTAGATAATAGTTAATATTGCTTCGAACAAAAAGTATGCAATTATAAATGAATTGAGAAGCAACAGTCAAAATCCCGATTTCTTTAAATTTTTCTCTAAGAGATGTTTTAGAACTAAGTTGATAAATAGCCCTTATAGCTCTTTTTTGCAAGATAAATATAGTTTCAATATCGGCTGCTGATCCCCAGAGAATAATACCATAGGATACAATACTATGAAAGTAACTAAAGTATACAGTTCTAGCAGTAGCTACATCAGTAAGTTGTCTTATTTTACGTATGGCATAGGCTGCTGAACTAAGTTTACCAGCTAGCAGAGAAATATGAGGATACCATTGCAATTTCGAGTCTATGGTTATACCTAAGAATATCGTTGACTCAACTAAATCTAGGTTTTCATTGTTTAGTTTAATTCTAATGGTTTCGCTTCTAACATTAGGTAAAGTGAATTTAATGCATTTGGTTTTATTTGCATTTAATTTTAAGTTATTATCATTAAACCAGTGCAATACTTGTGAGAGAGCATTATTTACATCGTCAAAGTTATTCTTGTATCGGTCAACCTTAAATAATAAAGAAGTATCATCAGCAAACAATACGATCTCACACAATTTTTCCACAAAAAATGGCAAATCGTTTATGTACAATAAAAATAGAAACGGACCTAAAATCGATCCCTGGGAAACGCCCATTTTCACATAAGATCCAGATGACTTAACACCATTTACCTCTACAGTTTGAACTCTGGAACTGAGATACGATAGTAGCAAGTTTTGGGCTGCGCCTTTGATTCCATAGTGATTTAATTTTAACATCAGCGTCTGGTGCTCAACGCAGTCAAACGCCTTGGATAAGTCACAGAATACCCCAAGAACATTCTGCGACTTCTCCCAGGCTTCCATTATATGTCTTATAAGTGCAACACCCGCATCCGTTGTTGATCTACCCCTAGTAAAGCCAAATTGATTATTATGTAACAGTTTGTTCAAACTGACATGCGATAATAATTGATCTAAAATAATTTTTTCGATAATTTTACTTAATACCGGTAATATTGATATAGGTCTGTAATTACCGGGATCATCTCTTATGCCGTTTTTGAAGAGAGGGATAACTTTACTATATTTCATAAGGTCTGGAAAATCACCTTGATCAATACACTTATTGAATATATCTGCAAGATAAGGAGCGATAACTGTTATTATACTTTTAGTAATTTTAATAGACATTCCAAACAAATCGCACGTATTTTACTTTTTAAGTGAGTTAAAGCATTTTATAATATCCATAAAATCAACATGTTTAAACGTAAACAGGTTATTACACCGAGGCACACACGTCTCTAGCAAACTCTTAGCACCCGCTGGCGTCGAATTCAAATTAGAAGTAGTAATTAATGGTATATTAACGAAATATTCATTAAAAGTATTGGCAATCTGTTCTTTTGTTTTAATTTGAATATTATCTACTTTAAGTGCGATCCCATCATCGAGGGTTCTTTCTTTACCAGTTTCTCTATTAATAACATTCCATGTCGTTTTAATTATACGTCGATGACTTAATTTTATTACTATTTTAATCAATTAACATATGTATAGTCGTGTGACGCTCGTGACGCATTTTTGTTTCATCGTTTCCATAGGATTTTTCCATTTACACCCCGTCCTAAAAGACTTTCACTTCAATAAACCCAGTCCAGGCATCAGACATTTAAAAAACTGCCTGCTGCTATTTAAAACCTTTCACCACCGCAGGTTCGAATCATGTCTGGGCAAATCCGAATTTGTGACAGCTCCGTAACGTATACTCCATCTCATCGCTCTGGTACGATTCACTCGTCCTTCTTCGTCTAAACCATACTTCTGTGGAACAAACTCCCTCTAGATATTAGAATGTCCACCAACAAAATTAGCTTCAAAATAAAGCTACGAAGCTTTTTACAGCAACAAGCAGTCTAGCTTAAACGTTAGTCGTCATTATTATATATTTATTTATTATGTATGTTTATGTATGTATATATGTGTGAATTTATAGGTATGATTATTATATTATCTAACTAACTCCACGCGTACGAAGTCGCGGGCTGCCGCTAGTTATTTAATATTTATGTCTCGTTTTCCCGCAGTGTGGCAGTGTGACAGCGCCTCGTAAGATCATAGACGTGGAAGTTGTGGGCACAGACACTCGGCCTCCTTCCAGGGCACCGAGTAGAGCGAGCACCACCAATCCTAACGAGGTAAGTTATTCAAACTCACATACATAAAGTACTTATATGTCTGCCATAAGAGACCTTGTACTGAGAAGAACCGGCCAGAAACTCAACAAGGTCTGTTTTTTTTTTCTCCCTGTATTGTTATATGCAGAATCGTAAAGTTGAAAAATTACTTCAGAGATACTCCTGAAGTCAACTTCCAGTTCTAGAAGATCTAGACTTCTTAAATCACAATTTAAATAAGAAAAACTGAAAAAATACTTCATTAAAATCTCATCACTGTTAAATTGGAAAGTACTTGCTTTGTTCTATAAGTATTCTATTTGACAAGTTTTAGAAAACGATCTCGTCATTTACTAATGTTTATGGAGGCCATAAAAAGCCATGGATATTCATCATTCCGTTGTGTATTTCAGTAAAAATAACTAAATCAAAAACTCCATTTTCAAGTTGCCGCGAAAACGTTTCTCTGGATAATATGGCGTCTCACTGATATGTGACGTCACACGACTGGCATTAAAACGTCGAACGATACAGTGTAAGATCACTTAAACCGGGAGTTTACTAGCGTGTGACGTCATTTTAGGCTCCGCCAATCCCAGGCTCTTTCGGTCACGTGACAATAGATAAGAAAAGTATTTATCTTTTTTGTAGGATTTTTAGTAAAATTATGAATATATTTTTCTGTAAAAATAGTTAAAACCCATACCAATATTCATTCTAAAGTATGTTAGTTAGTTAGCATTACATAGAACTTTATATAATACTAGCTGACCCAGCGAACTTCGTACCGCCATAAAAATAGGGACTTGTGGTAGAAAGGTGAAAATTTAGGATTGTATGTATTTTTTAATGCCACATTATAATAAATAAAAAATTAAAAAAATGTCCAAAAAATAAAAATAAAATGTTAAGGGTGGACAACCCTTATCACTAAGGGGTATGAAAAATTGATAGTAGCGGATTCCCAAACCTACTGAATATGCATATAAAATTTCATAAAAATCGGTTAAGCCGTTTTGGAGGAGTATGGTAACTAACATTGTGACACTAGAATCTTTATATATATAATTCTTCTGTGAGTGTGTATGTCACTGAACTTCTCTTAAACGACTAGACCGATTTTGATGAAATTTTTTGTGTGTGTTCAAGGGGATCTGAGAATGGTTTAGATTCACAATTTTGTCCGCTGGACAACCCCTATTTTTTTAGGGCGGTACGAAGTTCGCTGGGTCAGCTAGTTTTATATATAAGACTAGCGGACCCGACAGACGTTGTCCTGTCTAGTATGGTAGCGCCGTCTGTCGGATCCAATGTAAAACATTCCAAAATCAACAACTACTAATAAATTAAAAATTAATTAAAAAACATTGTCCAGCGGACAAAATTGTGAATCTAAACCATTCTCAGATCCCCTTGAACACACACAAAAAATTTCATCAAAATCGGTCCAGTCGTTTAAGAGAAGTTCAGTGACATACACACTCACAGAAGAATTATATATATAAAGATATAAATTACTATGTAATGCTAACAATTGGCACTTTATTTTTAATACTGTCAAATACCCTATTCCAAGCGAGTGAGTATAGTGAGAATCTCTATACTACCGTCCACTTGCAGCAAATTTGCAAAATTTTAATTTCACTTAAACTTGGTTTAACCCATAGAAAAATGTCAAAACGTCAACTCTTGATTTGGCATAATAGGGAAGATGCAATATTTTTATTTTTGTTTTCATTTTTAAGAATTCCATGTAGAATAAACCACAGATATATTAAAAAATTAAAACATTGTGATTTATCGGAAAAAATTCGGTTTTAAATTGACAATTTAAATTTTCGCGCGAAAACGAACCTATAGTTGCGATGATGTCACTCCTGTCTGTCACTGGTCGTACTTGTTCGTTGCTGGCTTTAAATTTTCATACTTTTGCATATTTTTTCGACTTTCGAAATATTTTTTTTTTAAATTTAAAATGGTCTATCCATCAACATCATGTGATCATAACAATACCACTAATATTCCGAAAAAAAGCCGTGTTGACTCATGTTTTGTGCCAATGTACTTCAACAAAGTTCCCAAATAAATTGTTTTTGACTGGAACTTCTGACCCAAAACTGAAAAAAAAAGTGGTTTCAAGCTGCGAAGAGAAATGATCATTATTCTGAGAAGACCACTTTGACGTAAGTCGGCGAATATACTTGTCATATGCTTAATTAATCTGCTTGTACGTAAAAACGTATTAGTAACCTACCTAATACTTACAAAACCTGTCTATAACATATTTTTAATTTTACAGTTGGAGAATGACGTCGAAAATTAGATAAAGTTTAAAATGTGTGGCACAATCTTCACATTGGCAGGACTGAACCAAGCTTTGCGTTTCATTTAAAATAACTGTAACACGATAACCTTCTTTACGTACTTTATGCTCCGGAGAACTCGACCTTTTACTGTACATAATGCTCCATCTCTTTTAATTTGGACATAGCCGATTGCATTATCGCCGTAAGATTTGTAGAAGCCGCTGAATAAAATACGAAGTTTAACAACTACGATTTTTACATACCGTAGTAATTTAGTCCCTTTCATTTCTTCACTTAAAAACTCTGCACTTTGGACAAAAAAAGTTATTACCATGTCAACGCTAACTCTTGGTAAATTCCTGGAGTCAGCTTTGATAAACGCAACTTCTATTTTTATTAAATGTAAAAAAACGCAATAAATATTCCCATAAAATAATATTTACTTTAACAACCATAACCTCAAAGAAGTTGTCATAACAGGAGTGACGTCACTAAACGCTGATTGGTGTTTTAAAATACGTTCCGTTTCAAGTATTTTTAATTCGTAATAATTGTTAAAAAACAACATTATGTAAAATAAAAACGTTGCAGTGGCATTTCTTTTATATTTTTTTAACATTTTAATCATAAAATTTTCATAAATATAATATATGCATCTTCCCTAGACTTTAAACACTATTGTATCAATAAACAAGGAATAAGGTTAGACTATAATTATAGTTACGCCGTGTTTTGTTCATGTCACTCGAATGCCATTTGTCATTCAATGAAGAGAGAACAAAACATGGATTAAGAGCCCTTTCACATTTTTTGCAAAAAATTTTTGAGCGCCTCGTTTACCCCCTTAGAAAAGATTTTGACTATTTCCAATAAAAGTAAACAGTAGATTTATTCTTCCTATTGTAAGTTAATGTAGAATATTTGCAAATACTATTTTCCTTTTTTTGTACTGATCGTTCTAATGCAGCAGTTTACGGAAAAAACGATAATATGCAGAACTTCAAACGCCTCAATCTCTCAATAATGCTGAATAAATAAGATCAAATTAATTACTACAACATCAGAAATATGTTTTTGTTGTAACATAATGTATCAGAATTTTGAATTTCCATCTCATTAATTATCAAAAAAAAAAAAAACATCTAACCTCCGTGATTTTCCCTAAAAATAATGCAGGTTTACCTCGTATTTTGATATTGAATTAAATAGAACTACTATCAAAAACTTTCATAAAACTAATCTTCCATTATTGAACTACTGATATATGTATATATTTTTATAATTAGTTTATTAATAATTATTTTATAGGACTCAAACATCACTCGTGTAATGCAATTTAAACTAGTGCAAATCTACCTACGCGCCGATCAGTACGGCAGCGGCGCAATTTTGTAAAAGGGCTCTTAAGTAATCCAAGCTTATTCTTCATTTATTAAAAAAGAGGTACTAATCCAGTCACCGTAGACAAAAAAAACACGTTTAGTTGCAACAAATTGCAATTTGACATGCAGTTTATAGTGACCAAACGTGGCGGTGTCGAATTTTCTCTAGTATTTCTTAGGCTGCAAGGCAGCGCCATCTCTTCGCATTGTAGGTAACCCACAATGATGATAATAATTTATTCTTATTAGGTTCCTAGAGAGTTGAAAAGGACAAAACAGCTGTTATTGGATATCGAAGCCCTTTACACCATACTGCTGAGACTGGAGGAGTTGAATGACCCTCTGGCGATATCAAACGCGCTCATATTAAAGGTAAGGAACATATAACAATTTAATGTCGTTCATCATCATCATTATCAGCCTATTAATGTCCTCACTGCTGAGGCACAGGCCTTCCCTATGGATTGAATAAGGAGATTGGGCCGTGACCCACCACGCGGACCCAGTGCGGATTGGCGGGTGCTTTCGCAGTGATCGGTCATTGGATGGGTGACCAAAAAATCTTCTATCTCGAGTTCCTCCGTGCTTCGGAAGGCACGTTATGCCGTTGGTCCCGGCTGCATCTGCAGTCCTTAGCACCCGCCAATCCGCACTGGGCCCGCGTGGTGGGTCATGACCCTATCTCTCTATTCCATCCATAGGAAAGGCCTGTGCCCTAGCAGTGGGTTTCCGGAAACGATTGCGACAGCAAGCTGTCACAGTCGTTTCCGGTAACACAGTCACATCTACAACTGTTACCGAATTTAAATAGAAAAATTATCTAATTATATAATTAGTCATTCGATCTTATTAAAATAACTTTTAGGAGAGAGAGGAGAAGCAGAGACAGCTAGAAGCGGCACAAAAGGAGTTGGAAGATCAGGAAGAAGACTCGAATCTATTCTTGAAGAACATAGAGTCCGTGCAACGGAGGCCGAAACAAGAAAGCCCAAAAAGCGAAACTATAGACAAGAGACAGGTATGTTTATATTCTATATACTGCACTCATCAAACGAGTCTTAAGCAACGTGCATCATTTATTTATTTATAACACATTTGCTCGTAAAGCGTCTCTTATTGCACCAATTTCAATATCATAATCTATCACATTACACACGCGTGCGGTAATGTAAAGTAAAACGCACGGCTTATTATTTTCCGTCTAAAAACGAATGATACTTTTTTTTTAAATCTTAGCAAAGAGTTTTTATCAGAAAGATAGCAACATTTTCTTAATAAAATTAACTTTGGGAGATAAAATATAATATATAAACATTTAATTCTTTAATTTGATTCATTTTGACAATAAATAACAACCATGTATTGGTAACAAATTCACAAAAATATTAATTTACTTTATTAGTTACACCGCCCGTTTCTTTTTCTTTTCGCTGTATTGTTTTTATTTGAAAATATTGCCAAGTAGTAACGAATTTATTAATTTGACATCGCCAGAAGTCAAAAAAAGGCTACGCTAAGCCTCTTCCCCGAAAAATCCATGGATAGATACTTACAGTCAAGCATACCAAAATGAACATGCATCATCCCTATTACGGATCTGGTAAAACTACTTTCTTTTTACAGTCCGGAGGTTTTGGGTCCGCTGAATTTGAATGATGATCAGTATGTAATGCATCAAATTTTTCTTTGCAGGTGGTGAATTTAGCAGTATGCCAGAAGCCACCGGTCAAGAATCTACTCGACGAAGACAAAGACGAGCTCGTTGGAAAAATGTTCTATGGACTATTGCATGGAGACAGATTGCCTCAAGCGCTGACCGTTAGAAAGGGACGGGTGAGTTATTAATAAACACTATATGATAATTTTTAAATTAGTTTCTGAATATGGCTAGTCTGCTCATATAAAAGGATTTGAACTATTTAAATGAGAAAAATGTTTGCGAGGCCCCAGTAGATAAATGTTTCCGAGGCCCCAGTAGATAAATGTTTCCGAGGCCCCAGTAGATAAATGAATCCGAGGCCCCAGTAGATAAATGTTTCCGAGGTCCCAGTAGATAAATGTTTCCGAGGCCCCAGTAGGTAAATGTTTGCGAGGCTCCAGTAGATAAATAAATGTTTGCTAGGCCCCAGTAGATAAATGTTGTAAATGCCTCGAACGATAAATCTACCAGGGGGTCATACGCCTTACGGGATTGCTATGGTTATCGCTTTCGCATACGTTATCATTTTGTTATTTCTGGCCGCCTGAGGTTTTCAAATGCCCCGCGCTCTTTTTATGAAAGAAAATGATAGCGAGGTATTTGAAACCTTCGGCGGTCAGAAATAAATAAATGAAATCGTAAGCGATAGCGATAGCCATAGCAATCCCGTTAAGCGATTAGCCCCCAGGACGATCGATCGAACGATTAACACTTATGATTGTTGCAGATTCTAGTATCTCGGTTTCTGGTTCGAGTTCCGCCGACGCATCCTAGACTAAGGACCCTTTGGTCCCGAATACTAAGGTCCATCACCACGGCCGCTAGAAGAGACGACGGTACACTGGTTGCTTTGGCACCCCATTACAGGAGGTTAGTTTATCTGTAAAGTCAAAGTTAACAAACTCAAAAACTAAGGACCCTTTGGTCCAGAAAACTAAGGACCGCTAAAAGAGACGACGGCATCCTGGTTACTTTGGCACCACATTATAGGAGGTAAGTTTATCTGTAAAGTCAAAGTTAATAAATTTAAAAACTTAGGACCCTTTAGTCCTGAATATTGAGGTTTATAACTTTGACCGCTAGAAGAGACGACGGAACCCTGGCTGCTTTGGCACCCCATTATAGGAGGTAAGTTTACCTGTAAAGTCAACGTTAACAAACTCAAAACTAAGAACCCTTTGGTCCTGAATACTACGGTCTGCTAGAATAGACGACGGAACCCTGGTATCTTTGGCTCCCCATTACAGTAGGTAAGTTTAAATGTTAAGTCAAAGTTAACAAACTCAAAAACTAAGGACCAGAATATATGCGGTCGCTAGGAGATGTGACGGCACCCTTGTCGCTTTGGTACCCCAATATAGGAGGTAACTTTATCCGTGAGGTCATAGTTAACAAACTCTAAAACTAAGAATCCTTTGGTCCCGAATACTAAGGACTATGACTGCGTTCCCTAGGGCTCCTAGGAGGGACGACGGCACCCTGGTAGCTTTGGCACCCCATTAAATGAGGTTAGTTTATCTGTAAAGTCCACTTCCTCTTTGGATATTATGGCTTCATCGTTATGCACGATGATTCTGCCAATGTCAGGGTAAGGAAAGTCACTTATATCGGTACCCTTAGTACGAGTTTTGAGCTCACGAAAACCATTATAGTTTTCGTAATTGTAAATTATGTTTCCATGTCCATTTTGGTGAAAAGTAACCACATCTACTTAAAATTTAAGAAGACACAAATGATTTAATGATACAATTTAAACACTGTATATTTGTATTGAAACGAAAACAATAAAATCAGTACCCTTAGTACGAGTGCGAGCTCACGAAAACTATCATAGTTTTCGTAATTGTATAACTCGTACTAAGGGTACGGTACTCTTCTTTGTATAATGCGATTCAAATAAGAATAGGAAAGCCAATGACCTCCATCTGTCAAATGTCGCTTGAAAAGTACGGTTTGCAAAAAAATCTCGGAACACTTTTTTAGCACTCGGCTGATTCTAGAATAAAAACCAAACATTAAAAAAAACAATTACAAATGTTGATAATTAATATTAATTGATTTTTTTTTCATTTATTGAGCTTTGGCTATGAATGGTTGATAACCTAAATCGTCAACCAAATGTAACTTTATGTTGCGTTCAGAAACTCGATTTAAAAATTTCGTTTACATATAGGATGCATGTTCGTATGTGACCTGCGTGATCATTAATAACTTCTCCAGCGGTAATGCAGAGATGAGCGAAATTGAAGAGCTAGATTCTGATTAATGCTTTTTTTTCCACAGTCTTTATAAAGAAATACTATTTAAAATCGGTTGTGTTCTTTCTCAACCTTAGTAAATTAATTTTATTAAAAAATCTGAGGTTTTGTATCACTTAATCTTAGTAAAGAAGTAATATTAAATAGCAACATTTTTTTGCTCACTCTACCTATTTGGTTTGAAATGACAGCTATGACGTCAAAAAATGGCGCCCTGTCGGTCCTATTCTTAGCTGAATCGCATTATACGGTGTGGTAGCGCAGTTTCCTCGTGAAGCTATCGCGTGGAGTTGAGATTCTAGAATAGGACAACACATATAATATCACAAGCTGACATGTACCCAAGCATACAAATTGTGTGTAAAGCATTGGAATAGGGGTGATGACGGGGTACAGTAAACGAAATTCTATTTAGCCCGTCAGTTAGATGATCAAAAAATAATAGACACGTATTTTTTCTTTGGGCAATCAACCAAAAAATGACAAGTTATAGCGCGTCAAAGTTTGGGAGTAGGGGCTCGTGACGTCACTTTTGAGTGAATTTTCACTTATGAATGTACTCAAACGTGACGTCATGCGACTTTTCAAATCAATATATCTCTGCAAAGTTTATATTATGTGAAAAAAGAAAAAATACGTGTCCAATACTTTTTGATAATCTACCTGATAAACGAAGAAAAAAAATAGTCATCATCCCTATTGTATTGTAAGAGATGACATGACAAATTATATAAATAATTTCGACATCATAAGACAATGTTGTTAGCCTTTATTAACTTCCCTAGTACTTTAGTAAAGGGTGTATTGACCTGCGTTAATAGGAACGGAATATTTACTGGTCTGGGGATATTTTTAGGTTATAGGCAGACCCGTCTTTCCCAGTGGGCACTTTGGGCAAGCGCCCAGGGCCCCGCGATCAATAGGGGCCTCCCTCAGATCAAATACAAAGTCCCTAGTTCGTAGGGGCCCCATACCCTAATATGCCCGCGATCTCCAATAAGTCAAAGACGGCACTGGTAGTAGGTCATATAAATGTACCTGGATATTCAGGCATCTAAAGAATATGTGTTCCACGGTGCCATCCTCTAGTCTACACACACATAAGGAGTGATGAAATGAAAAGTCATTTATTCAGTCTAGGCTGTTACAAGCACTTGTGAAAGTCAAGAAGCTACGCCATCGGTTCGCAAAACTACGGCGGGAGACCTTGTACTGAGAAGAACCGGCAAGAAACTCAGCAAGGGCTGCTTTTTTCTCCCTGTATTGATATATACAGAGTCGTCAAGTTGAAAAATGACTTCAAACATACTTCTGAAGTCACCTTCCATTACATTATTTAGGGTATAGATATATAGTTACAACAAATTTTATATTTAGTATATATAGGAAGCGGCATTAGATAGGTACCATACTACTGTTACAAAACTGACTCATACCCATTAAATAAGAAATTACAAGAAACACTATGTCCATGCATTACGATCATTTAGATAATCATTAACTTTATAATAGCCCTTATTCATAAGAGTATTCTTAATCTGAGATTTAAATTTGGTTAGTGGAAGCTCAATCAGATCTTGGGGAACTTTGTTAAACAATGCAATACTACATCCCAGAAATGAACCTCTAGATTTTTGGAGTCTGAAACATGGAACAGCAAGCTTGTTCTTAAATCTCGTGTTTAAGTTATGGGTTTGACTTTTTTTTGCAAATGCGTCATAGTTTCTTCTTACATATATTATATTTTCATAGATGTATTGCGATGCCAGTGTTAAAATATTAATTTCATTTAAATGAGTTGTACCGAATACGGAGTTTAGCAAGAAACACGTGTGTATTTACGTGTCACAGGCGTAGCCTGATTATTATAGACTAGTGGCCTGCCCTCGCTTCGCTTCAGTATTTTATCCCCTTGGGGTAGAATTGATCAAAATCCTTACTTAGCGGATGCCTACGACATAACTTCTACCTGCATGCCAAATTTCAGCCCGATCCGTCCAGTGGTTTGGGCTGTGCGTTGATAGATCACTATGTCAGTCAGTCACCTTTGAGTTTTATATATATAGATGTGATGAACCTATTCATGTTGCGCCGGCGGAAAAACCAGGGTTTGCGTGCACTGACCATTCTGCTACCGCGGCCCTGATGGCCGTGTCGAATTTTCTCTACATTTCATGTTCTCAGTTACATGCTTTAAAAAATATATCTATACATATAATAAAATGGTAGGGAAGTCAAAACTGTACCTTGAATATTTATTTTAAAGAATACTTGGGGTGTGATCTACAATCGATATCGAAGCCAAAAATATGGTTTTTTGAATTTTTGTCTGTTTGTATGTATGTATGTCCGGGATTAACTCAAAAAGTACTGCATGGATTTACTTCAAAGGCACGAATAAGAAGTCGGGTCAACATATAGGCTACATATTATCACGCTATCACCTACGGGGAACGAGCAGTGAACCTTTTATTTGTAACTCGCGGGCGCCCGCTGGTATATAAATATACACAAGCTGGTTCCTAACGATAATTCATATTGAACAGGTACATTCAAGCGACTTCAGGCTGGACAGCTGTTTTAGAGTCTTGCAGTATGTTAGCCGAAGCCTTTGATCCGGCCCGCACTCCGTATGCCCTTACTTCATCGGTAAGATAACATTACTCTCTTTAACTTTTATAACAAGCCCATTAGTCATAATAGTAATCAATCATAATCAAAATCATTTATTCAGTGATGCGCGCGCATCTTAAAATTTCATTCTCATCATTTTTTCATAACGCGCCCGCGGCCAACTTCATGGTGTTACTTTTGTGTTACAGTGTTCTAAGCAAGCACGTATGAATGTCTAAAAGCTCGGATAGTAAATCATTGCTTTTGTATTTGCTTTTATTATTTTTTCCGAAATCACTCACATCTAGTACCAGGTTCGAGTAGCAAAAATGTAACAGTACAGGCCATTATTTTCGAAGTTTTCATTGGTAATATTAAGCCAATGATATTAAATAACCTAGATACACCAACACGAACAAAATCGTGCCCGAAACCTGTCCAAAAGGTAAAATTAAAAAAAAAAATCTAAAAATTTAAAGTTTTACATCAAAATTTGCTTCAAATGCGATAAATTAACAAACATTGACTAAGATACCTGTCGACAAAACGACACTTCGTACTCTAAGTATTATTTTCGCATTTTTTCGCGGAGCTCTGTGGCATTTTGACTTTGTAACGGTTCGCGCGTGACTGTGAACCAAGAAGTGCTTGAGTGGAGTACAAGCACTTCTTGATTGGGACACATTTTGAGCGCTCGTGGTGATACTAGGGTATTTAATATCGTTGTATTAAGCAGTAAAATGTTCAATGAAGTTTCAGAAAGTATGCTCTATTCAACTTCCTTTAGAGACAACAGAAAAACAAATCATAAAGAGTTGTTTCAATAGATCGAATTTTCTACGCTTATAAAATCATAATTATAAAAAAGGTGACACTAAAAATAACTAAGACTTGCTAATACCCAAACTTTGAACGCATTATAATACTACTAAATTGAAGAGTATTGATAAAGCAAATAATTTACTTGAAATGTGAAATTTCGTAAACAGTCTTGTTATACAGGCCATCTTTACTCTCGAGAAAACAGTTTAAGAAACATTGGTTTATTTGTTTAATGTCTCGGAAGAAGTTGAATAGAGTGTAGAACAGGTTCATGAAATAAAAATGTAATACTAAAGGCCATTTTAAAGTTTCCATTGATAACATTAAGCAGTTAAATTTTCAGTAAAGTTTCTGAAAGTATTAAACATATTCACAATTTACGATATACTTACACTACTAAGACTATAGTCTGTGCGGAAAGAAAATGGGATTTAGATTGGGGGGCGCTGTAGTGCTTTTCTACCGTATTTGTAAGGTTTTACCCCTTGTAGACATGAATAAATACAAAAAACCGCAAGAAATCACAACAACAAACAAATCCGTATCAATACAAAACTTTGACGTTTTACAGATTGCTGGGTTTGATTGCCGAATAAAAATCTTAATGTTAGTTCCGTTTTTCGTCACGCTCATTCTCTTTCCGCACAGACTCTATTTGTTTTGTTATTTTTAATAGTCCTGGTTGAATTATTGCCAAGTTGCTATCCAATATTGAACCTTATGCTAGCTTTTTACATGGTTTACTAGTAGTGTTTTTTAATTTATAAAAATATAATATAAATTCTAAGTCTTATAATCTGGGGATCGAGTAATCGGATGCATATTTACCTAAAGTTGCGAGTTGGCTATTATGGAAAGCACAATTTTATCGAAATTCCCTTGATTCCGGGAAATTCAAATTTAAGTGTATATGTAGATACTCTGTTAGATCCATGGAGGTTAGAGAGAAGGAGAACGATGGCTACGTACTAAAGCATTAGCCCGCCTGTCCCTGAAAATTTGTAGAATTTATAGTTCATTTTTCAGCCACCAGCCGCGCTGCCGTCGGTAAGTAGTATCTGTGAAGTTAGCTGTTTATGAGTACAAGTATGTATGTAGATGAAGTTAGTTGAATAATGTACAAATTTTCTTCGCGGCATTGGTCATTTCAAATTAGCGCAGAACAGCCCGCTTTTATTGAGACAACTTAGCGATCGCAGCGCCTCACTTATTTTGTCCATATTTCTGGGACACTATTTTCTACAGCAATCGTTCTCTTTCTCTCTAACGTCCATAGGTAAAACCATTGGATATTGTAAAACTATAGTGAGTGGCAGATGATCTGCAAGAGCTTTTTAGGCCTTAGGCGTCCATTAAACGACCTCTGTGGCCTTCTCATTCCACTTGGACGTTAGTACTAATACGAAACTATAGTGAGGGACAGATGATCTGCAAGAACTTTTTAGGCCTCAGGCGTCCGTTAAACGACCTCCTTAACCTCCATGGTTAGATCTAATTAACACAATTTGACATAAATGGTAGTTGCCCTATTATTACAACGTAATTTGGTTGCTTTTCCCTTCTTTATTGTCAATGAATTCCAGGATTTTTGATTTAATAAAAAAAACCTAAAAATTTGTCAGCTAAAAATATAATTTTAAGAGAATATGCATCTGATTATGCAATCTCCACTTATATCCTACTTATGTTAGATTTCTTATAGCCTCTATTTCATTTACTTGTATGCAATAAATTCATATTTTTTCCTTTATCTCTTCCACAGTTCACACTATCTTGCGTATGCACATTAGTAGAAAGAGCTACTACTCTCGTCAACACTCCAGAAGCGACTTCGAACGAACGCCAATGGTCTAAATTCCTAAAAACATTGGCCAGAGCACTCAAAAACACGACTTTGAATATCGCCAAACCATTACACCCAATACCGGAGTCTAGACTTATGTGTCATATAAAACAATTGGAGTCAAGAACTACGATCGAAATATTGCAAAGGGGTAAAAGCGCGACTGAATTTGCCGATGTTAGTAAGACGGATGTGCAGGAGCAGTTGATCAAACATTTGTGTTGATTGGCCGTGAAATTTGTCTAGTTGCGGCCAATGTTGGTCGTGATAAAGTTGGGCGATTTTGGTCGTGACGAAGTACGCCAATATTGGCCGTGCATAGTATGCCAATATTGATGCTGAAAAAGTATGACAATATTGGTCGTGACCAATGCTAGCTAACTTATGTCAGTTGAGCCGATGTTGGCCGGCTATTGGCGAATATTTGTTAGTGTAACGATGGCTTAGTTTTCGTTTTAAATTACGTTGATGTTGTGACCAACTTTGGAGGCGAATATTGATTGAATGTTACAGCATTTAAATGGTTGTTTTCATGACTTTATCACTGGATAAGTTTAAATTGAGAAATCTTGTGCGTTAAGACAGCTTTTTTGTAACTTTCGCCAATAAAAAATGTAATCTTAGAAAGCGACACCAGACATATTGTCCCTTTTGCACATTAGTGTTATAAGACGTGTGACTAAAATTTCAAGGAAATATTGCCTGAATGATCATTTAGCATTGACTTGTGAAAGCATAATATGGTGACGTTGGTAATTAAAAAGTTTTAATGGTTTTTAAAAGACGACGCCTTCGTCAATTTAGAACATTCGATCCAATATTTGGTACAATGTTGGCGTATTGGCGGCTTATATTTATATGGTTTCAATTGTTAGCGCAAATATTGGCAAATCATTGATGACTGTTAGAAGGCGCATTTTTCTTTCAACTTCTTACTTTCAAAATTTGTGTTTGTGAAATTATGGATGGCCATATATTTGCGCCAACAATTTTAAGTATAGAAATATATTAGGCAAATGGGTGTAAAAAAAAGTTAACTCACTAATGTATGTATGTAGATTTATTTCACGTAAAATCGATTTGTTTATATGGTTCAAATAATCGGTTTTATCTTACAATAATTATTATGTATAAATAATATAAAAAAAATGTATTTGCCTACGAGACCGGTGTAAATTCGTAATTTGACTTTGAAAAACTTTACTGTAGATATAATGAAGAAAAAACACAAGTAAATCTATGTTTTTTTTTATAATTTATACCCTTGGCCATGGCTAATTTGTTGGCTGGACTTAGCGAATGTTTGGTCCAACGTTCGGCCAGTGTTTAAATTAATCACTAATGACGTACACTGTATAAAGTTTTAAAAAGTAAATAATGTTCCTTCGTTGACAAATCCGATCGCCATCTTGTTTTCTCGAGACGCCATTCTCGAACTGTTATAATTATCCAATGTTCGAGAATTCTCACTTACTATTTCATAAATGTTTTTCGTCTATAAATTTAAGTATCGTAACATTAGATTTATGAAAACCGATGGCGGTTGGTTAATCTGTGGTATACAGAGCATTATTCTCATTTTTTTTTAATTGTATATCTGTTATGTATATCTTAGACTGTGGTACATTTATGCTTATGTAAAATATTTATAATATAAGGCAATGCAATCGAGTGACGTTGTTTTCTTTCTATTTTTAACAATGAAATTGAGAATTTTTAAGTATAAAAAAAACAATTGAATCAATTTTGGGAGTAATTATAGTATCCCTTTAAAAAAAGGCGCTTAGTTTAAATAACCTCGTTATAATATTTGACACCACTCAGATTTTGAGTTTATCTGCAAAGTCTTTTATAAAAAGATGTAAGTGATATAAAAAAAACATTTATTCTTTCAAATTTAAATGCCCGTAAGAGAATTACGTTGCTCGATTACATTGAAGACATTTATGAAAAAAATATTTATCACTCGATAAGTCATTCTGATATTAGTTTCGAGTAGAATGGCTACATTTGCTTTTAAAATAAGTCTGACTATTGCAATACCGGTCAGTGTTGCCAATCGGGAAACTGCCATCACAATGAAAACAATAAAAAACTGGCAACACACAAAACAAAAAAACATAAACGCGATATTTAGTTGTTCATTTATATGTGTAAATATTAAGAATATGCAATTAAATGTTTTACCCTTCTAGTTTATTAGCGTCTTTTTTAATTTAAAAGGAAAATTATAACATTATATAAATGCTTTTTAATTATTAAAAAAAATGATTATTATTTAATATTAAAAGCGAAGGTTACATTAAAAAAATCCATTGAATTTAACACGATTATGGAAGCCGATATGTTTTGAATCCATAAAAAAATTCTTGGATTGACATTTTATATTAAACTTGAGAGAATCGATTTTTCCGCTGTGGAACATGTTTTTTGATAATTTTAGTCTGTGATCAGTGTTAACGCGTGTTTGCTCTTTGTTTTTTTTTAATCTGCAAATTTTCTAAGATTTTATATTATAACGATTTGATCTCGATTTTTACGGCTGAAACATCGATTCTCGATTTATCAAAATCACATAACAACATTTGTTCCAAAGTCATGTGAGTTTGAGTTAGAAGTGGTTAGATGAAATTAAGTTTTTGGGATTTCTACGGAATTATTAGTTTTCTCACTAATTATAACTTTGTGGCATTTCAAACGCGTTTCAATGGCAGTGACACTTTATATTAAAAAGCTACCATCATTCAAATTTCAGTGCGTCTTTATGATTGTGAGTGACAGACAGACAGACATGGCTGGCGATTTACCAAAAAATGGTGAAAGCAGTTCTACTTATTATTAAAAATAAAATTATGTCTTCTTACAGTAAAATATCCTTTCTTCGATATTTAATATACTTTCCTTCCGTGTGGCATGCCCGTGGGACACCCTATATAGTCTAACTACAAAAAACTTAACAGCTTTTTTTCTCAAACTCATGTTTAACGTATGTTTAACTTTTTAGTGGTAATAAAACTAGTTTTTTTAATTAAACTTTTTTGTTTTTTTAGACTGCGAAAACTTCAGACTCGGCAGTTGTTAAAATAATATTATTTTTTACCTACACTTAATATTGAACATAGAGTTATTTAATTTTCAACCTTAACACTTATATAACGCGTACTAATCAATATCTAAAAACACAAAGGCATTCGTAACTTCAAAACACCTACCATTGGAAAGCGTATGAAACGCCATTGAAGTATAATTAGTTTTTTATTTTAATATTTATGTATTGTATATATTTCATATAAAAAAATAGTTTTCACTGTTCAAGCGAGTATCGACCGGTCAACGTTTTGCCTACAACTTTCGTGACAATGAAATTTCGACCTTAAATTAATGTATTGTAAGAACTTGTTCTTCACATCACTTAAAATTACAATTTGTGATTCGATGTTAACAAATAAAACACAGCTGTTAATTGTTTATGAATAAGGAGGAAAATTGTTCAGCAATTATAAAACAGAATATAGATTTTCTACTCCTAGAATACAGAATTTACTTCAGTAATTTCGTAATTGTAACTCGAGAAGCTTTTTTATGAAAGTCAGTGGTTTTAATGGTATATCTGTCAATAAAAACGACCCATCTGATGTTTTTTGTCAAACTACAAACAAGTGCACTGATTACGTCAAATATGCATTTATTAATGGCTTAATTACATTTGGTCGTTAGTCGTTCGGGTGTACTTTATAGTTCGAATACAGGCGCCCGAAGCAAAGTTTTTTACTGGAATACGGGCTGGAAGACGGTATCGGGTAACCAAAACGAAAACTACCCGAATATGGGCGTACTCGACTCCGTTTATTTGCACTTAGTCGTTTACCCAAATTCCATTGGCAATCGTATTCGGGCTGACGAACAAGTGTAATTGAACCTTAAGTGTCGCCGCACACGGGCCACCGACCACAACCACAAAACGCCGCCACCGGCATATTTCTTGTAGTTTTCATACATTTTATATGGACTCGCCACACACGGTACGCCGGTGGCCGCCACACCGCACCGGCCACTTAATGCGCCGATACAAAACGCCGCCACACTTCACTCGCGCGATTCCCCACCCCTCTCTCCCTTACCTTAGTCGGCCGCTGTCGCGCGCTTCAGCCACTTTAGTAGCCGCTTCTAGCTTCTCGTGGCGGCGTTTGTGGCTGTGGCGTGTGGCCCGTGTGCGGCGACACTAAGAGTTAAGTTTAATGATGTTGGGGTAAAGTAAACGAAATTTTTTCAGTTCCTCAGTTAGATTATCAAAAATTAACGGGCACTAATTTTTTATTTTGTCCATCAACCAAAAAATGTCAAAGATAAAACGCGTCAAAGTTTGGGAGTGCAACTCGGGGCGTCACTTCTAAGTAAAAATTGTACCAAGACGTGACGTCATGTGACATTTTAAATCGATCTCTGTAATGTTTTGATTATAAAGAAAACATACGTGTCCAATACTTTTTAATAATGTACCTGAGACGCGAAGAAATATTTTTTTGTCAATATCCCTATTTTACACATTCTCTTTAAAAGGGTGACTTTTGAAGGTTTTATCAAAAGTTGAGGACGGGCCATTGTGTTTGTGTGATGATCAATAGTGTCAACATTATCTTTATAAAAAAAAAACATATATTACAGTATATTTTTCACGCTTTCTCAACGGCGTTAAGTTGGCTGTAAGATACTCGTACCTAAAGCACATTCTTCAAAAGAGAACATAAATAAATCATGATGTTTTACTGTTATGTGTTCAACATTGATCGTTAAAATATTATTACAATTATATTAGGTGCAATCTTTCGTGTCATCCCTTCATGGTTTTGTGTCATTGGTTAAATACAGTTTTGAAAGACTATTGACTGCGCTGTTAAGTTCAATTTTGTATCCAGTAAAGTCAATACCGACTTTAATTAAAAGACTTTGCTATTGCCGACTTACTTATTATTTTTATTTTAACAAAACGACTCGATTAACTGTTGAATAAATTAGACACACAGTTTTTATAAAAAGAACGTATCTGTCAAAGTTAATTACTATTTTTTAACAATGACGGGTGATGAGGGGGGGTAGATTATCAAAAAATAATGAACACTTTTTTTCTTCCGTCAATGTACAAAAAGAATTTCAAAGATAAAGCCTGTCAATGTTTGGGAGTGGAGTCTCGTGACGTCACTTCTAAGTATGCCAAGGCGTGACGTCATGCGACATTTCGAATAGATATGTCGCTGTAACGGTTCAATTATGTAAATACGTGTCCAATACGGACGGATTCACATTGCGCCGGAATACAGTTAACAAGAAAAACGCTTACGGGAAAAACCCAAGCTCTTTTCTGCTATAGATTTAAAAGAAATTAAAAAAAAACAATCAATTAAATATTTGAAAAATCTCCTTTTATCTAACATAATAAAGACACAGACAGACAGACAATTTAATCAGACAAAATTTGTCCAATTTGTTCGTCTTTTTGGAAGTCACTTTTTATAGCAGAATGTAATTTTAATCGTTTTTGGTCCGTATTACAGAATGACAACTAAGTGTTGATCTTTACTTGAGTACAGTTAGAAAGGGATGTCGCTATGTGCTGTATATAGCGACATCCCTTTCTAACTATGCTCAAGACTAGATCAACCACTGGGAATGTTTCTATAATACGGCCCTTAATCTTTGTTATAAAACGGTAGCCTTCTTCAGCAACCGCAAAACTAAATGCAAAGTTGGCTAAGCAAGTATTCCTTATAAACAATTTTCTAGAAAAATAAATGCGTTTTCTCCATATTACTGTACTGATCCAGTGAAATGAGAATCCGTCCTTTTGCGAATTCCGAAGAAGTGCGAACAAATGTACTTTTTGATAATCTACCTGGGGGCCAATAAACGCGATTGCTATTGAAATGCCTCGAGCTCTTTTTCTTTTGCATTGGTAATAACAAGGTATTTGAAAAATTTAGGCGGTCAGAAATATAAAAATGAAATCGATAGCGACAGACATAGCAATCACATTAGGCGATTGGCCCCCTGGTCGACGAGAAAAAATAGTCATCATCCATATTTTCACATTTTTTCACAACGCCATCAGAACTGACGGACACAAAATTGTACTGTGTTTCACTCATGATATATATTTTTAAAAAATACTTAGAAATTAAAAGGGAAATGTAAATAAAAAATCAACTGCCACTAAATCACCGTGTTAAAGTCTTATTTTTATTTGTTAAAAGAAACTTATTTCATTTTGTAATAATAATATTATTATATTTTCGGCGTTTGGTAAACGGACGGGAGTGCAAGTATCCTTTTTTTACTATTAGAAGTTTTTAGTTCTTTTTTATCCATAAAATAAATAGATTTTGTTTATAGTATGACTTTGGTTTTATTATTGAACACGTTTGTGTTCAATTAACATCACATCAGTACCCCTAGCACGAACCATTATCGAATTCGAATAGTTTGCAAACCGAAATGTCAATGTCAAATTTTGTATACAAACTTGAACAGCAGCGGCACAAAGGACGTAACGAGAACTAAAAATCAGTACACATTTGACAATGACATTTTGGGACTCGCAAACGATACGAATTCGATATTGGTTCGTGCTAGGGGTACAGGTTTACCCATAGAGGTATAAGAATAGAGTAGGGGAGATAGACTCTACTACAAGTGGAAGTGTTAATAGAAAGAGAAAGAAGACGAGAGACCGCTAGCTTTCTCTCTCTAATCGCGCATGCGCATTGGCAACCGTAAGCATGTTACTATTTCGATGTGATGCCATTGGAGACCATGCGTCACAAGACAGAGAGAGATAGCTAGCGATCTCTCATCTTCTTTCTCTTTCTACTAGACGGACACTTTTAGAGCCGCCTTCCCCACTCTATTCTTATACCTCTATGGGTTTACCACTGTCTGAAATACTCAATTTTAACATTTCATATACCAGGGGAGATCCAAAATTTGCTTAAAATATGTGAATGATCACGTCGATCTCAAACTCTTACGTGCTTCGGAAGATAAGTTGAGCTGATAAGACTCAAAGCAGTATTTACAGTGCTGATCTTCTAAGGGCAGATTTTTCCAATAGGGGTGATGACGGGGTACAGTAAAAGAAATTCTATTTAGTCCGTCAGTTAGATGATCAAAAAATAATGGACACGTATTTTTTCTTTGGGCAATTAACGAAAAAATGACAAAGTTATAGCGCGTCAACCTTTGGGAGTAGGGGCTCGTGACGTCACTTTTAAGTGAAAATTGTACCAAAACGTGACGTCATGCGACTTTTCAAAGCAATACATCTCTGCAATGTTTATATTATGTGAATAAAGAAAAAATACGTGTCCAATACTTTTTGATAATCTACCTGATAAACGAAGAAAAAAAAAATAGTCATCATCCCTATTCTACGATAAAACTTATCAGTCAAAATAAATGTTCTTCGCATCGAAAAAAATACATGAATTAAAATATCCGTTCAATGTGTTCATATGATATTTCTTTCCTCTGTTCAGCATAATATTATATTCATTCCGGGGTAATACTATGGGGGTTTATTAAACTCCCAAACGGCTGGACGGATATGAATGGAATCTTATGTTTGCATTCTTCGGGATTGTTGGATGGTTTTTAATTGTCAATTGGACCCGATAGGTGGCGCTGCAAGCTTGTTTTAGGTTTTGCTTAAAAAATTTATCTTGCTTTATTTTTTCTAGGCATTAAAGAATAAGCCACCAGTTATAAAATTTTATGAGAAACTTGACAATTTCAGCTCTTGCAGTAGATTGAACACTGTTTCCACCAGCTTGTATTTCATGTTGAAAGTCGTTCGTCTCGCATCCACTGAGCCATAGGACATGTTCAAGGTGAATAAATCCGGATAGAACTGGAAATAAAACAAGTCTTTTTAAAAAAATAAAAACGAGTGCTTATGGGCACACGACTGAAGTGAAACTTCTTTAGATCCATCTTATTTATGTGTACACGATCTACCCCCTACCCCTAGCACTAACAGTACCCCTAGCGCGAACCATTTATCGAAGTCAAATAGTTTGCGAGCGCTAAATGTCAAGTCAAATTCTGTATGGAAACTTAAACAACAGCGCCACAAAGTACGTAACGTGAACTAAAATCAGCACACATTTGACAGTCATTTCGGACTCGCAAACGTAACGAATTCGATATTGGTTCGTGTTAAGGGTACCTTGTTCTAGCGAGAATGTATTAGTATCGCCATTTCAAAGTTTATATGAAAGAAGTCAGTTTGTTCTTCCGTCCGGTAGGGGCGCTGCCTAGTTTCCATAGACTAACTGACGTTGGCCATGGACCAATAATATATATAGGTCCCTGCGTTGGCAATACCACAGAACACAGAAAGAGATAAGAAGGACTTGACCAAAGCTTGGTTCAACTTAGTTAAAAAATTTTGATATGTTCCATAAAAAATACCTTACCGGAAATCCCATCATGGGCTCTGTGTTGAAATCTTGCGTCATTTCATTACACTTGAGTATGGTGGCTCGCTGTGGCGTCACGTGTAACAACTGAAGTTTGCCCTGCAGGTAAGGAATATAATAAGCAACAATAGTACAGTACCCTTAAAACGAACCAATATCGAATTCGAATCGAAATCGAGTCCGAAATGTCATTGTCAAATGTGTATTGATTTTTAGTTCTCGTTACGTCCTTTGTGCCGCTGCTGTTCAAGTTTCCATACAAAATTTGACATTGACATTTCGGTTTGCAAACTATTCGAATTCGATAATGGTTCGTGCTAGTGGTACTGGTCGCGGCACGTAACTAGCGCTGTCAAAAACGTGTCAGGGATAACTGTGCATGGGTACGACTGGAGAGCCAATCGGCGCAACGCACGCCCACCCGCGCACTTCGTTTCCCCCCAACACATCTTAATTTTTACTTCTACGCAATAACGGTCAGCGCTAGAGTTTCGTGCCGCGACTTATATCCACGGTGTCACCTTAGTGCTAAAGCAAGGTCCTCTTTAAACAAGGCACTATATACTGGAACAACTTACAAATCTATGGCATACATAGGAGTGCTTTCGGACCAATACGACCCGAAAACCTTGAAAAATAAAAAGAGGTTACTCCATCCCTAGATGCCGGTATTGTGATCGACTTTGACCTATTGGAGGCCCTGGATATATTAGGATAATGGGGCCACTACGAACTATGGACTTTGTATTTGATCTGAGGGAGGCCCCTATTGATCTCGGGGCCCTGGGCACTTGCCCAAAGTGCCCACTGGGAAAGACGGGTCTGCTCCTGGTGTTGCAGGTGTCTATGGGCGACGGTGATCACAGAACACAGACAGCAGTGAGAAGGGTCTTGTAGACGGGGCAGGCGCGCCACAGTTATGTGTGAGCAAATTTATTTATTTATTTATTCATGGAAAACAAACAGCATGTTAAAACTAAGGATAAAACGAGATGATGTAGCATTGATATGCCTTATACAGTTTTCACAAATACAACTCAAATAAAATATACTTAATCCAATCGAGGCCGTAGATTAATTTAAAACTATATAAAAATAAAAACACAGAAGCAAAAAAATAAGCATAAAGCCATACCCACAGAGAAAATGGTGATAGAAATATAAAGTAATTTAAATTAGGTTTTATTATTATTATTAAAAAATTTACTATTCACAATCTTTTTGAAATAATTTTGTTTCCCCAGGAATACGTCCACATCACTTGAATAATTATTATTGAAATTTTGTTTTACTCTATTAAAGTAGGAATTCTGTCTATAATTTGTGGAACATAAATCAGTATGGAATCGCAGATAATTGCGTCTGGCAACTGTACGGAATGGTACCTGGATTTTAACCAATGATAGTAGCTCATTGCTGTCTATCTTGCCGAGAATTAAGTTGTGGAAAAATGTTAAGTCCGCAGCTTCTCTACGCTTACTTAATGGAATTAGATGGTGTCGTTGGCAGTTAACAATATAATTTGGACCCGGACTTAACCCAAATTTGAAGTTTAAAAACTTCAGGAACTTTTTTTGGATCTTTTCTAATTGATTAATATAACAATCATATTGAGGATTCCAGACCTGGGATGCGTATTCCAGGTGACTTCTTACCAAAGAGCAAAATAAAATTTTTAATGATTTTGCTATTTTAAAATCTTTGGTTGATCTGAAGATAAACCCTAACATTTTCATGGCTTTTGATGTTATATTATCAATGTGCCTATCTAGAAGGAGTTTCGAATCAAAGATTACGCCCAGGTCCTTTATGTAATCTGTACGCTGTAATGACTGTACATTAATTTTATAGTTGAAGTGGAGGATATTTTGAGATCTACTGAAAGTAATACAATTACATTTAGATATATTAAGGTCGAGTTTATTTGCAAGACAATAGTCCTGTAGCCTAACGAGATCCTGTTGCATAAGTACACAATCGTGAATTGAGCCAATCTTTCTGAAAATTTTCATGTCATCTGCAAATAGTAGTATTTGTGAGTGTTCGAAGCATAATATTAATGTCATTAACAAATATAATAAATAGAAGAGGACCCAAAATGGATCCCTGTGGTACACCAGATGGAATGGCCGAGAAACGTGAGTGGGAAGAGAAACCGTTAAGAACGACCGTTTGGCATCGATTGGCAACATAAGAACTTAACCACCGGAAAAGATTTCCGCGTATACCCGCTGATTGTAGCTTTCTGAGCAGTAACACGTGATCAATCCGATCAAATGCCTTGCTATAATCGGTATAGATTGCATCAACTTGCCCACCCGACTGCATTCCATTAGTCACCTCCTCCAAGAACGATAAGAGGTCGGTCACTGTAGATCTGCCTTTTAAAAAACCGTGTTGCTGTGGAAGAAATGTATTTTTGAGGGCTGTGTATATTTGGCCGTGTACAATTTTTTCCAGTACCTTAGCTAAGACACATAGTTTGGATATAGGTCTATAGTTAACAACCTCAAGCTTTGATCCTTTCTTGTGAATAGGAGTAACAGTTGCTGTCTTCCAGATCGCTGGTACCACGCCCTCACCAATAGAACGTTTGAATAAGTAAGTTACAGGTGAGGTTAAACTACGAGCACTTCTGGAGATCAGAATCGGATGCAAACCGTCAGGTCCCGCAGACTTTTTACGATCCAACGAGACTAACAACTTGAAAACGTGATCATGTGTAATTTCAATCGTGGAGATTTCGGCAGTAGATGGTGTAATATCAGGTCCAATTAAATTATCTAAATCAGTGTTCGACTGGGAAGGCGATGTTAAAAAAGAAGAATGAAAAATTCTGCAAATGCATTGCAAATGTCATCACCGTGGGTCATAGTAGTGTTGTTATACAACATAGATGAAGGATAAGAGCTCTTTTCCTTTTTTACATATGACCAAAAAACCTTAGCGTTGTCACGTAAACTATTTTCAGTATTTTCTATATACTTATTATAACAATCCTGTTCCACTTTTTTCACTCTCTGACGCAGAATGTTAAATGCGATGCCGTCGACCTTATTGCCGTAGGTCTTATATTTAATATGCAGCTTGTTTTTTTCTTTTAGAATTTTTTTCAAAGCTGGTGAATACCATACTGGGTAACGGCTGGGGTTCACATATTTAAAGGGTATATATTTGTCTCTAAGATTAGACAATATTTGATTGAATCTTGCCAGTGCTTCATTGAGTGACTCACATGATAATATGGTATCCCAATCATAATTATCAAGTTCATGGCATATAGCAGAATAATCACCTTTATTGTAAAAATATTTTAGGTATGATTTGGGGCTTAAGGTCGCCATATCGAGAAAATTACATTGGCAGATTAGGGCAGGATGATAAGAGTCCTCGTCTACTAGAGGGTCATTGCAGTGATGAACCGCTAAATCTCCATTAGACAGAATCAAATCGAGTATGCCATTTAAGTGATTTCTGACACTGTTAAATTGGTTCAAATCACAAAAATGCATTAAGTCTTTTAATTCATTATGATTAATATTATTAGAGCGAAACGATGGACTTAAATACTGAACGCCGTCAGATAACGACCACAATATATCGCTTAAGTTAAAATCTCCAGCGATTATATATTTATCTTGGGGGTTATTTGTATAAATTGATGAAACTTTGTTGCAAAAGTTTGATAATTGTGTGGAAAAAGATAATCCATGATGCTGTTGACATAAATAAATACATACAATATGTACGTTAATAGGGGCCAGTCCTTTTTTTTTGAGCCAATTCTAAGAGAAACCCATATATCCTCCGCAGTTGAATGCCATTCAGGCCGTGCGGACACCGTTAAGTCGCGGCGCAGAGCGATAAGGACTCCACCTCCACGCGTCTGTCCCACAGTCGAGTAGTCTCGGTCGCGACGCCATACCGTGTACTTGTCACTGAACAACTCGTCGTTGTTTATACCGTCCAATAACCATGTTTCTGTTAGTAATATAACATCATAGTTGTGAAGTTGAATGTTTCTTTTAAACTGCACCGTCTTCGTCCGCAAACCCCTGACATTTTGGTAATAAATATTAATCATCGTAGCATCCGATCCAGCCGATGTGGCCGGACCGCAAACCACAACAACCAATCTCACCATTTTTTGAACGTTGTATGTCAGGGGTTCGAAGATCGAAAACAGTGCAATACAGGCAAAACATATACTTCATGGTGTGTGTTTTTAAAATAATTATTATGCAATAGTTTTTTTTCAATGAGTTAATGTATGTTCGTGTTGATGTTTCGTGACAAGTATCGGTAATTAAAACGCAAAAAAGAATCAGCAAATTAATACGTATGATTAAAATTAGATAACGCATTTCAAATTGAAATGAGTCTGTAGAAAGTATTATAGTAAGTGTGTTTATATGTACATGAATAGCAGAGCTGCAGTAACATTTTGTTAAATTAATATTGTGTAAATAAAGTAATAGATAATGTGCAAAATCATTACGTATCTCTGTTTGAGACTTGAGGTTCAAAGCGTACCATTTCAATAAAGTGCAACATAAGGTGCAGCAACCATCATATACATAAAAATTTATAACTTGAGACATATAGTATGCGTAAGGGGTGTGTAAATTGATGTCTTTATGGGAATTACAGTGGCGACTGTATGCAAAAATCAGTAAATACTTTCGTAGAATGTCATTCAGTATTGAAAAATAAAGGTGACACATTGTAGAACGAGTTAAATAGTTTAACATGGATGTGAATATTTTCATAACCGAAAAATAAACAAATAAAGTGAGGTAGGTTTTTGAAGAATTTAACTGAGTAAAAATTAAAAAAATATTATAATAGTTTGTACCTTCAATATGTGGGTATGGCTCGTACATTGTAGTAAGGGCAGATAACAACAGCAATAACTTAAAAATGTAAACACAAAATGACTTTATTATGCAACAATGTAGTCATTGTATAATGGATAGGTCACTTTCACTTTTAACTGCATGTATTGGTGAGGTATCATTTTTTCTAATGAGTATCTTGCAGTTTTGAACCCACACGTACTTAAAGTTTTTCTCCGAGGCTATCTTCTTAACTTTTATAAGTAGTTGCTTATTTTCTCTAGTGAGGTGATCGTTGACGTAAACATTGGTCTCACCAAAACCTAAACTTTCAGCAGTCAAGTTTGGCTTGTGGGCTCTAGCCGCGGCAACAAAATTCTCTTTGGTGTATCTTACGAGAAACCCAACAATGATTGGCTTCGGTTCGGTAGTAGACCGCACGCGGGTGATAAAGTTAATTTCCGTTTTTTGAATAGGCTGTCCTAGCAAGTCTCCAATTTGCATCACAATTTCGAACAGATTTTCTTTTTTTTTCATTGGGATACCCTTAATTTCTACATTATTTGCTCTCAAAAGTTGGTCCCTAGAGGATAACTCATCTGATAACTTCGCTATTTCGATCTCCAACTGGGGGTAGCATTCAGGCATTGATGGCTTCTTCTCTAGTATCCACTCTTTCTATTACTCCTGCCAATTTTGCCGAGTTTCCAGCCACTTCTTCTTTAATAATAGACATTGACAGTTCGAAGTTATGAATAGTTTCCTTAATATTTTTTATTTCCTGCACTATAGATGGTAGTTGTTCTAAACGAGTATTGATTCCAGTTATGCCATTTCTCAATTCTTGAAGAACGAGGTCAAGGGTGGCCGCCTAAGGTGCTGCTCCAGGTGACATGGGTGTTGCGACCCGAGAATTATTTGATTTACAGCTTGTACATTGGATCGTTGCTTGTCTGGCCGGTCCAAGTTTCCGATAGTTAGACTCCGTTATATTTGCACAGGAAAAGCAGTAAAACACAGCACATTTTGAGCATTTAACACCGTCCGAGTAGTTATTTTTACAAACTGGGCAAGCGAACATTATGGACGAAGTATATTTATAAGTTAGTGAAATATCCGTGCCGCGGTGGGTAAACGCAGGTTCTTAGCGTAGAAGCAGTAGGTAGCGTTTTTGCGTGTTGACGATGCAAGCGCGCGGCGCGAAATGCTCATAACTTGACCAAAACTTAGAAACTTAGATCAATTGAGAATTTTTCATATATCCATGGTATGAATAATAGAGAAAAGGGAGAGTATATTCAAAACAATTTTCCGTTATAGTCTTCGCCAACCGTATTTCCCGATGAATAGTTTCCTATTAGTTATGTATGTTTTTTGAAATCTATATAATATATACGACTTACAATATCCGAATATTTGCTTAATCGTCACTTATTCAAATCCGGCTCGAAGGACCAAATGTTCACACATTACACTATTCTACGAAATGAAACATCTAACCATGGGGGTTAGCGAAGGAGAACGATCGCTAAGTGCTAAATCATTAGCCCGCGCGTCCCTGAAAATTTGTAGAATTTATCGTTCATTTTTCAGCCACCAGCCGCGCTGCCGTCGGTAAGTAGTATCTGTGAAGTTAGCTGTTTATGAGTACAAGCAGATGAAGTGAGTTGAATAATGTACAAATTTCAAATTAGCGCACAACAGCCCACTTTTATCGAGACAACTTAGCGATCGCAGCGCCTTGCTTATTTTGTCCATATTTGGGATGGGACATTATTTTCTACAGCTATCTTTCTCCTTCTCTCTAACCTCCATGGTTTTACCACAGAGAACGCTCTTTGTGAGTTTTACTTAGTTGTACTTACTAACCTCACGTTTCTTGTCTACTGCCTCGCGTATCTGCATTATTATATTGCGACTGTTAGCCGATGCGTTCCATCTGCGAAAACAACAATTAAACAATCTCTTTAGGATGGTTGACCAAAAATTAATCATCTCGGACCACTCTGTGTCTCTGTCTTTGGAAGGCACTTTACGCCATTGGTCCCGGCTGCATATGCAGTCGTTAGCTCCCACCATAGAATACAGAAAGAGGTTAGAAGGGCCAATTATGTGTGAGCAAATGCTCATAACTTGGATAAATGTAGCCAATTGTGAAAAAACCAAAATCCTTAGTCCAACATTTCTGCTTCCTCCACCGTCGAAACTCGAATGAATTCACTAGGTGTTTCCAATCCCATCTGAGTTGCAATTTGAAGAATATCTTGCTTCCCCCCCCTCCATAGGCAATCGGCTGGCGACGTCCTTGGCTAGGGACTTTATTGTAGAAACGTAAACAAAGACCTTTAAATGAATTATGACGATGTATTGATTATATGGAGTCTAACGACTGGTACAGCGAATCCATTTCTATTACAAGTATAAACCGAGTTTAATTAACGCATATGTAAAGTTAATACATACCTGCTCCACTGAAAGTTGTAAGCTCTGGACAGGAAAGCCATGGCATGGTAGTTGTGTCTCTCTGATACCCACTCCTTGGGGCAGGAGCCCTCGACATGGTTGTAGGCGTCGAAGTCCGGGAAGAAATCGCAAGCTGCCTCCCGCATTATCTAGAACAGTGGAGGGCATACTTTATCTTATAAACAGGTCCGACCAAGGATTCTGTGGAAGCAAGACTTGTCACTCTATAATAACAGATGTCGTTTACAGCGCTGCACTCAATAATATAGAAACCCTACATCGTGCTAATGAAATTCGAAGGCTAACCCATCATATACAGGGTGTTACAAAAATACAAATAAAGCTTGAAGGGAGTTGAAGTACATCATATAAGGAGTCTTCTCAAATTTTCTTAAAATATTTGCATGAAGTTTTAACTTTTTATGAAAACAGTTATTTTTAATGAATAATAAAAATATCGATCATTTTAAGACACGCCACAGTAACCCCCTGTATACAATGTAAGAACAACATTAATTAGGCCGCACCCCGCGAGCTACCATCACCCAGCTCGGAGGAAGATCTTTATTTGGTTACGACTGTTTATTTGGTTGTCTGTCTGTATGTCAGCCACGCTTGCACGTCATAACCATGTCATATATGAGTAACCAAACCAGTCTACGATTTACCAATTCTACAAATCAATCTGCGGTTGACAGACCACTTTTTAATTTACAATACAAGCAACGGATTGGCCAAACTGATCAGCAGTTTCTTGTGTTGGGGAAATATGCACTCTTTTTTTAGCTGACAACAAATCATGAGTATTTTTTCGTTTATTTATTAATTACATTATAAGTTGATGACGGGTTATGTTATTATAGATATTAACGGGATTGTTACCATGTACCTTGTTTTTTATGAGTCTCCGATATTTCGGCACTGTTGCAAGCGCCATGATCACGGAGTAACTGAAGTAATTGCGGGTAGATGTTATTGGCAAACATATCGGTCTACCCTCTGACGTCGTCTTTTACTGCGTTCGATACTACCACTACCATTGGTCACATTCTCACTATTCCCTTCTTACTTCAGTTACTCCGTGATCATGGCGCTTGCAACAGTGCCGAAATATCGGAGACTCATAAAAAACAAGGTACATGGTAACAATCCCGTTAATATCTATAATGTTAGTGACCATGAAAGTTTAAAACAATATAGGGTTATGTTATGTTGTGATGTAAGAAATTTGATATTTGGTAGAGTAGGCCTATCAGATTCCGAGAGATGCAGCCAGAGAGGTTGAATGGGCCTTCAAATTTCTTAAGCTGACTTGAGCTTTATGTTATTTAAATAAGTTATCTTTTGACAATATTTGACAGGTCGTAGCAACCCGTCCTTTGACATGACGTTTGGCCGTCTATACATTACCAAAATTATTATTAGGTATTTTGTTATCTGATTATCATTACAGCTGAAATTAACAATGCATGTATTACAGAGATTACAAGTTGAGGAGCTGGCGAACAAAACGGTAGTATAACGCATCTGGTCAAACTATTTATTTTTACAGCCCGGAGGTTTCGGGCCCGTTGAATTTGAATCTCAAATAATTTCCAATCAAAACCGCCTAAAACAGTGTTAAAATTACTAAAATAAATTAAAAACTATGACAAAAGCTCACTGGAGGTATGTCATTCAGTTTTATACAGCTCCTGTAAAATTTAACCTTATGTAATAGGGTATTTGACAAGTTTTAGGCAACAATCTCACGTTATTGACTAATGTTTATGGAGTCCGTAAAAAGTGGATATTCATCACTCTGTTGTGTATTTCAGTAAAAATATCCAATAAAATAACGAAAACGTTTTCCTTTACAATATGGCGTCTTACTAGTGTCTGACGTCACACGACTGTTATTAAAACGTTGAACGATACAATGTAATGTTACTTTAACCGGAAGTTTACTTGCGTGTGACGTCATTTTAGGCTCCGCCAATCCATAGCGTTGTGGGTCACGTGACAATAGATAGAAAAACAAAATTATGAATATTTTTTTTACAAAAATAGTAAAAACCTCTGCCAATTTTCAATCTAAACACAGATGCTACAAATTGGCACTTTATTTTTAATACTGTCAAATACCCTATTGTACCGTTTTGTTCGCCAACTGCTCAATTATGAGTAGGTAACAATTACCTGTGCCATCCTTTTCACACTGAACGGCTTGTTATAATACTCTTTCAATGCAGAAGTGGGAGCGTTGGCGATCCATTTGATCCGTACGGAGGAGCCCAGGCACAACCAAGTCACGGTAACGCAGACCCCAGTCACTGTTACTAGCACACCTTTTCTGGACGTAGAAAAAAAGAAAATATTTCTATAAGTTTCAACGACAACATTTACCTACTAAAAGTAAAACAAATTGTGGCGGCGACACCTACATGCCCCATATATAATCAACATTTATTTATTTATTTATTTCAGGAAAACAACAGCATTGTCTTATTTCTAGTTACATTTGTAATATTTTCTTAAACTAATGCCAATAACAGTATTCCTGGTAACATATTTATTTGTGTAACATTTTTGAGTCTATCTTTAAAGTTCATTCAAAGATATTTGCAACAATAGTTTCATTTCTATCTTTATGTTAATTAATTAAGATATCCCACGACATGTTTATAAAACAACATGAATACAATGTTTATTATCATATAACGAAGCAATAAAATATACATAAGTACGAACCTCTTACGTGTCTCATTATTTAGCCAAATACGCTTAATCAATACAATGCACTTTCCCCGATCATTCATTAGTTAGGAGCTTTACAATGGATTGCTTAAAAGTACGTTTTGTCTCTATAAAATGATCAGCAGTGCTAAAATGTTTATTATAGTTATTGGATAATCGTGTGAGTGGCGCATTTTGAGCATAATTAGTGGAGTGAGAGGGAGTGTGGAGGAAATAGTCACTCGCCTCCTCAAGAGATGACGCTACCGGCGCTGCGTTCACAACGTATGGAAGCCTACATCGCGCAAGAGAAATTCGGAGGCTAACACTCCATATATACAATGCCTGATCGACATCAGTCGCCTGCATCATCCCCCTCTCAGGGGATGATCGCTTCAGATGAAGCTTGTAAGGCCCTTCTGGCCATAAGCATGATTAACGGGTGTTTTTTAGTAAGTAAGTTCTCAACCGCTCCCCCGCCTGGGAGGAAACAAAAAAAAAAGACATCAGTCGGGCGGAATATCCTGCTCAGGGGTCCCCAGTGGTCTCCACCAATTAGTCCAGTCAAATTACGGAATCAAATAAACATGAGCGAACACAGTTTGGGGATTTTGAGGATCGTTAGGGGGGTGCATCCTGAGCTTAAGTTCCAATTTGAGGGGCTGTACTGAGGTCAGCTCAAGGTCATTTCGATGCAAACGCGTTTAATTCGATATCTCGAGAAATATCAGTGTTAGCCAAAAAATTATAGAGACCTTTTTTCTTCTAAATGAAATTTATTAACTTTTTTATTTAAAACTTTTTTTTGTAACATCAATATTTTTTAAGTTATTACTCCCGCAAGGCAAAAATTTCATTTTTTTCCCTATTTTTCGTCGTTTTTTCCCCAAACATTCAATTTTATTGAATTTTACCGATCATCAACGTGTATATCTTTTAATTATGCACAATTTTGTTCTTAAACTTTTTTCTGTAACTTCAATACCCAAACTGTGCTCGCTCATGTTTTTTTAGCCCTTTTTTTTCCGTAATTTGACTGGACTAAATCTTTTCGCAATATCTTTGAAAAGATGGTGGGCACCGGAGCCCCAGGGACCCTGAGTCTCGACTCCAAACGCCGCAAATGTGAGGTCTCCGCTGAGGATCATACTTGCGGCGCTTAAGCGCCTCTGTGGTCGAAGCAGCCGCGTCAGCCCGCATCGAGGTTCCGGGAATATGAGACGGGGCCATAGTGTCATTCATATATGTTTCATCACTGCCGGAAACCGACTACAACTTTTGAACCATCTCCTTTACTCACCCTTGCGGGTCGGGTTTCAGATCCCACCCCTGGTAAGGTAGATTCCCATAACGCAAAGCCGCGATGCCTATGGGCCCTGTTGCATAAAAATCAGTTATTAATAAATATGCAATATTGAACAAATGGATTTCTGAGTGAGCTAAGTTTATTTTACGGAAAATACACAATAGCACTTAGGACTTTAAAATAACAATGAAATAATAAAAAATGGGTACGTGTACTTATGTAGGCGCGTGAGAAGTTATCCTTCTTTGGCATCGTTTAAAATTAGTTTTTAATTGCATGCAAATAATTAATAACAATAAATTAATAAAAAGTCTGGAAAAGGACACAGTCAATAAAGTTCAGTTTTAATTTGAAGAAATAAATAAATAATCAAAATATTCAATTAAAATCGCTACTGAATATAATTTATTAGAACATATGTGATTTGCACTTGTATGAAACTCAAACACGTATTCCGAATATACAAACTAGAAACATGTGGATAAATATTATAAATATGAATACCTATAACTGTTACTTTATTACAAAAAATAAAGATGTGGTTTTTGGTTCTACTATACCAATGGTCCAGAGATGGCGCTGTAGTCTCCTGAATCGCGCTTTGGTTCCGTTGTTCCAGATTAATAAATACTTTTGATAGGCCTTCACAATGCAGTCGTTAGCACCCACTAAATAGAGATTCTATTTCTATTTTGTTGGTAGATTTTCTTAATGTGCGGTAAACACAAAAGTAACGCATGCTGTTAAAATTTTGTGTTACAGTGATGCCATAGAGTACATTGTTATAGTGATGCGCGCGCATCTTAAAATTTCACTCTCATAATTTTTTCATAACGCGCCTAAAGAAGTATAACTTCAATAAAATATTATGTAGGTATGTATGTATCAGATATTGTGATATTTGTTTACAATGCAGTAAGATCATATTTTAGGTAAGTACAGTAAAACCCGTTTAAGATGATTTCAATGCGACTCAACCAAAAACGCGTCTTAAGCGGGAAAGCGTATTATGCGGGATTGCTTGATAGGGAAATTTCAAATGTAGGTATTGAGGTATTAAATGTACAATATTTAAAAATTATATATGTTATAAAAATTGTAGTGTATTATTATTTATTAATACGTAATTTAAATTTATCACTTATTTTACTTTGACAAAAAGATTTTGAGGCATTAGCAATTACAAGATTTTCAACATACTTTAACTTTTACACTGCGTCTTCGCTTTGATTCAAAGAAGTTAAATTGTGTCTTAAATCATTCACTGCTGATAATGCCTAGGCGTGTGACAAAATCGGAGTTGACTCATCTTCTTCTTGATCCTTATCACTTAGGGCCTCTTCTTGTGTGTTATTCACATTCTCAATAGGATCTTCAATTGTTTACATTTCGTACGGTGCCAAATTGTCATGAATGGAAGAATATCCAGGAAAATCCTTGGGATTGCTTAGCGTGCATCTCATGACAGTCGTCACGTCAATGGCTGGCCGCTGCCGTAAGAGGTAATATATCTAGTACCCAATGGCGATTTAGGCGTATTAAACGGGATGACGAATCGTATTACGTTGTTTGTGTCGACTCACACAACACCCCAGTCCTGAACTGCAGCGTGAGCTTGTCCTCGTTGAACTTGTAGTCATTGATGTAGTTGGTCGTCCACAGCTTCCTGTTCTCCTGCCACTGGCACACGACTGGAGGTTCCGTCCACATTACGTCTTGAGGTAAACTGTTGAACAAAATACAGCATCATCGGCATCAGCCTATTAATGTCCGTACTGTTGGGGCACAGACCTTCCCTATGGATGAAATAGAGAGATTAGGCCATGACCCATCACGCGGGTCCAATGCGGATTGGTGGGTGCTAACGACTGCAGATGCAGCCGGGACCAACGGCTTAACGTGCCTTCCGAAGCATGGAGGAGCTCGAGATAGTAAATTTTCGGTCACCCATCCAATGACCGACCACTGCGAAAGTTGCTTAACTTCAACGATCGCAGCCGAACGCGCTTACCACTTGCGCCATCGAGCTCCTCCTTCTATCTGGAACAAAATGCACACTTAAATAAAATAAAGAAATATTTGCATTCAAATTAGAAGTAATCTTATTAATATTATAAACTAGCTGCCACCCGCGACTTGGTCCGCGTTCACTTAGTTTTTAGATAATCTCATAAGAACCTAACATTTTCCATTTTTACTTTAAAAATCACTATATATCCTATGTCTCAATCCAGGTCATAAACTATGTGTGTATCAAATTCCATTCAAATTTGTTCAGCCGTTTTTGCGTGATTGAGTAACAAATACACCAGGGTTTCCAATCGCACGAGAATTCTCGTACAAATACGAGATTTCCGGTCTTCCGTACGAGGTACGAGAACACTACTCATATACTACGAGATTTTGTCAGATTTTATAACATGATTTTACATTGAAGGCAAAAGGCAACAAAAACACTTGTTTACAGTTTATAGTTAGTTGACCCGTTGGAATATTTTACCAATTCTAGGGGCAAACTTACAAACAAAAGGCAATTCAGTTTCTTTTTGTTTAAGAAGAAATAGATGTACTTACTCTTATGATTGCGCATTTCGATCGGCACGATTAGGACGGGTGAATTTAGAAAATACTTGAAATTATTATTTTTCTGTCAGCAGAACTTTCTATCTACAGTATTCTAAGGTAATTTCCCTCAATATGACAAAGTTTTGCACCTGTATATGAATACAGTCAAATCAAATTCAAATCAAATAAAATTTATTAAAACATTAAATTGATCAATCTATGTTAGTTACAATTGTCACTTAAGAAATATGTTAGTCAACGTTACACACAGAGATACTTATTTAAATTAAATTAAAAATACAGGTCATAATTTTGTTCTTCAGTGCTATTACTCAGGCTGCAGATAGACGACGCGAAAAAATTCTTACCGCGCTTGACATTCTGTGTCATATAAACGCGCCCGTGCTTGAACTAGGATATCCTGTGTTTCAGGCAAAATAGGCTTAATTTTAATATATTAAATAATCACTACGTACATAATTTACTACTTTAAATCAATAATCTTTATATATATAATTCTTCTGTGAGTGTGTATGTCACTGAACTTCTCTAAACGACTGGACCGATTTTGATGAAATTTTTTGTGTGTGTTCAAGGGGATCTGAGAATGGTTTAGATTCACAATTTTGTCCGCTGGACAACCCCTTTTTTTAGGGCGGTACGAAGTTCGCTGGGTCAGCTAGTAGTAGTATAGATAAGAATCTCCCAAGCTTACTCTATAAACACCAGCGCCAACTTCTCGTACTCCGCTTCCGTCTTCTTTATCTCTAGTTCGATTTCTTCTGGAGTTCGCGTCACACCTGGAGGTGGAGGGGACGGGGCACGGTATTGCACCTGGTATTTCATGGGCTGGAGACGTTTCGGCAACTGCACTGTAGGTCATGATCAATCTTTTAATGTCCCCATTACTGGGGCTCAATCCTTCTTTAGAACGGACGCGATGACCTTTACAGCGTCACCGGGTTTGGGGACGGCGAGATCCTAAGGGGACCTCAAACCGAGAATTGGCGAGTGCCTCTAGAGGTATTCCAGGCGGATGGCGTCTCTCCACGGGGGGAGTCTCCTGTCCGTGTGGAGGAGACTCCCCCCGTGACGACTCGAACCTGAGGGGGTCGGCTCAACTAGAGGGCGCCTCTGAGACTTGGACCTCGGCTCTAGTAAGCCGTTGTCGTGGGGCGCGGACACGAGCTGACAGAAATTTGAGAAATAGGAATTTGAAAAAGCTATTGCTGTCGCGTAAATACCGTGCGATAAGGACAACAGTAGCGAACGCTGAAAATTGCGTTTATTATTGCAAAGGTAAGGGTTAGGGTAGATATATCTATATATATAAAACTCAAAGGTGACTGACTGACTGACATAGTGATCTATCAACGCACAGCCCAAACCACTTGACGGATCGGGCTGAAATTTGGCATGCAGGTAGATGTTATGACGTAGGCATCCGCTAAGAAAGGATTTTGATTAATTCTACCCCCAAGGGGTAAAATAGGGAATGAAAGTTTGTATGAAACTTTGTCAATTTTAAACCGATTGGGCTGTGACTTTGCATGCAGGTATAAGAAGAATTATAGATGAATGTCGCAACTCAATTTAATTCTAATAAACATATTATAAAATTTATTGTAACTATATATCTATATCCTAAATGATGTAATGGAAGGTGACTTCAGAAGTATCTCTTAAGTCATTTTTCAACTTGACAACTCTGTATATATCAATACAGGGAGAAAAAAGCAGCCCTTGCTGAGTATCTTGCCAGTTCATCTCAGTACAATGTCTCCCGCCGTAGTTTTGCGAACCGATGGCGTAGCTTCTTGACCTTCACAAGTTCACAGCCTAGACTGAATAAATGACTTTTCATTTCGTTTCATACATTTATTCCTGTATAGCGTAACGAGAATTAGATAAGATACGAATAATTTATCGCTATCAACTAAACTTGTATTATCAATCAGTTGAAAATACTCATCCGCAAAACATACACATACTACAAATACTACCTATAGTTTCATTATACAGATAAAATTATTCAAGGTAAATTTTTAAATGCGCGATTAGATCAAATTTGTGAGAAAAATCAAAAAAATAAATTCGCGATTAGATCAAATTAAGGAGAAATATAAAAATAATATTCATCTTGTGAGTTTTAACGGGTGTTCTGTGCAGTTTTTTTTTCGAGATTTATCGGTGTTGCCAACTATTATAGTGACAGTGAAAAATGTAATCTAGTCAAAGTTGATAGTGTGAATAATTTAAAAATAATGAGTGAATCAAAACTTGTGTGGGCGATCGGTGCAATATGGTAGCAGTTCTAATCTTGGTGTTGGCGAGGTTAAGATTTGTTTAATAATTAATTAAGAATATACATGTTTCAATTAGTCTTAACCATCATCATCGGGCTGTCAATGTCTCCAGTGCTGGGGTCAGACGCGGCGTGAGGCGTAGGCGACGTGGGCCACCGCCTACGGCCTCGCGGTACAAGGGGCCTCGCGCCTCAAAAATTTTTATGCATTGCTTAAAAGCGTTTTTTCATTTATTTTATAAAATCCGTCTTCAGGTCGCTACAGAACAGGGCCTCGCGAAATCTGTCTTGCCCACATCAAATTTAGGTCTTGCCCCGCTACTGGCTGGGGTACAGGCCTTCCATAAGAATTTAATAGGGAAAGGGCAATGACCCACCACACAGGGTCAATGTTTATTGGTGGATGCCAACGACTGCAGATGCTGCCGTGACCAACGCGCCGCTTAAGACAGTTGTTCCACCGCCGGCAAGGACGCGACTAACTATCGGTTATTTTTTCGCTCAGAAATGCAAATTAGATATACATTGCATATTAGATTGACGACCTCCGTGGCCGAGTGGTTTGTACGCCGGGTTTCATGGTGTCATCGACTCGAGAGGTCCCGGGTTCGAATCCCGGTGGGGGCAGATGCTTGTGTGATGAATACGATCATTTGTACTCCAGTCATGAATGTTTAATTTGTATTTCTATATAAATATACTTATATAATTGAGGAACTCGACGGCGCGGGTGGTTAGCGCGGTCGGCTGCTTTCGTTGAAGTTAAGCAACTTTCGCAGTGGTCGGTCATTGAATAGGTGACCAAAAAATGTTACTATCTCGTGCTCCTCCATGCTTCATAAGGCACGTGAAGCCGTTAGCCCCGGCTGCATCTGCAGTCGGTATCACCCGCCAATCCGCACTAGGACCGCGTGGTGGGCCATGGCTCAATCTCTCTATTCCATCCATAGGGAAGGCCCGCACCCCAGCAGTGGGGACATTAATAGGCTGATGATGAATGAATGAATGAATGAATGAATTAATGCGATTAACTACAAAATATTCTTAGAATTTTTTACGCTTACATAACTATGTATTGTGCTTGATAAGACGTTCGGTTGTTTGTTTGTGATATAGTATCAAAACCCCGAAAGTCCTACTGCTGGGGCACAGGCCGGCCGTATCCCCCCCCCCCCTTAATTAGTAAAACTGATCAAAATATAGGTCAGTAACGAATGCCTTTATGTGGCTTTTGCCGTCCAAGGGCGAATTCCTAATTACTTTAATTGATCGAGGAGCTCGATGGCGCAAGTGGTTAGCGCGTTCGGCTGCGATCGTTGAAGTTAAGCAACTTTCGCAGTGGTCGGTCATTGGATGGGTGACCAAAAGTTTACTATCTCGAGCTCCTCCGTGCTTCGGAAGGAACGTTAAGCCGTTGGTTTCGGCTGCATCTGCAATCGTTAGCACCCACCAATCCGCACTGGGCCCGCTGGTGGGTCATGGCAAACTCCTTATTCCATCCATAGGGAAAGCCTGTGCCCCAGCAGTGGGGACATTAATAGGCTGATAATGATGATGATTTTAATTGCAGCGTATTTCTGTGTGCGACTCCTGTGCATCATCAACGCTTTAAACTGCCCATGTGCCTCACGGGGTACATGACGGACGTGCAGTCATGGGTCGATGAGCGCGGATCCTTCACCGATAAAGTGGGTGAGTCATGAGTTGGAGAAATAATAATAATCTAATTTATTTTCAAAACATGTCCACAGTTTGTTAATAACAATTTTACTTTGAGACTATGTTAGGAAATTACAATAAATAAGCATATAAAAAATAAGCTAATCAATCCGTTTATAGGTAAACCGCTTAACTGAGACTTCGCCTGCGGGGTACAGGGTGTGGGGGAGGACGAGACCGGAGGATATGAGAGGTGCGGACGGAGCGCACTTCTAATTTTGACAAGAATGTGCCCGCCGCCCGCACCTCTCACGGTCCCCGTTTTCATCCTCCCCCACACTCGGGAATTGATGCTACCTGAAGGTAGGTCGTCCGTTGTCGAAATAAGAAGTTCAAAAAAATATTAGGCTTTTAGAGTAAGGTTTATTTAGCACTTTGTAAATGACGATGACGCCAGGTGTCAGGAGGATAGACTACCGTGGCTTAAGCTAGATTGAAAAAAATCTAAATTAAAAAAAAAACCCCTTTCTGAGTTTCTTGCCGACTCTTCTCAGTACAAGGTCTCCCGCGGTAGATTTACGAATGGCCTAGCGTTTGACTTTCACAAGAGCTTGTAACAGCCTAGACTGAATAAATGAGTTTGAGTTTGAGTTCACGTCGTCTCTCTAACTCGTTGATAAACAAACATCTTTTTTCGTAACGGATTATAAAGATAGCGTAATCTAGCAAATTCAAATACGTGCAACTAATGGAACTTTAAAACGGGCAATGTTTCATTGCAATTAGTGGCTACGCACAACGATATTATCGTTGGCTACGCACTAATAATTGATAATAATAATTAATCCTCTAAAGAAAATATAACTAGAAAAAAATCCACGCCGACCAGGCAGCAGGCGGGACTCGAACCCGCACCCTTCGCAATCCGGGCGAATGCACTGACCAATTATGCTACCGCGGCCCTCACGGACCGCGTCGAAATTCTTCTGCGTCCGGGTGCGGGTTCGAGTCCCGTCTGCTGCCTGGTCCGCGTGGAATTTTTTCTAGTTATATTTTCATTAGATTTAATCATCAAGCAGTTACATGCTTTAAAATAATAAAAATTATAATAATTACTCCCTTTATTTCCTTAATAAAATAAAATTTAAATTAACAAAAATTAGCACTATAGAGCATGCAATTTAAATATTAATAAATAAAATTGATCTAAATATTTCACATTTTTTTTTGTCTTAGTTATTATTATTATTTTATTTTTTATTAAGGACCTCTCTACATAGTGAAGACCTCCTCTATTTTTCTCCACATAGTTCTATCATTCGTATATTTATCCAATCTTTACACGCTGCTTTTAAAATTTCATCGCGCTGCGCATTACAGGCACCTAATTGCTTGGCCAAACCCAAAAATATTTTATTGTAACTGATGGCCGACCAATAGGTCCGACAAATGACTCCACCCCACCTGATGCTAAGTGTAGGTGAATTCCAGACGCGAAGATAGTTGATACAGCACTTCTACCTGCCACACCAGCTATCCTCACATCCTCACCTTGCCGGCCTGCATGTTGCTTCTTCACGCCTCATTTAAAGGATCCCAGGTTGTAAGAGGGAGGGAAAACGTGAGCGGGCAGAGCTTTACAATATGAGCTTTGCGTTACAATATGACTGCAATAGCATGGCTCATGATGAAGACTCCTTAACGGGTTACACACATCGGCAACAATGGCTGGCGAATTCAAATTATATTGTTTTAGACGAAAAACTTAGCCCTGCAGCCACAAACTGCCGGAAAGTATGGTCCGTTTAGCCGCACCTTAACACTCAGCATTTTGCTTTACAGATAGAAGATATGCTGTGGAGCTACTAAATTTTATAGAAGCCAGTTCAATGTATACGGACATGGAAATAATTGCACGCTCCAAAGCTCGTAAACAAATCAGAGAGATTAGATACCTGAGTGTAGCTAGATGTGGCCTGACCAGGATACCAAGGGTGAGTTTTTAAAGCCCATTTTACATATATGAAAATACTTTCGCTAAGTACCTAAAGACGAAAGTCTTCAATCAGTGCGTCCGAACTGTGATGACATACGGAGCTGAGACGTGGACACTGACGCTACGGCTGGTCCACAGGTTCAAAGTCGCTCAGCGCGCTATGGAAAGGGCTATGCTCGGCGTTTCTCTGAAGGATCGCATCAGAAATGAGGTAATCTAACAGAGAACCAGAGTTATCGACATAGCCCACCGGATTAGCAAGTTGAAGTGGCAGTGGGCTGGCCATATTTGCTGAAGAACTGATAACCGTTGGGGTTGACGAGTACTGGAGTGGAGACCGCGTCTAGGCAAACGTAGTGTAGGACGTCCTCAGGCACGGTGGTGTGACAATTTGCGCAAAGCGAATAGCGCAAGATCGATCTGAGTGGCGTGCAATTGGAGAGGCCTTTGTCTAGCAGTGGACTAGGATAGGCTGTTGATGTTGATGATCGCGAAAATGTCTGCATCATCATTATCAGCCTATTTATGTCACCACTGCTGGGGTACAGGCCTGACCTATGGATGGAACAGGGAGATTAAGCCATGACCCACGAGGCGGGTTAAGTGCGGATTGGTGAGTGCTAACGATGGCAGATGCAGCCGAGGCTAACGGCTTAACGTGCCTTATGAAGCACGGAGGAGCACGAGATAGTAACATTTTTTGGTCACCTATTCAATGACCGACCACTGCGAAAGTTGCTTAACTTCAACGATAGCAGCCAACCGCGTTAACCACCCGCACCGTCGAGTTCCTCAAGATATTAAATAAGTATATTTACATAGAAATACAAATTAAACATCCATGACTGGAGTACAAATGCTCGTATTCATCACACAAACCCCCACCGGGATTCGAACCCAGTACCCTTAGTACGAGTTTTACAATTACGAAAACTATGATAGTTTTCATGAGCTCGCACTCGTACTAAGGGTACTGATTTTATTGTTTTCGTTTCAATACAAATAAACAGTGTTTAAATTCTATCATTAAATCGTTTGCGTCTTCTTAAACTTTAAGAATATTTGGTTACTTTTCACTAAAATGGACATAGAAACATAATTTACAATTACGAAAACTATGATAGTTTTCGTGAGCTCAAACTCGTACTAAGGGTACAGGACTCCTCGAGTAGGTGACACCTTGAAAACAGGCAAACCGGTACAAACCACTCACAGGTCACGGAGGTCGTCAATATGGCGATATATGAAATTGCGATTTCAGTACCTCCCAGCTCAGATTTACGGGCAGCCAAGGGCGTCGCCAGCTTATGACTAGGGGGGGGGGGGGGGGGGCAATGGGGCAATATTATAGGTAAGGAAGTCAATTGCTCGCACTTTGGTCGCTTTGCGGCTAGCTACATTTATTGGTCTCTAGCTGGCAACGGTAACGTTAGCCAAAGGGGCGTATTTTGAAATCTGGCGCCCCGTGCCATTAACGATTTACACCCCGCCACCCCCCTAGAATTGGTAAATCTGGCTTTATAAGGCTTTTGGCGCCACTCGAAGCCCTTGCAGCTACTTATAGGGTAAATACCCCCCTGATTTGTCATAAGATTTTCCAATCGCACTAAATCTATACAATTTTACAGTTCTTCGACATACAAATATACGATGACGGCAGTACGATGGCAGACAGATTAGAATACGCAACATTTTACGGCAACAATTTCATAGAAGTCAGCATACCCGGTGAGAGTTACAACGTCCAATTTAATGCTACCGAAGCGGAGGTCATTACGAATCCGAACAGCTTAAAAGACGATGGTAAGACTTTTAATTTTATATAAGCTTTTCTCAATGCCCAGAGAGAGAGGGTCGTATTACAGAATGACAACTAAGTGTTGATCTTTACTTGAGTACAGTTAGAAAGGGATATCGCTATGTGCTATATTTAGCGACATCCCTTTCTAACTATGCTCAAGACTAGATCAATCACTGAGAATCTTTCTATCTACATATATAATCTTTCTACGGGCCAAAGGGTCCCAGAATCGTGAAGAAAATGTCATTGTCCGAACATTTAATTTTTTTTTGTTGTATTTTTCGTATACAATAAGTAGATTTTTTACTCCTAAGCTGTATAGACATATTTGTAATAGATTGCTGTAACCTAATCCCAAGGTGCAAGGCTAACCGGTGCTCTGAAATACAAGCTCGGCTTAGTTCAGACACCGACCTCTCATGACATCAATGGTACTCATACTACGATTGTTTAATGTCTATCCATCCATATATAAGCCTATAAAAATGTAATTAGGTATTTAAAAAAAATGTTGTCGATGCCAAAATGTTGTGACGAGAAATAAACGATTTATTATTATTTATTTATTATTTGTCCCCCGAAAGTTTTGAAAAGCGCACGCTATGGAAGTAAAGATACTTAAATTGATATAGTGAGAGAAGTATTTTCTTTTCTCACTATGTCAGCTGATGCTGAGGCTTATCCTGGTTGGCCGTCTATAGCTATTATTATTTAACTTTTATTTTTGTCACGTGCTATTGTTATGATGGCCAATAAAGAATTTTTCATTTCATTTAGATTACGTTGCGTTGTAATTAACATGAAGTTTTAGAAAGTGAGAACACGTTTTAAAAATGAATACTGTGGACTTATGTTCGCTGTGTGCGTTCTTGTTTTTATTTTTTATATATTTATATAATCATTAATACATCATTTTATCATATTTTATTTGTTGGCAAGCCAACGCTCGCTTTCCTTACAGTCATCATCATCATCATCATCAGCCTATTAATGTCCCCACTGCTGGGGCATAGGCCTTCCCTATGGATGGAATAGGGAGATTGGGCTGACCCACCACGCGGGCCCAGTGCGGATTGGTGGGTGCTAACGACTGCAGATGCAGCCGGGACCAACGGCTTAGCGTGCCTTCCGAAGCACGGAGGGGCTCGAGATAGTAAATTTTTGGTCACCCATCCAATGACCGACCACTGCGAAAGTTGCTTAACTTCAACGATCGCAGCCGAACGCGCTAACTACTTGCGCCATCGAGCTCCTCTTACAGTATCAAGTCAAAATAATACAATTTAAAAAACTTACAAACAATAATTAACTACTGTTAACATATTTTTAAGCTATCTTAAAGTGACTATTTGTTGCAAATACATAATTTACCAATTTGAAAAAAGAAATTTTGACTTTAATATTTTCTTGCGCCTAGTCACACGAGTTCAATTTTTTTCTGGGACACTCGCGTACTATTGTCCTGACCGTTCTCTTTGTTGTTCGGAGGACTTTTTGCAAGCGGTGCTTTTAATCCCTCGTGTGAGTTACTTTATTAAGTTGTAATGTAAGCGATCAATTTAGGCGGTCTAATATCCCTCGTCTGCGCAGGCTATCGGATTATTTCAACTTAGCAACGCTTGCATAAAATATATCATTGTATAGAAAGAAAAACAACACAAAATCGTGCGACCAACGAGCAGAAAAGTGTTAAAGATACGAAGGGAAAGGACAGTGGTTAGCGTTTCAGTTTGTTTTGGGGATGCTGAGTTCATTATTTCTATGTCTACGGAAAATTCGAACGATTGAGACTGATTCAACTGAATAAATTCTTTAAAGAATTGAGAGAGATCAGAAATCTCGTGATCGTATACAATATGAGTGCATTTGCTGTTGCACAAAAAAAAATGATAGAAGACTCTTACCCATCTCTGTTACCCGTTACCCCACAAAATATTTTAAGATTTTAAGCTTCAGTTAACGGATTTCGTCATTTTTTTAAAATCGATTTTACGAAAACGTGATATCAGTGTTGAACTGAAGCCATGCGGACCCGGATTGCGGAAGATGCTAGTTCGAATTCTGTCTGATGCCTGGACCGCGTTCGTTATTTATTTAGGGAAATAATCTTTAGATTTTGCAATCATAACTTTATTTGTATTCCTTTGCGTTCTATTTTTACCAGACGCCGCACGCAAGCAGCGCAAAGCGCGACGCGCAGAGAGGGTATTGTTTTAGTAAATATAGATTTAGATGCTGCAGAAAACAATAAACTATTTACATACTTTTCTTTGTTTCAGCACCAACGCTTTGGATTAATGGACTTCACGATGTTACTTTTAAAGTTCTAAAGGAGCTTGATCTTCGCGCATGCGGCATTCAGAATTTGAGCCCATTTTACTTCTCGAACATGAAAGCATTGGAAGCGCTCTACTTGGGAGAAAATGAAATACACACCATTCCGAGCAACGCTTTCACGGGACTTAATAAACTGCTGCATTTAGATTTGAGCCGGAATTTCGCTTTAGATCCTAACGGGTTAAGCAAAACTCTGCTAATAGAACATGCAAACGTTTTCTCGCCACTCGAAAGTTTAAAATCTATCGACTTTTCCCATACGAAAATGGTTCAGAGAAACGTTGTAGCTCTCAGGAATCTTAGTGAGAGGTTGGAGAGGATATCGTTGTGTTCCGTTGGCTCGTTGACATTCGACGAACGTTTCTTGAGGTCTTCTTCTATAAAAATTTTGGACATTTCCGGGGTACAGGGTTTGGTATCCAGTTCCCAAGTTTTACAACGCATGCAGTCGTCACTCAAAGTGCTGTACGCCACAGATTCGGGAATCGACAATTTCGACGTATTCAAGGATTTCGAAAGATTGGAAATCTTGAAATTGTCTAGGAACGAGATAACGACAGTGAGCAAGACGACTGCTGAATCTCTGACCAATTTAAAAGTATTGGACTTAAGCTCCAACAGGCTTAATAGTTGGTTCGAGAGAATATTTAGCCAAATGCCCTCTTTGGAAGTGTTGAAAGTGTCGGACAACAATATCAACATAATATCGGAACAGATGTTGGCAGATTTTGCCAACGTATCGTATTTGGGCCTATCTGGGAATTCTCTAGTTTGCAACTGCCGTTCAAAGGACTTGATAGAATTGGCTACGAGGAACGAACTGCATAAGGAAGACAGAGCGATTCCACAAGCCCCTGGAAAAAATGGAAAATTTGATTTTCATATCGGCTTCGAAGATATTAACCAGAAGATTGCTCTTCGACACAACATATCATACCTTTGCGAACGAGGATTTTGCGATATCGAAGATCATATAGATGGTAGAGTGCTGATTTCCGATTACAGCCCGAATGGTTACAAATGCTTTCAGATGGGCGAAAGCAGATCTCTAGCCATAGTTGAAGTTAAATCTTGTAACGAAGAAGGGAGAAACAGTGATGTGATTGCAGATTTGGATGCTGGATGGAATAAATTGTTGATTCTGTTGTTGCTTCCTTGCATTCTGTTGCCGTTGACTTTGGGGTTTGTGTTCAGGAGAAACCTAAGATATTTCTGGGTGACCTTAAGGAACTCAGCTCTCATCAGTATGGTGAATAAGAACAAGGTCATTGATGGTGAGTGAAATTATCTACCATATTATTTTATTTTATTAGGGATAACAAACAGTTGTACAATATATGTTAAGTGAAAGGCTTACAATTATGTTATACTTATTGTACAACCAACAACATTATCCACAGATTAATACTAGGATTGTTTTGTTTTATATATATTTCTATTATTCTTTTTCTATACTAAATGAAAAATATGTTGTACACTACACAAATAAGTATCCAGTAGAAACAAAAAGCTTGTCGAGGCGTACCAAGGTAATACACATATTATGATAAAAGATCATACACTTTGGTCTCGAAAGAAGTGTCTGAGAGCAGGAAAATGTCAATATCACGTGAGCTCAAACTATCATTAAAGATGTTCATTATTCTGTTCAACGGGGCACGCAGACCAGCGTTAGGGTGCGGCCAGAGTGCACTCAGATTCAGACTCAGATTCAGATTTCGAAAACAAGCGCGAGAAATAAACAGTGTAGTCTAAGCAGGTTGCTTGCTTTTTCTCGCGCTTTGTTTTCTGAGTCTGAATCTAAATCTGAATCAGGAGTGCACTCTGGCCGTAACCTTCGACTACACTGTTTATTTCTCGCGCTTGTTTTCAGAATCTGAATCTGACTCTGAATCTGAGTGCACTCTGGCCGCACCCTTAGTATTGACATAACCGGGGCAGAATAGTTTATGTGGGTAAGCGTCACGGATACGGTGTGAACTGCTAGGTATTCTAAATGTAACATTGTCAGTCAAATCATTACAGTCGTAATTATTATGTAATATATTATACAAGCGTAAATATAGCAATATTACAAAACGTAGACTAAAGTTAAACCTGGATTGAAACTGACGCTGTCACTTATTTTCTAACAGAAACCTAATGTTGTCTTCATTAGGTTTAAAAAAAGACTAACTTTAGTCCGCGTTTTGGAATAAGGCGTGTTATTTTAACGCCTTAGTGTCGCCGCACACGGGCCACCGACCATAACCACAAAACGCCGCCACCGGCATATTTCTTGTATTTTCATACATTTTATATGGACTCGCCATACACGGTACGCCGTTGGCCGCCACACGCTACAAATTGTCGTTGCTCGCTTCTTGTGGCCCGCGCCGGCCACTTAATGCACCGATACAAAACGCCGCCACACGTCATTCGCGCGATTCCCCATCCCTCTCTCCCTTACCTTAGTCGGCCGCTGTCGCGAGCTTCAGTCACTTTAGTAGCCGCTTCTAGCTTCTCGTGGCGGCGTTTGTGGCTGTGGAGTGTGGCCCGTGTGCGGCGACACTTAAATAGTTTAGTGTAACTAACAGAGCATTAAAAAACTCCATGAAATTCATACCCTTACTGCCGACGCCATAATAAGGAATTCTTTGCCCGCGCACGTGTTCCCTCCTTCCTACAATTTGGGGTCCTTTAAGAGAGGCGTGGTGAAGCATTTTTGTAGGCCGGCAAGGTGAGGATGGTTGGTGTAGCAGTTTATAACTTCTGTACCAGCTATCTTCGCATTTGGACTTTATCACCACTTAACATCAGGTGCGGTAGTCATTTGCCGACTTCGCTATAAAAAAAAATAGTAGGAGTCATATCCGCATTAAGATACAATCAATTGTTTTCAAGTTCCATCAAAGTTGATGTTTCTTTGAAAAATGTTATTTTGATTGAAATCCCTTCTTGTGGCTGTTACAAAAAGTGGTACCTATAACATTACGACTATAGATTTTTTTTTTAATTTTTATATGAGTAGGTTCATCATCATCATCATCCTCATCAGCCTATTAATGTCCCCACTGCTGGGGCACAGGCCTTCCCTATGAATGGAATAGGGAGATTGGGCCATGACCCTCCACGCGGGTCCAGTACGGATTGGTGGGTGCTAACGACTGCAGATGCAACCGGGACCAACGGCTTAACGTGCCTTCCGAAGCACGGAGGAGTTCGTGATAGTAAATTTTTGGTCACCCATCCAATGACCGATCACTGCGAAAATTGTTGAACTTCAACGATCGCAGCCGAATGCGCTAACCACTTGCGCCATCGAGTTACTCACGTAGCTGAGTAGGTTACGTTGTATAATATCTTTTTTTTTATTTGGTTTGCAAAACCAAATTGTGAAAATGACAAAATAATTACATACAGTCTATCTTAACAGTATCACAAATCTTATAAATGCAAACACAGCATGCACTTTTACTTAGATTTAGATTTTTTATTTAGATTTAGATCTTAAATAACAGGTACCTACTCCAATAACAGACTTCCGAAGAATTTGATAATACACTGATAGTAATATTTATTTGTTATTACTTATAATAAGATTAAGTTAATATTTTTTTTTGATTAGATTAGGATTTGAGTGACGTTCGCTTGTTTTATTTTTATCGCCTGGCTGCTTCGATTAACAACACCCAGATAATGCATAAGGATTTATATACGACTTAAATGTAGAATATACAGGGTGGTCAAAAAGTCGTGGATCAAACGAAACGGGGAGATAAAGAAGGTTATTTCCAACAAAAAATCTTCCTACAGCATGGCCATAACTTCATTGCACGAAAAGTTATGAATATTCTTGATTTTTTCAATGAATCTACCGAGTATTATGACAATTTAATCAATAAAAAAATAAATTGATTAAACACAATAAAACAAAAGGTGTTGTATTATGACCGGATTATGTATCAATACTACAAAAATTGTATTGGAGCTCTCGGTACCAAATTTAACGAGCAATGAATTTTTTTTTTGGAAATTTTGAAGCGTTACAAAGAATTACTTCTCACTTTAGGAGCACCATGTGAAAAAAAAATGTATTACCGAAAAGTGACCCTGTATTAAAAAAACTTGCTGATTTAATTCTGATTCAAATAAGGCACAACACTGTACTGTGTGACCTTTAGTTTCGGTTTTATGGTCGTTTTTTCATGTCAAGGTGCAAATTTATAAAATGGTAAATTGAAAGGAAAATTTAGATTCTTGCTCATACATACTATGTAGTAATTTCAGAAGCCATCATGATATAAAAAGAACAATTATGACTTAGTAATTTCATTACAATTAAAATGTTTACATTAAATGTTCAAAGTTCCTACCTCTGACCATAATGCACAATCTGCACCGCCTAATAAAATTCCCACGTAATCGGCGGAATGCACCTCTGTTATTAACAATTTGTAACCTAGCGAACTCGAGCTTTTGTCGTAGTTCTTGTTCGGTGTTATTCTCTCCTTGATACACTTGTTCTTTGAAATAGCCCCAAACAAAAAAGTTTATTGAGTTAAGGTCGGGCGACCCTGGCCATGCAATAGGTCCGCCTCGACCAATCCACCGGTTAGGGAAGCGCTCGTTCAAATGTCCTCGAACTGCTCGAGCAAAATGAGGCGGGGCGCCGTCTTGTTGCAGCCACATCTCTGCCACTCTATCTTCAGGAATCTCAGCTTCGTTGAGTATTTTGTTCAAAATTAAAAATTCAAATACAGAGCACCATTCAGCCTTGGTGTCAGTTCATGTAGCACAAGCTTCTGGTCAATTATTCCAGCCCACATGTTTATACCAAACAAATGCTGGAATCGATCATTTCTGATGATGTGTGGGTTCACTCTTGAGTAAAAGTGTAAATTGTGGATGTTAAAAATCCCCATTCTTCTAAAATTTGACTCATCAGTCCATAAAATATTGTTGAAGAACTGCGGATCCTTTCTGTGTCGTCTGCTCTGCAAAATACCATTCTAGGTCCATAGTCAGAGGGCTGTAAAGCTTGCACCCTTTGCACGTGGTATCCGTGGTACCGTGGTACCGTCGATCCTGGGATCCCGAGATTTCGTTGGCGTTGGCTAATACCAGGGTTCATTCTTAACTGTCTCAGTATTTGCTCTTCATTGTCAAATCGTACCACTGGTCTACCTGTTCTCAATTTTTGACAAAGGATTAAATGGTTAGTGTGAAAGCGTGTCTGTCTATTTCATAAATCCTAAGTGTGACAAGAACAGAACATTTCTAGCGTTCCAACGTACAAAAAACTAGCCGTTTATGATCAACTATAAATTATTTTAATAAGGTTAATTTAATGAAATTTGCACCTTGATATGAAAAAACGACCATAAAACCAAAATTAAAGGTCACACAGTAAAGTGTTGTACCTCATTTGAATCAGCATTAAATCAGCAAGTTTTTTTAATACGGGGTCACTTTTCAGTAATACATTTTTTTTTCACATGGTGCTCCTAAAGTGAGAAATAATTCTTTGTAACGCTTCAAAATTTACGAAAAAAAATTCATTGCTCGTTAAATTTGGTACCGAGAGCTCCAATACAATTTTTGTAGTATTGATACATAATCCGGTCATAATAAAACACCTTTTGTTTTATTGTGTTTAATCAATTTATTTTTTTATTGATTAAATTGTAAAAAAATTCGGTAGATTCATTGAAAAAAACAAAAATATTCATAACTTTTCGTGCAATGAAGTTATGGCCATGCTGTAGGAAGACTTTTTGTTGGAAATAACCTTCTTTATCTCCCTGTTTCGTTTGATCCACGACTTTTTGACCACCCTGTATATATTGAAGTTATACTTCTTTAGGCGCGTTATGAAAAAATGATGAGAGTGAAATTTTAAGATGCGCGCGCATCACTGCAACACAAAATTTTAACAATGCAAAGTTAAAAATGCTGTTACTTTTGTGTTTACCGCACATTAAGAAAATCTACCAACAAAATAGAATCTCTATTTAGTGGGTGCTAACGACTGCATTGTGAATGCCTATCAAAAGTATTTATTAATCTGGAACAACGGAACCAAAGCGCGATTCAGGAGACTACAGCGCCATCTCTTGACCATTGGTGTAGTAGAACCAAAAACCACATCTTTATTTTTTGTAATAAAGTAACAGTTATAGGTATTCATATTTATAATATTTATTATCCACATGTTTCTAGTTTGTATATTCGGAATACGTGTTTGAGTTTCATACAAGTGCAAATCACATATGTTCTAATAAATTATATTCAGTAGCGATTTTAATTGAATATTTTGATTATTTATTTATTTTTTCAAATTAAAACTGAACTTTATTGACTGTGTCCTTTTCCAGACTTTTTATTAATTTATTGTAATTAATTATTTGCATGCAATTAAAAACTAATTTTAAACGATGCCAAAGAAGGATAATTTCTTACGCGCCTACATAAGTACACGCACCCATTTTTATATATAAAGCAACGACTCACTAAATATACTGAACTATAAAAAAAACCAGTGTGCTCATGACCACACGACTGAAGTGAAACTTCTTTAATTCCATCTCTGTGTATATATACATATATATATATATATATATATATATGTGTACAATATATACATGTATGTACATATACATGGAGGAGCTCGATGGCGCAGGTGGTTAGCGCGTTCGGCTGCGATCGTTGAAGTTAAGCAACTGTCGCAGTGGTCGGTCATTGGATGGGTGACCAAAAATTTACTATATCGAGCGCTTCCGTGCTTCGGAAAGCAGGAACCAATATCGAATTCGAATGGTTGAATTCGATCTCGATACGCGTCAAATATCAACAAGTTTTGTTTGGAAGTTTTTTAATTCTCGCTACGTTGTGACGCTTTGCAAATTTACATTTTTTGATATTGGATTGGTCCTGATTTCTCGGAGATATAATGGCGGTAAAAACTGGTAGATGTTTTAATCCAAAGAAAATACTAGATGTTCCTGTGTACCTGTTGTGGGTTACCTACAATGCGGAGAGATGGCGCTGTCCTGCAGCCTAAGAAATACTAGAAAAAAATCAATACGGCCATAAAGTTCGCGGTGGCTTAATTGGTCAGTGCATCCGCCCGGATAGCGGCGGGTGCGGGTTCGTGTCCCGTGTGCTGCCTGGCCGTGTAGAATTTTGTTTCTAGTAAATCTTTTATTAGATTAAGATAAAATCATCTAAGAAACTTTTTCATCATCATCATCATCAGCCTATTAATGTCCCCACTGCTGGGGCACAGGCCTTCCCTATGGATGGAACAGGGAGATTGGGCCGTGACCCACCACGCGGGCCCAGTGCGGATTGGTGGGTGCTAACGACTGCAGATGCAACTGGGACCAACGGCTTAACGTGCCTTCCGAAGCACGGAGGAGCTCGAGATAGTAAATTTTTGGTCACCCATCCAATGACCGACCGCTGCGAAAGTTGCTTAATTTCAACGATCGCAGCCGAACGCGCTAACCAGTTGCGCCATCGAGCTCCTCCTTTAAGAAACTTTTTATTTCATGACAATGGGTTTTGTTCTAGATGACACGATCTTCAACTATGATGTGTTCGTCTCGTACTGCCACGAGAATCGTGCGTGGGTTCTGGGCAAGCTTCTGAGCCATTTGGAGCAGGAGTGCAGCGTCAGTCTGTGCCTCCATGAGAGGGACTTCCAGGTCAGTCAGTCAGGGAGAACCAAAAGATAAACTATTGACCATGTAGTCATTACGCGAATTGGTCATTTCTAGATTAACCCAATTTTTCCATTCAACCACAAATAAATAAAAATAAATATTTCCAACACACACCAATTAGCCTAGCCCCAAAGTAGCACTGTAGGCTTTAACGAATAGAATACATATACTGATACATATATAAGTATATTTATATCATCATCATCATCATCAACATCAACAGCCTATCCTAGTCCACTGCTGGACATAGGTCTCTCCAATTGCACGCCACTCAGATTGATCTTGGGCTACTCGCATCCAGCTCCTGCCAGCCACCTTCCGCAAATCGTCACTCCATCGTGCCTGAGGACGTCCTACACTACGTTTGCCTAGACGCGGTCTCCACTCCAGAACTCGTCTACCCCAACAGTTATCGGTTCTTCGGCAAATATGGCCAGCCCACTGCCACTTCAACTTGCTAATCCGGTGGGCTATGTCGATGACTCTGGTTCTCTGTCGGATTACCTCATTTCTGATACGATCCTTCAGAGAAACTCCGAGCATAGCCCTTTCCATAGCGCGCTGAGCGACTATATTTATATAGAAAATACATATTAAACATCCATGACTGGAGTACAAATTGTCTCTTACTCGTATTCATCACACAAACAATTAGCGCATTAAAATAAAGTTATTCCATGTAAGGCTGAGGCGGATCGCTGTTAAATTAAAAAAACGCAGGATATTCGTGATACGGCAACTTTCTATAAATATAATTATTTATGTTTTTATTTATTTTTAAGCATTTAACTGCTAGATGTTTAAATCTAATGAAAAGTTTAATAGAAAAAAATAGTAGTCCGCGTGGATTTTTTATCTCAAGTACTATATTGAATAATGACATTGTATTCCTGGTACCTACTTCATATGACTATTGCTATTTGATATTTGGAAACTTGGTAGCGGTCTATCCCTTTCGTTTCACAGAACATGACAAGTAAATAATATATTCCGATTTCAAATTTTCAAATTGTTCGATAGCTTACTGTCTTCTATATGTGGATTTCTCAATAAAAATCGGATATTCAGATTGTAGAATATTTTTCATAGTAAAATACAGATCTTATTGAAATTATGTGCGTACGTTGTCTTTTTGAATTCGAATTACAAGAGGGAGAGTGAATGTATATAAAACTAATGAGTGAGGGATGAATGTATGAATGGACCGATTGTAGATTCTCTCGCCGAAGGATAGATGGCGTTAACACAAATATCAAGATTTTTTTTTTAATTTTAACAATTTTCCTATTTCAGGTTGGTCTCACGATTCTGGAGAACATAGTGTCTTGCATGGACCGCTCCAAATTCATTATGTTGATCATCTCGAAGCAGTTCCTCTTGAGCCAATGGTGCCAGTTCGAAATGCACTTGGCTCAGCATAGGTTAGTACAGTGTTTCCTAACCTTTCCAATACGGCTACCCCTGTAACCTATTCGGAAAACAGATTTTACCCTTACTTTGAAATGTTATCATCAGTCCAAGAAATTCCAATTTGGCCGCTACATCTTCGTCTCTAATAATGTCATCATCAGGACAAAATCTCGCCCCGCTTCCCACACTCAGCACCCTGCGGGCTCGCTAGCAAGAAAGAGCGCATGCTCTATTTAGTAGTATTATTATATTGTATTCTCTTATTATTTAGATTTGACCAAAGGAGATTGCTCAGTTTCCATACATGTTTGGCCTAAAAACCAATAACCATGAAAAATTGTTTCCTACATTCGAAATTATATATAAATTACCGTAGAAATGAATATTATCGACGGCCACTCCTGAGAACTTCTATAAACCATATACACTGAATGATTTTGAGGTTATGTTTGCAAATAGGCACATAGGTATTAGAATAATAAAAACCAAATAATTTATATAGGAAAATAGGGCAATCAAGCCAAGTACCGATATTATGTATTAGATTCAGGTATATAGAGCATGTAAAATAACAGCTATGTGCATGTTTTTAAAAACACGAACAGAAACTGTGTGATGATTGTGAATGAGCCACAGATTAGAGAGAATTTTTAAACTCTCGTTAATCAAAGAAAGCTAAGAGCTGTAGGTTATACAGCCATATCTTCAGCAGCTTCATTATTTTTGTTATGTTTTTATTATAACCATATTTCAGATTTTTAGTGTATCACACCTTATAATGTGTTTATTTAGCTGTTTGGCAAAAAATGTACGGCAATAGACTTTATGATGTCGCCTACCATCTATATTAATTGTCTTAGCACATTTGCATGTAGTAAAAATTATAATAAAGTTGTGGATATTAATACCACCCGTGTAATAAAAAAAATATATTTTATCAATCTTTACAAAATAGATTTGTTTTGATGTTATATAAACAACCTCGATCAGTCTTTGTGAATGTTACTACACCCATAGCCAATAAAAATGATTCGTATGCTCTCCAAACCGGTAAAAATAGAAGTCCTTTTTTAAAATTAATATATTATTTAAAGGTGGCCGTTAAAATCTAATGACTGTAAAATAAAGTATAAATTACGCCAAGAATTACTGTATATGTCAATATTTTATTTGCTTTTAGGCCAATTTGACCAATCTCCTTTGGTTCTTTGTTACCCCCGAAGTATGGCTGATTTACCCCCGGAGGGGTAATTACCCCCAGGTTCGGAACCCAGGGGTTAGTATTACCATCCTCATCAGCCTATTAACGTCTCTACTGCTGGGGCACCACCTTGGTAATATAGGTATTTCTGACAGCCCTCTGTGCAGAGCCTGCCTGGAGGAGGAGGAGACGAGCGCACATGGTCTGCTGGATCGCAGAGGCGTTGCAAGACAAAGGACTTCTCTAATGGGAAGCCCGCAGACACTAGTAGAAGCTTGCAGCGACATCCGGGGACTGCTGAGCTTTCTGGAGGAGCTGGGATGGCAGGACTAATGCCAATCCCCACGCAAAATAGGCACTGGGTGTCGAGTTGCGGAAACAGCCCGCCGTACTACTAAGACTAAGACTGCTGGGCACAGGCTTTCCGTATGGATGAAATAACCTAACTAACAATTTAGAAGAGTTTCTTGTCGGTTCTTCTCAGTACGAGGTCACCCACCGTAGATTTGCGGACCGATTTGACCTTCATGAATGCTTGTAACAGGCTAAACTGAATAAACTGTTATTGAATTTTAAAGTGGGCCTGGTTCTGGCATATTTTTCTAAAGTTAACACAAAATTTAACAGCAGTCTCACCTTGGTATTCTCTATAGTTGGAGAACTGTTGGAGATTTTATAGCAAAAACACAATCTCGATTTCCCAATTTTCTGGTAGATTCAAGTGGATTCGTACAGTAAATTGCTGTCTGTGCCTTGTAAAAAAAACGTACCAAATTCACCAAAATCAGGTAAACTTGAGAATGAAACAAATGAAAACCAACTTCTCTTTTTTAACACAAGTCATGGTTTCCAGGTTGCTGGAGACCCGCCGCGAAGATCTGATCCTCATCCTCCTGGAGGAGATTCCCCGCCGGCTGCGACCCAACAACTTGCACTACCTGATGCTGACCAAGACCTACCTAGTGTGGCCGAAGAAGGAATCGGAACAGCCGCTGTTCTGGAAACGACTCAACAAGAGCGTGGAAGCGCATAAACAGAGACGCAGGGAGAACGCGTCGATAGCGTGATTAAATATCAAACACAGGGCCGGATTTAGAGGTCCAGAGGCCTCGGGGCAACAGAGGAGCGGAGGCCCCCTCACCCCAAATTATTTTCCAAATAAAGTAAACGTTTTAAGTCGAGTTTTTCAATAAATTATTAATTGTGAACCAAGTAGATTCCCTTAGTATTGAACAAACACATATAAATATAAACGGAAACAAGTTTTTTTTTTTTACAATTAGCCTAGCCCCAAAGTAAGCACAGTAAGGCTTGTGTTATGGGATGCTAGGGTAACGGATAGAATACATATACTGTACATATATAAGTATATTTATATAGAAATACATATTAAACATCCATGACTGGAGTACAAATGCTCGTATTCATCACACAAACATCTCCATCCTACATCCACGCCCCCACCGGGATTCGAACCCGGGACCTCTCGAGTTGGCGACACCATGAAACCCGGCGTACAAACCACTCGGCCACGGAGGTCGTCTGTCTGTCTCTAAGATTTAATTATCTGAAATTAAATCTTAGAGTTAACGAACGGAACCTTTCCAGTTTTTTTTTGCCAAAAAATCGTCGATGATTTCGTTGAAATCGAGTGATTTTTTTTTCCGAAGTCTATTGTGGGGGCCCCCCGTTTGTGGAGGCCCCGAGGCTTTCGCCCCGGTTGCCTTCCCCTAAATCCGGCAGTGATCAAACAAATGAGTAAAGAAAAGCTTTTATTAAAGTGCTAAATGCTTTTAAAATAAGAAAAGAACTCTTTTATTTATCATCCGTATTACGGGAGTATACAAAAGTAAACTATAACTTTAAATAATTCAGCCTTGCCATTCAACGTGGCAATGCTGCCAGCCAATTGGGCACCATCCCTGACGGCGGCACTGGGGGTGACTTATTTTTTATTTTGTAAATAAGATGTTATTTAGGTTAAGGAAATTTGTATTGAAATATTATGCGATTTTCTGTACATATATAATTAAAGAAAAAAAAAGAACTTTAAATATATATTCATAACTAGCTGTCCAAGCGAACTTCGTATTGCCATAAAAAAATAGGGGTTGGTGGAAGAAAGGTGAAAATTTAGGGTTGTATGTATTTTTGTATGATGTATCAAGAAAACAAAAAAATAAAATTTGGACCACCTTTAACATTTAGGGGGATAGAAAATAGATGTTGTCCGATTCTCAGACCTACTGAATATGCATATAAACTTTCATGAAAATCGGTCGAGCCGTTTCGGATTAATTCAATTACGTACACCTTGACACGAGAATAAATTAACTGTCCACCGTCTTGGGTCCTCCTCCATTTTGGATTTAGAATGAGGTAAATAAATAGATCAATATTTCGAAAACTCACACCAATTAGCCCAGCTCCAAGGTGAGCACTGTAAGGATAGGTTACTAGGATAACGGAGAGAATACATATAAGTTTTTGGTCACCCATCCGATGACTAACCATTGCAAATGTAGCTTAACTTTCACGATCGCAGGCCAAATGCGCTTACCACCTGCACCATCGAGCTCCTCCTCCTGATCCTCAGCTGTGGAGGCTGATAATCATAGACGCTGAACGTATAAAGAATGAATATGAGCACTCACGAGTGGTAAGGGTGATTCCTCCCATCATCCGCTTCGGTTGAGGTGGTGTGATCAGCAGGTCTAGATTCAGGACTCCACCGCATATCCTGTTCAAAACAAAACCATGTTTTTACCATACAAACGTTCTTGACTAATTCCTCCTTGATTTTTATCATTAAAGGATTGATTTTCACACATAAAATACAATTTTACTCATTCTATGCTAATATGTCTTCCTTTTTTCGATAACTTGTGTTTCAAAGAAACCAAGGAAACCAAGAAAAGAATCTTTCTTTTTTTTCCCCTCCGTTATCCACGGTTGGGTCGGTCCTCTTATAACACACTGCCTAATAGGCGCGTGTGTGTCAAACAAGGATATAATATGCTCATTTAAACCCCTTACCATATCATTCACACAAGAAATCGAAGATAAATCTTTCCAACTCCAGAAAGGCAGATCGTTCGCTCGTTTTGACGCTCTGACTGCTTTGAAGATTATGGATTGCTGTACATACTATTACTGACAAATTGTGTAATCTTAAATCATCTTAAATCATCTGCATTAAATGATATTAGCAGTATATGTGTATCAATCAAACCACAAGGGCGGTGTGGCGTCGAAAAAAACCCTCTCAATTTTATGAGGATTCTGTGCGTGATGAGTTTCGTAACGAAAACTATACGTTTGGTAAACGCCACTCTCACTCATCCGGTTACGAACCTAATAAATAAATATTTCCAACACTCACACCAATTAGCCTAGCCCCAAAGTAAGCACTATAAGGCTTGTGTTATGGGATACTAGGGTAACGGATAGAATACATATACTTTACATATATAAGTATATTCATATAGAAATACATATTAAACATCCATGACTGGAGTACAAATGCTCGTGTTCATCACACAAACATCTGCCCCCACCGGGATTCGAACCCGGGACCTCTCGAGTCGGCGACGCCATGAAACCCGGCGTACAAACCACTCGGCCACGGAGGTCGTCAACTGAACCTAATGAACTAAAGAACGGGAAATGTGAGAACTAGTTCGAATAGTTTTCCGCGGACAAAATGCCCTCATCTGCGCAGGCTATCGAGTTAGATCGGCGTTGATGAGGAGTCGAACTATGTACCAGCCACGAACCAGCACTCTTTACTATCTTACTTACCTTAGATTAAAACAAAAATGGAAGATACGGCACTCGCGGCTCAAAAGTCATCCGCTTAAATTGTGGTGCATGACCACAATTCGCTTTAGTCATAATTGGACATTCAAACACGCTGCATGTGCACTCAATGTAACAATATTGCGTATATTCCGTGTAATAAAGATAAAATCATGCCTTCGATGCTTTTATAAAGAACACAAATAGTTCAACAACACTGTTAATTCGTAAAACTATGAAAACTTTTTTTTTTAATCACGTGTTGTGAATGTACCTTTTGCCATTTTTATCAAGAAAAGGACAACAATACAGCTCAGCCGTTTGTAGAGAGGGAAAAGAAAGCCAAGCGACTCGGTCTGGCCCTTATAATGCGATTCAACTACGAATAGGACCGACTGGGCGCCATATTTTGACGTCATAGCTGTCAATTCAAACCAAATAGGTAGAGTGAGCAAAAAAATGTTGCTATTTAATAAAACTTATCTACTAAGATTAAGTGAGACAAAACATCAGATTTTTTAATAAAATTAATTTACTAAGGTTGAGAAAGAATTCAACCGATTTTTAATAGTATTTTTTTATTAAGACTGTGTGAAAAAAAACATTAATCACAATCTAGCTCTTCAATTTCGCTCATCTCTGCATTACCGCCGTAGAAGTTATGAATAATCATGCAGGTCACATACGAACATGCATCCTATATGTAAACGAAAGTTTTGAATCGAGTTTTTGTACGCAACATAAAGTGATATTTGGTTGACGATTTAGGTTATCAACTATTCATAGCCAAAGCTCAATAAATGAAAAAAAAAACAACTAATATTAATTATCAACATTTGTTATTGTTTGTTTAAAAATGTTTGGTTTTTATTCTAGAATCAGCCGAGTGCTAAAAAAGTGTTCCGACTTTTTTTTGCAAACCGTACTTTTCAAGCGACATTTTACAGATGGAGGTCAGTGGCTTTCCTATTTTTATTTGAATCGCATTATACGCTGCGTTGCGTTGGGCTCGCTCGCTTGATTCAATGTTTATTTACAGAAGTGTGCGTGTGTGAGAGTTGCTTATGTAGCTAAGTCGGATCATATTTTATTTGATGCTAGTATGAGCGTACCGTATCTTCCCTTTTTGTTTTAATCTAAGCTGCTTACCTATATTTTCGTAGGTTTACTTCGCCAGCTCTTGTTCGAACTGTGCACACCTTCAGATACTTCGCAAACGCTTGCTCTGAAAGAAAAATAACGGATCAGAATGCCGTCTATTGTAATCTCCTACGTCTTCTATACTCTGTCCACCGAAAGGAGCTAATGGAGAGCTTTTCTTTTACTCAATTGCAGCGCTTACAAAAAGACAGAGATGGTAAACTGCGTCATACGATTACAGGGCTGTCATTGGCTGAAGTAACGGCAACAGTATAAACTGGCCAATGACAGAAAAGCTTAGCTTTCATCGGCGGTAGTTCGTTTATATCTATTCTCAGGTCTCCTGTCCTTTATAGCTGTGGAAAAATCACTTCTAAGTGAAAAAAGTTAGGGTCGTTTATCTGTCTGTATATCAAGACCCTTTATCTCGGGACAGTGTGGAGGTATCATGTTGAAATTTTAATCATATAATTATGTTTACAGTACCTTGAAGCTGTGAAAAATTCTAAAAGATACGGCTGTTTATGCTGAGTCATCATCATCAGCCTATTAATGTTCTGCTGCTGGAGCACAGGCCTTCCCTATGGATGGAATAGTGTGATTGGGCCATGACTAGTGTTGCCAGGTCCGATTTGTTTTAAATCGGTACATGAGGTCAAAAAAACGGGATTTAGGGTTGCACGTCGGGACAGTTAACAAAATCCAAGGGGTTTTAAGTCTGGGTTTATTTTATTATATTTTAAACTACAAGTATTATATTAATTACCTAAATACTACATCTAGCAACACTAGCCATGACCCACCAAGCGCGCCCAGTGTGGATTGGCGGGTGCTGACGTCTGCAAATGCAGCCGGGACCAACGGCTTAACGTGCCTTGATTGGAGCAACTCGAGGACAGGAGATAGAAGAGTTTTGGTCACCCATCCAATAATAAATAAATAAATATTTCAAACACTCACACCAATTAGCCTAGCCCCAAAGTAAGCACTGTAAAGCTTGTGCTATGGGATACTAGGGTAACGGATAGAATACATGTACAATACATATGTAGGTATATTTACATAGATGTACATATTAAACATCCATGACTGGAGTACAAATGCTCATATTCATCAGACAAACATCTGCCCCGGATTCGAACCCGGGACTTCTCGAGTCGGCGACACCTTGAAACCCGGCGTACAAACTATTCGGCCACGGAGGTCGATCCAATGACCCACCACTGCAAAAATTGCTTAATTCAACGATCGCAGCCGAAAGCGCCAAAGACCTGCGCCATCGAGCTCCCCCGGCCGAGTTTATGTTGAGTACCTCATCATCATCATCATCATCATCATCAGCCTATTAATGTCCCCACTGCTGGGGCACAGGCCTTCCCTATGGATGGAATATGGAGATTGGGCCCTGACCCACCACGCGGGCCCAGTGCGGATTGGTGGGTGCTATCGACTGCAAATGCAGCCGGGACCAACGGCTTAACGTACCTTCCGAAGCACGGAGGAGCTCGAGATAGTAAATTTTTGGTCACCCATCCAATGACCGACCACTGCGAAAGTTGCTTAACTTCAACGATCGCAGCCGAACGCGCTAGCCACCTGCGCCATCGAGCTCCTCAAGTTGAGTACCTACATACAGTAAAATCCGTATATTATGACTCCGCCTATATTGACCAACCGCATATTATGACGTAATTACACAACGAACTTTGGTTTTCATATAAAATTCATTGTAGCAATGTCGGATATAATGACTTCGCTTACAGTGACATGTCGCTTATTATGACTAGGGCTGCCATCCGTCCGGGTTTCCCCGGATTTGTCCTAGTTTACGGGGCGTCCGGGGAGCGTCCGGGCGGGGTTTTATTTGTAGTCCGGGTTTAAAAATTTACGGCAACGCATGAGTGGCTCTTTGCGCTGCAAGTGTCCATGGGCAGCAGTAGTGACTGCTTATTATGAGGTAGACCGCTAGCTTTTGCCTAGATCAACATAAAAAAGTTGATTTGTGACATTTTTAACTGTTTTTTTATTGGTCTGTCCGGGTTCTGGGCTCCAAAATCCGGGGTTATCACGCGTCGTATCCTGGTTGCCACATTTTAGAGATGGCAGCCCTAATTATGACCCATTTTAATCAATTTTGTCTGTTTATAGTGACCGACATGGCTCTTTACACCTACGGTAATGTTCGCTGATTCTCGACAACGTTCGGCACGTGGCTCGTTTTTGTTTTGAATCTCACTGATCTCAGTAGGGATGTCGAAAGTTGAAAAAATATCGATACATCGATCTTTTAAAAAATATCAATATCGGCTTCGATATATCGCCAAAAAAACATCGATATATCGATATATCGGACCAATTTTCCCAAAAATATCGTACTCTAAAATAGCTCACGAAATATGACACGCGGAATAATAATGGAACGAAAATTATCGCCCTAAAAATAGACCCTATTTTCGAATGATGACATAGGCAATACTAAATACAGCACAGATCATAGATATGTTGAATATCATTAATCTGAGATCCAGTTACGATTTTTCCAGATACGAATTTAGTTAAATCGTGATATGCCGCTAATAATTAAAAAAATATCGTTTTTGATACGAATTTCGATATTGGTTATTTTGTATCGATGTATCGATATATCGAATCAAAATATATCGGCAAAAAATATCGATATATCGATACATCGATATATTTTCAACAAGCCTAGATCTCAGTGAGTAATTTACATTTGAACACCATGCATTGTTTTTAGTAATATCCTATGTAAAAAAAATACTTCTCAACGTCGTAAAGCATTTACGATTACGACTGAGGAAAAAGGTGCAATAATATGCTGATTAGAAAATCTTTTTTCACAAAAATGTTTTGTATGACCGCCGCTTAGTATGACGTGTTTGTCGATTCCCTATTTCATAATAAACGGATTCTACTGTACTAATTTGTACGGAACCCTCGGTGGACGAGTCCGACTGACAGACGGATACAGTGATTATCCACATGGTTTAAAGTTTTTATCTGAGTTCTTAAAAAATAATATTAAAATTATGTTTTTATTATTTTTTAAGCATTTAACTGCTAGATGTTTAAATCTACAGAAAAGTTTACTAGAAAAAAATCCACGCGGACCAGGCACTCACAGGACAGGACAGGCGGACGGGACTCGAACCCGCATCCTTCGCAATCCGGGCGAATGCACTGACCATTATGCTACCACGGCCCTATTCGCCGCGTCGAAATTTTCCTAGCCTTAAGCAGGGCAAGGCAGCGCCATCTCTTCGCATTGTAGGTAACCCACAAAGTCAATGAATACTTTTGCATTCGCCCGGATTGCGAAGGATGCGGGTTCGAGTCCCGTCCGCTGCCTGGTCCGCGTGGATTTTTTTCTAATATTAAAATTATCTGTTTTCACGCACAGTGATGTGCGTTAAATAAACTAGTTTTAACGGATTAATTTTAAGATTTAACATAAGAAGGAGATAGAAAGCCTCTCTGAGTTTGTTTCGCCGGTTCTTCTCAGAAAGGTCTCCCAATTTTGGAACCGGTGGTAGTTTACGGTAGTTAGGGTCAAATAAATAAACTCAATTTTACAAAAAAGATATTTGAATAAAGTACTTTATCAACTAAATTAAGTAATAAATTCATACATAGACAATAAACTTTTTAAAATCTTCCAATGAAATAACCGAACGCTCAATAAAAGTCTTTCGAAGGTAACTCGACAAAATTAAATAAAAAATCATTATTCTGACGATGCAGACCTGAAAAGGCTGCGAAACGTCAATAAATAAATAAAGTTTCGGCCATTAACCCGTTAAAACTAGTTTAATTAAAATTATCACCGTTCATATCAGCTATATGTGCTCTGGGGTCAGGCAACGGCGGGGGCTCGGCCATGTTTAAGTTGTCCAATTCATCTTTCTCCTTTTCATTTTTAGTATATCTACAAGAAGAAACGATTAAAGCTCAGATTATGGAACAAAAGGTTTTACAATGTTTGAACAAACAAGGCGGTAAGTATTTAAATAAATAAATATTTCCGACACTCACACCTATAAGCCTAGCCCCAAAGTGGTACAGGATACTAGGGTAACGGATAGAATACATAGACTGTACATATATAAGTATATTTTTATAGAAATAAATATTAAACGTCCATGACGGGAGTACAAATGCTCGTATTCATCACACAAACATCTGCCCATCAAGAACAACGATACGCAGAAATCAGCCATCGCGGAACATTTGATTGATTCTGGTCATAACCACTGGATTGAGTTTCATAACCCACAGATTATCTCGACAGAACGCCACTACATACCAAGATTGGTCAGGGAAGCGATTGAAATAACAAAACATAAAAATTTCAATCGTGAGGACGGGTTTAAATTGTCGAGTGTCTGGAATCCTGTGGTTCGTATGTGTAAAACTGGAAATAATCAAAAAAGTGTCGTGTCGCGATCCGATACTGTAGTGTAGTGTGTCGAGAACAGTTTCGAATGAATAGTGAGAATGTGAACAGTGGTACGGGTTTCGAACGCAATAAAAGACTTCGTCGGAGGGTAGACCGATATGTCTGCCAATAACAGCCTACCCGCAATTACTTCAGTTACTCCGTGATCATGGCGCTTGCAACTTTGCCGAAATATCGGAAACTCGCTAAAAACAAGGTACATGGTAACAATCCCGTAAATAACTTATATTACTACTAGTGGCCCGCCCTCGCTTCGCTTCGGTGTAAAGCTGTAGTGTAGACTATAGTTTTTGTTCTCAGGCTTGTATTATACACAATGACATTCTTCTAATACCCAATATAGGCACGCGCCGCCAAGCCCGGTAGCGTCGGAACCGCTATGTACTTGAATTTTAAATTTGTAATGTCTTCGAAAATATTCATTTAAATTATATGCGTTAAAGGGCCAAATTGTTCTATATTAAATGCACAATGTATTTAAGGTACTTAATTGGATAAGGATGAATGTTATATTGCTTAAAATCGCTTCGTAAATAATCTATTATTTCTCGTAAAAAGTGTAGGATAAAAATTGCTTATTGTGGGTTATCCTTAAGAGATAGACATATACCATCGCGGACTTTTTTGTAGATCTTTTTAAGGTGTACAATACTGTAGTACATTATTTTGATCTATCTCGTGGGGTTCAGCCAGCGTTTGCAATGTAAGCGCAAAAAATGTGTTTATTTACGACCTTACATTAAAAACCTCTAAAATTATCAGTGTTTCTCTACTATATTATGAATGTATAATACATATAAACCTTCCTCTTGAATCACTCTATCTATTAAAAAAACCGCATCAAAATCCGTTGCGTAGTTTTAAAGATTTAAGCATACAAAGGGACATAGGGACAGGGAAAGCGACTTTTTTTTTTATACTATGTAGTGATGATAATGTCTTTCGTGCACCCGAATCCGGGCTAACGACCAAATCTAATTACGGCATTAATAATAAAATATATGTATGCCTTGTTAACGTTAACTCACATGTTGGCCTTCAGAAAGTTCTCCAGTTCCCTTATCTTCTCCCGGTTCTCCTTATAGAATTTGGCTCGGATCTCATCATATTCTTTCTTCAGCTTGTACGTCTCGATATGCTCCTTCGCGTTGAATATGAAGAGATCTGAAAATTGTCATCTTTATAGTAACGGGCTTCTATCAAATTTGGAAGGGCGGGTAACTCGAGCAGAGAAGGTGAGAATTGTTCAGTGTTGCCATTGATACGGTAATTACCGTTATATACGGCAATTTGAGCTCATAATTTCAGATTATACGGCATACGGAAGGTTTGTCATTGGCGTATAATAATACTAACTACCTAAAAATTTTAATAAATAAAATTAGGTAATAAAACAAAATCATGATTTTTATTTAAAAATACGGCAATCTGATGTATCGAATACGGCAACTCTTTCATACTTGATGGCAACACTGGAGTTGTAGCGCATCTCTCCTTAAACCTACACCTCTCCCTTTCTCTCCCACGCGATGTAATCATAATCAAAATCATTTTTTCAGCTTAGGCTGTTACAAGCACTCATGAATGTATAGATTCTGCGGCATCGGTTCGTAAATCTACGGCGGGAGACCTTGCACTGGGAAGAACCGGCAAGAAACTCAGCAAGGGCTGTTTTTTTGCTAAATAGTTTTAGCGATTTTTGACAGGGGGCGAGTCTAAAATATTATTCCATTACGGTCTTCTGCAAAATGAATGACACTACCTCAAAGAGGTGTTCTAACTTGATCTACTTCTTTACCTTCATATCTGTTCGGCATTTCCCCGCCCAGGTGGAAGGTTCTCGAGCTTTCGCTCAGTAGGTCGATCATAGATCTAGCGGCGCGCACGCACACTCGACTTCCGTCTATAATCTTTGGCAACTTCAAAGACACTTTCATGGCAGGGAAGGACAGCTCGACGGGCTCTCTGAAAAAATTTAACTGACGGTCTATGTTTGAGGAGCTCGAAGGCGCAAGTGGTTAGCGCGTTCGGCTGCGCTTGTTTATATAAGTTAAGCAACTTTCGCAGTGGTCAGTCATTGGATGGGTGACCAAAAATCTTCCATCTCAAATTTTTCCGTGCTTCGGAAGGCCGTTAAGCCGGTGGTCCCGGCACCATCTGCAGTCATTAGCACCCGGCCCGTGTGGTAGGTCATGGCCCAATCTCCCTATTCCATCCGGATTGGGAAGGCCTGTACCCCAGCAGTGGGGACATTAATAGGCTGATAATGATAGGTATAAATTGGAAATACAATTTGGTTTCTAGTTAGAAATGGTTGATTCCTGAAATAATTCAGAGATTTTAAATATGAAAAATATGAGGTTTGATATAAAAACGATTGAATGGTTTGATTCAGACACGACTCATTTTAACCCTTTACAAAGCTAACTTGCATGGTTTGTCAAACATTAACGTGTTTTGAGCTTGTTTGATCAAATTTCATATATTTGACGACCTCCGTGGCCAAGTGGTTTGTACGCCGGGTTTCATGGTGTAGCCGACTCGAGAGGTCCCGGGTTCGAATCCCGGTAGGGGCAGATGTTTGTGTGATGAATACGAGCATTTGTACTCCAGTCATGGATGTTTAATATGTATTTCTATATAAATATACTTATACTATATGTACAGTATATGTATACTATCCTTTACCCTAGTATCCCATAACACAAGCCTTACAGTGCTTACTTTGGGGCTAGGCTAATTGGTGTTAGTGTTGGAAATATTTATTCATTTATTTATTTGTTGGTGTATGATATTTTCTTTTCTCTGTATGTACATAAACATGATAAAAGCGCAAGACATTAACGTAATAAAAATGTCTGCGAGGAAATGTCTGCGTCACAAGGATAATTCAGTGTGTTTTCTAAGAAATTTCATTAAGGGCGACGGGGACGCGAGCTGAGTGACATTTGAGAAATAGGTATTTGAAAATAATATTGCTGTCTCTCATTGGCAAATACCGTGCGATAGGGACAGTGTTGCTAGGTCCGATTTTAAAAAATCGGGAGGCGTTACAGAAGAAAAACAGTAGATGTATAGAAAAAGCTACAAGAAAAACAGTAGATGCAGAGGTGCACTTTTTCGATTTGCACCCCTTTCCCCCCCTCCCTAGAATAGGAAAATCAAATGAAGATAAAGACCAGTAACGAATGTGTTTCTGTGGCTTGTACCGCCTCTTAAAGCTATTTTTTTAGACAGTAACAATTATTTTAAAATTTATAAGGTTACCTACATTGTTAATGGCCGAAAATGCAGCTCAACATGCAATTTAAAAAAGGAAATCGTATTCTAAGAGAAACAGGAGATTCATGTAGAAAAACAGTAGAACAGGAGAAATTTCTGGAAAACAAGAGATCTCCTGTAAAATCTGGAGACCTGGCAACACTGGATAGGGACAACAGTAGCCAACGCTGAAAATCGCATGTAAAAATTGCAAAAATCGAGGTTTAGTTCTCGACGATTCCCTCTTCGAAAATTAGATATATGTAAAAGAATTTTTATCCATATAATAATAAACTAGCAAACCAGTGAACCAAATGTTCACCAAAACCTGATTTAAAAAAAAAATGTATTTAATTAATTGAGAACTTCGGAGATTTTATGTGGTTTCGTTTGAAATTCGTGATTTCTCGAAAACCGGAAGTGCTACGTTACTCAAATCCGGTTTGTAGTCTTATCAGACTATTCTTAACTTATGACTTAAATATTCTCTATATCTATCTCTTACGGTTTGGCCGCTGAAACAGCACCACAGATAGACAGACGGACGGACTTGTCTAATAGTTAAGAGATAGTTATACTAGGCCTCTATGTTTTTCTTTTTTGATGTGTAACATCTTTCCTCTCGCTTTCCTGCAATTTGTGGAAGTGATTTCGTGAAATTAGACGGAAGTGTGTAACAGGAAGTCGCGAAAGCGCGCGCTATTTGATTTGATTTTAGAACAATGTTCAAATGGCTTATTCCTTTTGTAGTAGGTTTATTTCTTTTTTACTAATATAAGGTGAGGTTTCTAATGTTACACATCATACGCGACTACTGTATGTCTCGCTCGTTTTTTTATAAATGCTTATTGAATCTCCACACGAGGCGTCTTTAGTAGTGATAAAAAAAAAAATATTTTTGGCATTTTCGAGGGCTTCTAGTTTTGTTAGTGCATAGAATGATTAAAATTATATTTTACTAGCTGACCCGGCGAACTTCGTACCGCCTTAGCGTAGCTTTGATGCACTACTTTGACATTGACATTCGTTACGTTATATTTTTCAATCTTTCTGAGAGATTTTCTTTATATTTTTTTCCGTAAGAACCTTGTACAGAGTATTAGAAAACTACAAAAGCAAAATCGGTCAAGCCGTTTTCATGTTATGTCGTGACAACGGAAAACGGGTTTCATTTTTATATATATAGATGTATGAAAATCATTTCTTTAGTGATGAAAATCAAGGTATGAATCAGTCGAGAGCGTTTGTATGGAAACACGACTGAAGTGAAAATTCTTTAGCTCAAATGATCTGAAAATCATAAACTTAACCTGAAGATTTGTTGATAGAAAAAAAACACCAATTAGCGCTAGGTCCGTTATCACCCACCAATCCGCACTGGGTCCATTGTCACCCACCAATCCGCGCTGGGTCCGTTATCACCCTTCAATCCGCGCTGGGTCCGTTATCACCCTTCAATCCGCGCTGGGTCCATTATCACCCACTAATCCGCGCTGGGTCCGTTATCACCCTTTAATCCACGCTGGGTCCGTTATCACCCACCAATCCGCGCTGGGTCCATTGTCACCCACCGATCCGCGCTGAAGCCGATCCAAGGAGCTCGATGGCGCAAGTGGTTAGGGCGTTCGGCTGCGATCGTTGAACTTAAGCAACTTTCGCAGTAGTCGGTCATTGGATGGGTGACCAAAAATTACTATCTCGAGCTCCTACGTGCTTCGGAAGGCACGTTAAGCCGTTGGTCCCGGCTGCATCAGTCGTTAGCACGCACCAATCCGCACTGGGCCCGCGTGGTGGGTCATGGTCCAATCTCCCTATTCCATCCATAGGGAAGGCCTGTGCCCCAGCAGTGGGGACATTAATAGGCTGATGATGATGAATCCGCGTTGGGTCCGTTATCACCCTCCAATCCGCACTGGGTCCGTTATCACACCGATGAGTCACCGATGACACTAATCGTAACGCGAAATCGTAACACATTCGCCAGTTTACCCCCCCAAGTCAAGCGTGCCTAAAGAAGTTTTACTTCAAAAACTCTCCTGCCCGCCTCCCCTCTTAACGCAAGAAATCATAAAATTACTGGTTCTGTTAAGAGCCCTTTTACATAACTGCATCGCTGCCTTACTGATCGGCGCGTAGGTAAATTTGCACTAGTATATATTGCATTTTACGGGTGATGTTTCAAGTCTTATAAAATAAATATTAATGAACTAATTATAAAAAGATATACATATTTCAGTAGTTCAATGATGGTAGATTAGTTTTATAAAAGTTTTTGATAGTAATTCTATTTAATTCAATATGAAAATACGAGGTAAACCTGCATTATTTTTTGGGAAAACTCACGGAGGTTAGATGTTTTTTTTTGATAATTAATGAAATAGAAAATCAACATTCTAATACCTTATGTTACAACAAAAACATATTTCTGATGTCGTAGTAATGAATTTGATCTAATTTATTCAACATTGAGGCGTTTCAAGTTGTGCATATTATCGTATTTTCCGTAAACTAGCTGCAGTAGAACAATCAGTACAAAAAAAGGAAAGCAGTATTTGCAAATATTTTACATTAACTTACAATAAAAAGAATAAATCTACTGTTTACTTATATTGGAAATAGACAAAATCTTTTCTAAAAGGGTAAACAAGGCGCTCAAAAATTACGATTTTTTGCAAAAAATGTGAAACGGCTCTTAAGTTAAGCTCTACTCACGGATCAGGCTCTTGGGGCTTGGGTTTCCTAGTCGGCATCTTCACAGCCACCCATATGTTCAGTCTCAGACCTTTGAATTCTTTCTCGTACATCGCCAGTTTGATGGATTCAAACTTGAGATACTTTTCCAAGTCTCGAAGCAGAGTATACGACGCCAGCTGTATAGCGTTGGAGAGCTGTTCCCGTAGTGCTAAACGGACCTTAGGAAATACGGAGTTCTAAATCTTAATATCATTTATTTACCAGTCTCAACTATCCGGGCGGATGTACTGACCATTATGCCTTGCAGCTTAAGAATGGCTAGAAGAATTTCGACGCGGCTATCGGGGCCGCGGTAACATAATTGGTCAGTGCATTCGCCCGGATAGCGAAGGGTGCGGGTTGGAGTCCCATCTGCTGCCTGGTCGGCGGGCGTGTAATTTTTTCTAGTTATATTTTCTTTAGATTTTAACATCAAGCAGTTACATGCTCAAAAACATAAAAACTATAATCCTTTATTTAGTTATTTTTTTTTATTTTTCGAGCATTTAACAGCTAGAAGTTCAAATCATGTTTAAATCTATAGAAATATTTTATTAGAAAATATTTCACGCGTTTCATTTAGGTTGCCAGCTCGCCAAACCTAATAGCCCGACAGAACAGCCAGTTAAGCCGGACATTTGGGTTGTGGCGACTGGATTCCAAGAATGCTGACTTGATATAAGCGTTGTCGCGCGGTCCGCGGTGACGCGAGCTGGAGCTCTATTTTTGAATCACTCGCCTGACATAGTATCATCGAATGCGACATAAGTCACCTTTCGACTTCACCTTTCAAGTCGCATAATACTGATTTTCCGTATTTTTGAAACATTCGTCACCGGTGTTACCTGTTTAATACGAAATGTAAAATTTTACTCATTTCAGAAAATATAAAAACCGGTAATTAACGCAATGAAAACCGAATAAAAAATTCTCGTTGTCGTTGTCGTTTCATATAAAGCATGACAATAATAGATCATCGTCGTCTAAAAGCGCAAAAAATTTGACAATTATTCTATCATTCGCCTCCACCATTCGACATGCAGCGAGTGGTCTCACCTATTCGTTGCACTCGAGCGATTCAAAAATACGGAATTAATTATGTCGAATGAAATTTAGTAGAAATCGAGCGTTCGACGCAAGACGAGTGATTCAAAAATAGAGCTCCTGGTCGCACATAACCACCGATCCCGTCAGGTTCATTCTTAAGTCATTGTACTAGTACGCATAACAGTTAGAAAATAGACATTATATTTTGGAGTCAGAGTAATTTAGATCAATCTTGGTGAAGTAAATAGACAGTCAGTGATTAACCATAACACCTTTTATTTAACATTCACATTAGGCACCCCTTACCTAACGAACTCATTTAGACTCAACAGACGTAAAACCTAAAGGGTAAAAACACATAGAGGATTTTGTGGCATAGTAATATTAGGCACGACAAAAATCTGTATGTAAAAGTGACCGACGGTCAACTCCGGACTCCGTTTATTTTGTCCTGTCAAACAATAGGGGTGATGACGGGGTACAGTAAACGAAATTCTATTAAGTCCGTCAGTTAGATGATCAAAAAAAAATGATATTTTTTCTTTGGGCAATCAACCAAAAAATGACAAAGTTATAGCGCGTCAAAGTTTGGGAGTAGGGGCTCGTGACTTTTAAATGAAAATTGTACCAAAACGTGACGTCTTGCGACTTTTCAAATCAATTTATCTTGGCAATGTTTATATTATGTAAAAAAAGAAAAAATACGTGTCCAATGCTTTTTGATAATCTACCTTTTAAACGAAGAAAAAAAAATAGTTTTCATCCCTATTAAAAAGCTTAACTATGTCCGTCCGGCTTTATCCGGTCGCCTCAACGCTACACGCGGACCCTAAGCGCGGACCAGGTAGCAGATGGCTATCCGGGCGGATGCACTGACCATTATGCTACCGTGGCTTTAATTGCCCGTTTCCAATTTTCTCTAGTATAGCTTAGGCTGTAAGGCAGCGCCATCTCTTCGCATTGTAAGTAACGCGGATAACAGAGGGTGCGGGTTTGCTGCTTGGTGCGCGTGAATTTTTTATAGTAAAAAAATCTCTATAATTTATTTACTTAAGGATGTTACAAGCGCTTGAAAAAGGTCTTCAAAAAGCTGTGCTGTATCGGTTCGAAAATCTACTGCAGGTAAAGGTTTATTAAAAAATTATATATCGTAATATATATCAATATATATTACGACATTCAGTGCCGTCTTTAACCTATTGGAGGCCCTGGGCATATTAGGGGAATAGGGCCCGTATGACCCTCGTTTGGTGATCTAACAAGAACTAGGGACTTTATATTTGTGATCTGAGGTGCCCGCCCACCTATCGATCACGGGGCCCTGGGCACTTGCCCAAAGTGCCCACTGGGAAAGACGGTCCTGGGGACATTATTAGGTTGATAATTAGTGGATTCTTACCTCATTGTAACTCTGGGCTTGGAGGGGCGTGTATTGTCTGGAGTTGGCGACGAACTCCTCCAACATTTCCAGCATCTAATAACAAACTTAGGCTCGTATTACAGAATGACAGTTCAGTTAGAAAGGGATGTTGCTTTGTATAGCACATAGCGACATTTCTTTCTTACTTTACTCAAGTTAAGATCAACACTTAGTTGTCATTCTGTAATATGAGACTTAGACCCGTATTATAGAAAGATTCTCAGTGATTGATCTATTCTTGAGCATAGTTAGAAAGGGATGTCGCTACATAAAGCACATAGCGACATCCCTTTCTAACTGTGTTCAAGTAAAGATCAACAATTAGTTGTCATTCTGTGATACCTATTGCCGTCTTTGACCTATTGGATGCCTTGGATATATTAGGATAATGGGGCCCCTATGACTCCCGTTTGGTGATTTTACAGGAACTAGGGACTTTGTATTTGACCTGAAGTGGGCCCCTATCGATCGCGGGGCCCTGGGCACTTGCCCAAAGTGCCCACTGGGAAAGAGGGATCCTGTAATACCGTATTAGCCTTAGAGTCTCAGATTACAGTACAAAAGTCAGATGGAGTGCACGGGATACGCAATGCGTGCCACCAAAGCCAATTCGAAGTCATACACATATTTTAACATCCATGATTGGAGTACAAATGGGTATTTCCATTGTAACGGGTGCGACACTGACACTGCGTTTTTTCAAGATAGTAAGGTGTTTGTTCAGATATATCAAATTACGTTTATAGAGAAAAATACACACATCAAAAGTGTCTAGGGATCAAGCATTTTTATGCGGATTTCTTGAGATTGAGATGTGGCTTTGTAATAAATTTATGATTTTATAAATTTATATGGATCCTTTTTGGTGCATTTCATAATTTGAATCAGGAACTGTGAATCAAATTCGAGTAAAAGATGAAAATCAGCTGTCAATAATTCCCTATAAAAACATACAACGCATTGAAGACATTATTAGTGCTACTGTTTCCCTACTACTGATTAAAACCAACGTTATTATGGAGCGGCGAAGTCATTTAAGCAGGGAAGAAATGCTCAGAGCCGTGGGAATGATAGAAGCTGGTTCCCGGCAACGTACTGTGGCTTTAGCTCTGAATACAAGTCAGAGTGTTATCAGTCGACTTTGGACACGATACCGAAGCACTGGTACCGTGGCTGAGCGCCATGGAGGACGGTATCGCTGCACCACACGGAGACAAGACCGATACATTCAAATCTTAACTCGAAGAGCTCCAACAATAACCGCCATGATGTTAGCCGTGAGGCTTCATCACTCTTCAGGGAACTTAATTAGCGACCAAACAGTCAGAAACCGCTTGCATGAAGTGAACCTTCATTCCCGAAGACCGCTACGGGTTCCACCTATAGCAATGCACAATCGTAGGATTCGATATCAATGGGCTCTTGAACACAGAAATTGGGCAGAAGAACAATGGCGTTTCGTGTGCTTTTCTGATGAGTCTCGTTTTGGTATGAGACCGTACAAGACGTATACGACACTGGAGGACCCCTGGACGCCAACAGCGATTAAAATCCTGCCAGGAAGTCCATCCTTATAGTGGTGGAACCATCATGGTATGGGCGGGTATTTGGATCGGCGGAAGAACTGAGTTGATTTGGATCAGAGGCAACCTCAACGCTCAAATTTATGCTGAGACGATTGTATCAGACGTCATCGTTCCTCTACAAGTGCAAATCGGTCCCTTATTTCAGTTAATGCATGATAATGCACGACCGCACACCGCAAGAGTTGTAAGACAGACTCTCGCCGCAGCTAACATCAATGTCCTGCCCTGGCCTGCTCAGTCGCCAGACTTGAACCCGATTGAGCATGCATGGGATATGCTACAGAGAAGAGCTCTGCCGAATATGGAGGGTATCCAGTCGCAAGAAGACCTTTTTTTGTTGTTGCAACGAACATGGGCGGCCATTCCACAGCGTGATTTGGATGAACTCATTTTGAGTATGCCAAACCGATGTTCTTGTGTTGTTAGTGTTCGCGGTAGAAATACGGATTATTAATTGTTTAAGTTACCCAATAAAATTTTAGAGAAAACTGTTATTTCAGTCTTTTTTTCGAACTTTTGTGTTAGTGGTTCAAATGTCAAAAATCCCTTTATTAGGAAAATGGCAAATTTCTTTATTAATGCAAAGGTGACTTGGTTTATCGTTACTGTGACAAACGAAAACACTTTATTTGATGAATCCTTAAAGAAAATTTTAATTAATATCAATCAGGAGAAAAGTTATTGCAAAAATATATGTTGATCCCTAGACACTTTTGATGTGTGTAGTATGAAAAATTATATATTAAAATCAAACAAGATCTTGTATAGAAACTTGTAATGAAAAAGTTATACAACGTCATGAATCGCGTAACGGGTGTGACCTTAGAAAATCGCCAAATAGACCAGGCTCGATAATTTTTGAGACCAAACAAAATTATAGTAGGATGAAACCCATTGGAAAAGGTAGAGAATATAACAAAAATGAAAGGAAAAATAAATTACGGGCGATCTGAGGTCGGGAAGGAGGAGGGGGTGAGTTTTTAAGGGTAAAAAACGATTAATCTCGATTTCCGGTAAAACTGCAAGTCCTATGAAAAAAAAGAAATGGCAAAGTTGTAGGTAATAAAAAGACCTACAACTTTTGTATCGACACTTTTTTCGCATAACCTCAAAATTTATGTGAAAAATTCGAATAACCGAGTTTTTGGTTTGTTATTTTAATTTTTTGCAAAAAGAAATTATTGAAATTTTTTGAAATCAAAAAACATCATCACACAGGGATTCGAACTCGGGACCTCTGGAGTAGGCAATACAATGAAATCTAACGTACTAAACACTAGGCCACGGAGGTCATCAGCTTTGTCTATTTGGATGGAACTAACCTGCAGTCATTGCAAGCGGAAATAGATCAGCTCGATGAGGCAGGTGGTTAGTGCATTCGGCCTGTGATCGTGAAAGTCAAGCAACTTTCGCATAGGTCGGTCATTGGATGGGTGACCCAAAATGTGTGCTTCGGAAAGCGCGGTAAGCCTGCGTCCCGGCTACATCTGCAGTCGTTAGCACCCACCAATCCGCGCTGAACGGGCGTGGTGGTCTTATATTTCATCCATAGCGAAGACCAATTTAATCCTATTGATGTCCAAGATGATGATGGTGGTAACCGGTAGTGTTTCCTGGCATCTCTTGTTCAGCTCGTCGGCATCACATCCTCTCTGGTTCTGCCAGATGTGAAGGTAGGTGTTCATTTGCGTGACCACACGAGGGTCAGGTAGACCGTCACAACGTAGATACTGCTGCCACTGTGGACAAAAGAACACCATGGTCATCAACTTTATTGACCAAAATACAAATGAATGGTACAAAAGACGAACTTAATGCTAATAGAATTCTCTCCTAGCCAACCTTTAGGAAGAGAAAAATTTGAAAGGTGGTTTAAGCTAAATATACACATACAATATAGACATAATAAATAATATTCAATATTTAAATAACCAATTAACATAGATACATATATACCTAAACTAGCGGCCCGCCCTCGCTTCGCTTCGGTGTAGAGCTGTAGTGTAGACTACAGTTTTTGTTCTCAGGCTTGTATTATACACAATGACATTCATCTATGATTCTTCTTATACCTGCATGCAAAGTCTCAGCCCGATCGGTTTAAAATTGACAAAGTTTCATACAAACTTTCATTCCCTATTTTATCCCCTTGGGGGTAGAATTGATCAAAATCCTTTCTTAGCGGATGCCTACGTCATAACATCTACCTGCATGCCAAATTTCAGCCCGATCCGTCCAGTGGTTTGGGTTGTGCGTTGATAGATCATTTTGTCAGTCAGTCACCTTTGAGTTATATATATATATATATATATATATATACTACGAAAGGAATATACATACATACACGGAGTTATCACGGGATTATTTCGAGCTCCTCCGTGCTTCGGAAGGCACGTTAAGCCGTTGGTCCCGGCTGCATCTGCAGTCGTTAGCACCCACCAATCCGCACTGGGCCCGCGTGGTGGGTCATGGCCCAATCTCCCTATTCTATCCATAGGAAGGCCTGTGCCCCAGCAGTGGGGACATTAATAGGCTGATAATGATGATGATATATACATATAAATATACACATGATGATGATTAATAAAGTGACTCTTCGTCTTAAATTTATGTACCAACCTAAAATAAAATAAGGATTTTATCGGACTTTTTGGTGGAATCGGGAAGCGTCACTTTAGCAGTTTTGTTTTTCTTGTTAAAAATTGTTGTGGCGGATGATAGTTTCTAATAATGGTGGATTATTAACCACTAAGTGTTCGGGAACTTGCACAAGTGTTGACAAGTGAAACAAAATAGCGGAAAGTGTCTTTCGACGTTCCCTCAAGAAGTCCACGGGGAGGTTCCAGTAAATCCCCACACATTTACTGAAACATAGGGAAAGGGGGATTGACTTGACTGCCACTTACTTTGACTTTAGTACTTTGACCACGAGTGCTATAGAATTTGTAAACATTTTTAACACTTGACATTGGCTAAATGCACAAGCCGTGCGAAGCCATTTAGGAAAAAAAAAAGTTTTTAACACGCTTTTTTTCTGAACGAATTGAAATTCTGGAGAATTCCCGGTAAGTATTATAAATATTTTTAGAGGAAGTTCTCGCTCCACCTAGATCTATTTACACAAAACTCATTTGTAGAAGAAATAAAGAGCTATGAAACTAAAAGCAAAGCCTCTTATATAATAACTAGTTGACCCAGCGAAATTATTATTAAGATAATCATAATCCTTTATTCAGTTTAGGCTGTTACAAGCACTCATAAATGTCTAGAAGCTACGCCATCGGTAAATATACGGCGGGAGACCTTGCATTGAGAAGAATGTGTAGGAACATGACCGAAATCAGCATGGTTATTCATGTTTGTCATTGGCGTGGATTAGCGGGCGAGGAGTTGTTAATTCAACAAAATATACAGCACTATGGTTTGATTGTGACATCTTGAGGATTTTAATCAATTACTGCTGCACAAAATAGTCAGCAATTTCAAAGATGATACTTGATTTTATATAACGTCCATCGAGCACGTAGCCATGGAGGTTAGAGAGAAGGAGAACGATCGTTACGTATTAAAGCATTAGCCCGCCTGTCCGTGAAAATTTGTAGAATTTATAGAACAGTTCATTTTTCAGCCACCAGCCGCGCTGTCGTCGGTAAGTAGTATCTGTGAAGTTAGCCGTTTATGAGTACAAGTAGATGAAGTTAGTTGAATAATGTACAAATTTTCTTCGCGGTATTGGTCATTTCAAATTAGCGCAGAACAGCCCGCTTTTATTGAGACAACTTAGCGATCGCAGCGCCTCACTTATTTTGTCCATATTTCTGGGACACTATTTTCTACAGCAATCATTCTCCTTCTTTCTGACCTCCATGCACGTAGCCATGCGCGCTCATAGAGGTATAAGAATAGAGGGGGGAAGGCGGCTCTAAAAGTGTCCGTCTGGTAGAAAGAGAAAGATGAATACCGACCAATCACACGACAGCGCAGCGTCACAAGAGAGAGAGATAGCTACCCTTCTCTCATCTTCTTTCTTTTTCTACTAGACGGACACTTCCAGTTCTTGTAGTAGAGTACATATCTCCCCAACTCTATTCTTATACCTCTATGTACGCGCTTCGTCTGGCAGACGTCAAGCATTAACTGTCATCCGTGACAAGACTGCCACCTCTCTAGAGATCGTTGTTCGTTCAGAAAAGAATTATTGGTACCTACAGCAATTTAAGAGATGCGTCGTCAAATGTAAAAATAACAGTTAAAAAACAAAACAAACGCTTCCTCGAAATTGTAAGAATAGGTTTGATGAAAAACTTGATTTTTTCTTCATCTAATTTATCAGGACGATTATCAAAATGTACTGGAAATATAATTAACTGAAATTGTCATATTTCTTCTTTGAAATCCTTCTTATATAACAAATGTGAAAGTTTGTACGTCTGTTACTTAATTACGCAAAATCTACTGAACAAATTACGATAAAGTTTGGAACGCATAAAGTTAATGACATGCATTATGTTATATGATAGCTCTTAATTCGGAAAAAATCGGTTCCTGTGAGATTTTCGTAAAACTAAAGTTATCGCAAAAATACTTGGGGTATCCGCTTGTGTTTAATACTTGTAAAGGTATTTCGTTTGATATTCTGGGTTACCTACAATACGAAGAAATGGTGCTACCATAGTCATGGTAGCATAATTGGTTATTTCTGCTACTAAAATTTTCTTTAGATTTAAACATCTTACACTTAAGTTAAATGCTTAAAAAATTTAAATATTAAAAACAACATACAATACCTCTGCTTCCAACTGCTTCATGGTTTCAAAATCCATCTTTTGCCTTTCGAATTCTGTAAAGATGATAACAAAAAAATTAGTGTGCAGTCGTGTGACGCTCGTGACGCATTTCCGTTTCATCTTTTCCATAGGATTTTTCCACTTAAAAAAGTTTCACTTGAATTTTATAAAATAATAATTTACATTTTTAAGGACATTACTTTCATATAACTTATTCTTAGATCCTTTTTTTTTAGAGGTCTGTAATATATTACTGTGGAATAAGTCACAAGTCTTCTGCAGTATGTCTCTTCTGATCTCCTGCTCTGCATTGTCCTTGGCCATCAGTTCTGCCCTCTCTCTTGCCAGCTGCGCTCTCTTCTCTTTGGCACCGGCCAGGATAGCTTGCCTTGAAAAAGAGAGAAATGTATTATTCGGACTGAATACAATACAAATCTCCTTATTATACACCACAGAAAACATTAAACATGAAGTACATAATGACTGAATACAGTGGGCGGTCTTCATCATCATCATCACCAGCCTATTAATGTCCCCACTGCTGGGGCACAGGCCTTCCCTATGGATGGAATAGGAAGACTGGGCCATGACATACCACGCGGGCCCAGTGCGGATTGGCGGGTGTTAAAGACTGCAGATGCAGTCGGAACCAACAGCTTAACGTGCCTTCCAAAGCACGGAGGAACTCGAGTTAGAAGATTTTTAATCACCCATCCAATGACCGACCTCTGCGAAAGTTGCTTAACTTCAACGGTCGCAGCTGAACGCGCTGACCACCCATCGAGATCCTCTGGGGGCGGTCTTATTGCTAAGAGGTTTCTCTTTCAGAAAACCTTAGTATGGAGAAGATAAGAAACAAGATGGAAAGACGGTGGTGTAATGAACTTCAGAAAAAAACGATAAAGAGTCATACAAACACAACTAAAATTCAATCGTGCATTGCGGGGGAACAGAGCGGTCCTCAGAATGTACGCCGGGTGACCACCGCAGGAGTATTGTCTGGTTTGTAGTGGCCCTGTTCAGGGCGTTAGGTAGGGCCCTGCTCATTTCACCCGGCCCACTGCCGGATTTAGGGGAGGGCAACTGGGGCGAAAGCCCCGGGGCCTTCGGGACTTCGGAAAAAAAATCTTTCAAATTCCAACTAGTTAACACTAGTAAACATCTTTTCCTTTGATATTTTTTTTGCTCTTTTACCTTTACCTACAGCCTACAGTACTTTGTACATCTAACATACATGATTATTTGATTATATTAATCTCAGGGCCGAATTAAAGGCAGGGCAGGTGGGGCTGTGGCCCAGGGGCCTCCACATCAGCTTAAGAAATAACAAAATTTCGATGGGTCAACAAGCATGCAAATCCTAAGTGGCCCGGGGCCTCCACAACAGGATAAAAGATAACAAAATTTCGATGGGTTAACAAGCATACAAATCCTAAGTGGCCCGGGGCTTCCACAATCCTAAATCCGGCCCTGACCCGGCCCAAGGGCTGGCTGTAATGAGCAGGGAGTAGTCCCACCTACCTTCTTCTCGCTCCCCCGGTGGATGAAGGAAGCATAAGGCATTTCCCAGACAAAAAAAAAGTCGGAAACAACAGTTAATTCCGAATAATTCCCTGACCTTTGATAGGTTTTTCAATTATTTATTTACGAATTAAGCACACACAATAAAACAGTTAAGAAGAGCAGAAACAAGAAATTTGTACAAGGGCACTGCTTATTTGAGAGAGAGAGAGAGAGAGATTTTTTTATTAACCATTTGTTACGAGTATTACAAGAACAATGAAAAAACACATAAACATTATCATAAAAAACAAAAATTAAAAACTAACTTAAAACTATAAAAGTAAATTAATGGTTAATCAGGACCCTGCCTCAGCATGATGCTGTTGCCACACGTTACTATGCGAGTGACAACAGCGCTGGTATTCTGGCAGGGCCTGTAAGGTGCGCTATATATATGACACGCTGCACAGTTCTCCAATCTCAAACCGAAACCTACTCGTAATATCAGTCACTGCTTTTCATTCTGTAAAGAGACTCATTTCATATTGAAATTTCTTCCAGCAGGTCCGTGAAAGGAAAGAGCATAAAGAAGGCAGTCAGCGTATGCCTCCTGATTATAAATAACAAAGTGTATTACACGCAATACCATATACAAAACCTGCATATATATACAAACTAGCTGTCCCAGCGAACTTCGTACCGCTATAAAGAATGGGGGTTGGTGGTAGAAGGGTGAAAATTTAGAGCCGTATGTATTTTTGTAAGATGTATCATAAAATAATATCCAAAAAAAACAAAATTTAGGGGTGGACCACCCTTAACATTTAGGGGAGTGAAAAATAGATGCTATCCGATTCTCAGACCTACTGAATATGCATATAAAATTTCAGGAAAATCGGTCTGCCATTTCGGAGTGGTTCAATTACGCACACCGTGACAATGACATTTATTGACAGCACCTATTAGAAGCTGGTGTATTTCTCAAGTCTTTCTTCTGTCCTAGTCCCCCCACTGCTGGGGCACAGGCCTTTCCTATCGATGGCATCGAGAGACTGGGCCATGATGTGGCTCACCACGTGGGCCCAGTGCGGATTTGTGGGTGCTAAAGACTGCAGATGCAGACGGGTCTTACGGCTTATCGCGCTTTCCTAAGCACGGAGGAGCTCGTGGTAATAATTTTTTGGTCACCCATCCAATGGTCGACAATTGTAAAAGTTGCTTAACTTCTATGATCGCAGGGCGAACACTTTAACCACCTGCGTCATCGTACACCACAGTTTCATGTTTCTTACTACTTGGTAATAAGAATTAATTTTGAAAAACTAACTTCTCGGCCTCCTTCTCAGCCCGCCATTCTTCTATTCTCTGCAGCATCCAAACTTCTCTCTCTTTTTTATTCATTTTTTTCCAATTTTTCGGCTGGCACAGTGTTGCAATATTAAAAAATGACGCTAAGTTCAAACTACGTTCTGTTACGGGATAAATTTTCATTTAATTGTATTACAAAAAATGTGAAAACTGAAATGTGAGAATTTTCCGAAACGTATTTTTTCACTTCGATGTTTTACTTTTTAAGCTAAATTTTGGGGTAAAATCTAGTAAATTTTATGATATTTCTATTTCTTGTCAAGAAACTTTGATGTTATCGGGAAAATCAATATATCTTAATGCATCTGCAATATTACTATAACTTAAAAGACAACTTCTAAATTGTATAAGAAACAGCAGACACAAGAAGTTTTAAATTTCTACAAAGTATTCTGTTCTTCTTTTTCCGTCGGAAAACGTACTGACATACTGATGAATTTTAAAAGAAGCCGTAATATGAATGCCGTGTTGTGGAATAGTGGTGTCGAAATAGGATTATGATAAATATCGATAGTCTATTGTTATAAACTTTCATGGTCACTAACATTATAGTAATATAAGTTATTTACGAGATTGTTACCATGTACCTTGTTTTTAGCGAGTATCCGATATTTCGGCACTGTTGAAAGCGATATGCTCACGGAGTTACTCCATGTAACAAGGTACATGGTAACAATCCCGTTAATAACTTATATAACTATAATATCGATAGTCGTCTTGAAAAATCGTCAACATGCCGTAATGCTTTACGGTTCATTAAGTAAACTAAAAAAGTAACCATATTTTCTAGTGTTCAAAATATGTTTTAAGAAAACTAATAAATATTTAGTTAATTTATTATTATTTTCTTTCAGCATTCCTATCTTGATGGTGTGAACCCATTCACTTATCACGTGGAGCCCTGAAATCTGTTACTTTATTGTCATTTTTTTTAAAGTTTTACGGCCGTGAATTTCTCCATTTCGGCCATTCATTAGTTAATTTCATCATTATTGTAATCTTCTGTAAGGTAGAGGTTACTCCACCTAACGGATGCTACAATTGAAGTAAAAAATTATTATCTATGTCATACGTCTCTAAATCCAATCTTAGGCCAAATATTCGGTTATCGATAGTTTTTAGATTGAATTTCAAGTATTCCTAACGTCAATCAACAACCCTAGTAACAACATTATTTCAATATGACATGCGAAAACACAATTCGGTTATCGAATGAATCATAAAAAAATCTTACGTTACAGCCACTAAAACAAATGGTTAGGTACTTAGTTTTTTACTGTGACATAATTTGTAAAATGTATTTTGACATAATTTGTAAAATGTACTTTGACATATTTAACGGTTGAACTGAAACCTTACTCAAGACTAGAGAGCCACTTAACTTAGAGTAGGGTTAGCGAAGCACTCAGAGAGGTTATTTCCTTTTTATTAAAGTTATAATTAAGGACGACCTCCGTGGTCGAGTGGTTTGTAAGCCGGGTTTTTCATGGTGTCACCGACTCGAGAGGTCCCGGGTTCGAGTCCCGGTGGGGGCAGATGTTTGTGTGAATTCATCACACTTTGAGCATTTGTACTCCAGTCATGGATGTTTAATATGTATTTCTTTAAAAATATACTTATAAATGTACTGTATATGTATTCTATCCGTTACCCTAGTATCCCATAACACAAGCCTTACAGTGCTTACTTTGGGGCTAGGCTAATTAGTGTGAGCGTTGGAAATATTTATTTATTTTATTTTATAATGTGTATATAATACTCTTGTTTTTGGTCGCTTAAAACAAGACATCTTTAAATAAACTTTTCAAAGACCTTGTAATTTAATATGCAGTTTTATTCGAAGCAGTTTTTGCAAATTCTGGGAAATTAAGTCGAGTTGACGGCGCGGCATCAATTTTAAATTACGTTAAATGGCGTACCTACTGAATCCCCATAGACACTTATGTGTATTATAAAGAAGAAGATTTACTCGTACACAATTTTTTTGTACTCATTACAGCAAAATCTAATAAGGTTCGAACCTTTTTTTAATAATTGAATGCATTTATGAGAAAATTAAGTAAGAATACCGTGTTTCATCTTTACCTTTTCAAATTCTGGTATCTCTTCCTTTTCTTTTTTCTTCCCTTTTTTACCTTTCTTCTTCTTCTCTGGCACTTGCTCTTCTTCTACGACCGCTTTCTGTTCTTCTGTTGGGATTAAAAAAACGAAAAAATATAAAGAAGGAAAGGTTTATAAAGTATAAACGTATCGAATTTCATACAAATCCGTTCAGCAGTTTTGGCGTGATTGAGTAATCTGCGATTATGGAAGTTAAATAACTTCCGCAATGGTCAGTAATTGGTTGGGTGACCAAAAACTTATTATATAGAGCTCCTTCGTGCTTCAGAGTCATCTGCAGTCCTTAACACCCAACAATCCGCACTGGGCCCGCGTGGTGGGTATCGGCCTAATCTTCCATTCCAGTCATAAGGAAGGCCTAACTCCAGCATTGGGGGCATTAATAGGCTGGTGATGATTAACAAACATATAAACTTACACGTTATAAACCTTTTAGTAAGCTTAGATATTTTTCTCACGAAAAAATTTTGCAAAAACCGGTAATAATTTTCTCTTTCAGAGATTCCGTTGGGTACGGTGATAGATTTTGTTCTATAACATCAGTAATTTTCTAGAAGTAATGGAATATATTTTGGTTGGTTTTTTCTTCAATTTGAATCAAGTGAAACTATGAGCCGCAGCTAGTGTCTTTACTTATAACTGAAAATTCATACCGGGATAAGAAACATACCAAGCGGAAGAGAATCCTCAGACCATTGGAAGAAGTCACTGGTCTCCTTTACAACCTCTGCCTGACTCTGCAAAAGAGGTGTTTTTGAAGTGAAAACTTCTTTAGCGGCGTGGTACACATTTTTTTGTATGGGTAAAAAATGTTAAACTCGCGTCAGGTGAAACACGTGGGCTGATCGCATCATGACAAATAATAAAATTGGAAAGGTTGTTGACTTTCAATGTATTGGACGAAACATAGTAATATTTTATTTTATCGTATTATAATAATAAGTCTCTAGCTAGAACGTCCACGTGGCAGCTTTTTTGCGAAGAAAATGTATTTTTTTACAACATAGTCGCAACTTAATTGTGATTCACGTAAGTTGATTTCTTTACAATAGATGTCGCTAAGTGCGCTTAAAGGTGATTCATGTAAGTTAATTTTTCTGGGATAAACTTTTTTAATGAAATATAAATTGTCATGTTTGTGTACGATAGCGCAATAAATAAATATTTTATTCCATATACATGATATGATATACCACATACCTGATAGTACTTTTATACTGATAATTAAAGCAATTCGTGCAAATTATTCCCTAACCATTCTAAAATATCAAAAATGCACAACGTTAATATTCAAGTTTTCACTTCTGCCGGCACTCCTGGAGTGCAACCCGTCGTTTTTTTTAAACTAATAGATCACGGCCGCTTTGTTTGGATGGAGAATTGGTTTTCTGCATAAAGTTTGGCCCAATATTTTACTATTAAAGTGACATTTTCACGACAAAATGGAGAATACAAGGTAGTGCACGAACTATTGTATAACAGAAATCAATGAACAGTGGATAAAAGTTTCACCTTACGCCCATCTGAATGTAGCGAAAACCAAGCCACATATTTTGAATAAGGTGTAGAATTTGTGAACTTAGGCCTTGTAGAGCAGGAGTATTGTCTGGTTTTTAGTGGCCCTGTTCAGGGCGTAGGTAGGGCCCTGTTCACATCAGCGAGCTCCAGGGCTGGCTGAAGAGGACAGGGAGGAGTCCCACATACCTTCTTCTCGCTCCCCCAGTGGTTGAAGGATGCGTAAGGCATTTCCCAGACACAAAAAAAGGTTAGGTTAGGTTAGGTTAGCGAGTCATGCCCCTGTGCATGCTCGTGGCCCGTTCAATTATGGCGAGGCGAAGTTCCCGGGGAGTTTAGTGGAGTATTCCCGGCTATCTGTTTAGCCGGGAGAGTCCCACACACCCCCGCTCACTAGCCCAGTGGGCGGGGAAGGTGCTTAAACGCATTCTCCCCGTTGAAAAAAGAAAGGCTAGCGAGTCTTATGGTCTCGTCTTGGCAACATTTGACATGAAAATGTTTCTGGTGCGATGTCATTTTACAGTGTCCACATTATTTTTACAAAAAGAATTATCGATCTCGATTCAGAGATCAACATATACATCATACATACATACATCATACATCATACATCATACATACAACATTGTTTTTTACTAACCTCAGCCTTCAGTTTTTTCCCCTTTTTCTTTTTCGGCTTTGGTTCTGAAAGGCAAATAAAATATAAGAGTACATTTTGATATAAAGGTCATAAAGTAGAATGTCGCGATGAGGAGCTCGATGGCGCAGGTGGCTAGCGCGTTCGGCTGCGATCGTTGAAGTTAAGCAACGGTCGGTAATTGGATGGGTGACCAAAAAATTTACTTTTGAGGTTTTGCCAGCGTAATAAAAATAACATTAGAAACCTCACCTTATGTTAGTAAAAAAAGAAATAAAACCTACTTCAAAATGAATAAGCCTTTTAAACGTTATGTTCTAAAATCAAATCAAATAGAGCGCGCTTTCGCGACTTCCTGTTACACACTTCCGTCCCATTTCACGAAATCACTCCCACAAATTGCAGAAAAGCGAGAGGAAAGATGTTACTCATCAAAAAGAAAGGGGGGTTGGGCCACTTAAGCACATGTCAAAAACAAATGGAAAACACAAACGCTTTACAATGAACCCCTGTTACTAGTATAATAAATCACATGGCATCTTAAATTATTCGTAAAAGTTTTGTGTGTATTAACTGATGTATATCATACCTTAACATTTCGGTGATTTAAATGATAATTTCCCGTTTTTATTCCGTTTTCGCTGACGACATAGGTGTAGTGAGCGGGTTGATTGTGTTACCATGACAATGGTTTATTGATGAAACTGTTTGGGCTTACTTAGCTGTATCAGGTATTCAATTGTATGCAAATTCATTTTCCAAATTGAATAATCTTTGGCAATGATTTAAAAAAAAACGTCGAAATGTGTCGGGATGGAGAATGCGCGAAAACCTTGCTATTAATATTCGCGTTGTAATCCTTAAAATATTATATTTACAATGCAACGCGATGGTTTAAATAATCCTGGGTTCCGAACCTGGGGTAATTTAGCCATACTTGGGGGGTAACAGAGAACCTAATTATTTGGTCAAATCTAAATAATAAGAAAATACTATATAGTAATACTACTAAATAGAGCATGCGCTCCTTCTGGCTAGCGAGCCCGCGGGGTGCTGAGTGTGGGAAGTGGGGCGAGATTTTCTCCTGATGATGACATTATTAGAGACGAAGATGTAGCGGCCAAATTGGAATTTCTTGGACTGTGATGATAACATTTTAAAGTCGGGGTAAAATCTGTTTTCCTAATAGGTTACAGGGGTAGCCGTATTGGAAAGGTTAGGAAACACTGGTTTAAATGAACAAAGGGTCGAGCGAAAATGACAAAGATTGCAAAACCATTAAAAATGTGTGAAATGAGAATCAATAGTGCCGAACTCTTTCTTGGTGGAAAAGCAATTCTATTTATGTACAGTAAGACCGCTCCGCTAGACATGCTTAGTTCATTCCTCTTTGGCAGTGGAAAACGAGTAGTAAGAAGTTACCCTTGTAGTATATATATAAAAGAATTAAATTTTAATTTATATAAGAAGAAAATTAAAAATATATTATTGAAGTTATACTTCTTTAGGTGCGTTATGAAAAAATGATGAGAGTGAAATTTTTAGATGCGCGCGCATCACTGTAACCCAAAAGTAACAGCATGAAGTTGGCCGCGGGCGCGTTATGAAAAAATCATGTGAGTGAAATTTCGAGATGCGCGCGCATCACTGTAACACAATAGTAACACCATGAAGTTGGCCGCGGGCGCGTTATGAATGTTAGTGGTTAATAATCCACCATTATTAGACATCTGTTCGAAAGGTACTTTGAACGATCCACGGAGCTCCATAAGATGATCGCGTTGTCAAAAACAATGTTGGCACGCTCGTCGCCTCTGATCACTGTTTTCATATTTATAATATTTATCCACATTTTTCTAGTTTCTATATAGACACAGCGTGTTTTAGTTACTTACAAGTGCTAATTACATATGGACTAATAACTTAAATTCAGTAGTGATTTTAATTGAATATTTTGAATATTTATTTAATTTTTCAAATTAAAACTGAACTTATTTGACTGTGTTAACTATCCTTTTCCAGTCCTTTTATTATTTTATTGTAATTATTAATTATTTGCATGTAATTAAAAATATTTTTAATGATGCTAAAGAAGTATAACTTCTCACGCGCGTACATAAGTTACACGCATCCATTTTTTAGATAAATGTTATTATGATGTATCGGAATTTTTAAATGACAAATTTTGAATTGTAATTATGTTTTATTATTATTATTTCTATTTTTTTGATTAATTTTGACATTTGATTATTGAATTGGAATCATTTGAATTTAACATGTTTTATTATAGACATATTTTGACAAATTTTGAATTGTAACTAGTATGTTTTTATTATTATTATTTCTATTTTTTGATTAATTTTGTCATTTTTTTTATTACATTGGAATCATTTGAATTTGAAATGTTTTATTATTGAATATTAAGATTTTTGACTTGATATTTAAATAACTTGATGAATTTGTATGCCCATATCGGCACGACATGTTATGCACCCCTAAAATCTTAACACCTTACTTACACATGTTGTCTCAAATAAATATTTTATATTTTTTGTAGTAAGAAGTTGCGATTATTGTAAGAGTTACCTTCGCACCAATAACTTACCTTCATAGCAGAAAATTACCTTCAATGATTGGCGGAAGGGATTCGAACGAGGCGCTAGTGTAAGATGTGTCTGTGTACTGCACTTCCTCTGGTTCTGGCTCCAGGTCTGTGGTAGCCAGCAGAACTTCATCTTGCAAGTCGGATTCTGGATAAAGAGGTTCATTTAAAAGAGTTCGTTCAAAAGGGTTTATGATATTATATAAGGATTTTTATTTGATGGAGGACAGGAGCTCGATGGCGTCAGTGGTTAGCGCGTTTGGCTGTGCGATTGTTGAAGTTAAGCAACTTTCGCAATGGTCGGTCATTGGATGGGTGATTAAAAAATTACTATTTCTCACTCCTCCGTGCTTAGGAAGGCACGTGAAACCATTGGTTCCGGCTGCATCTGCAGTGTAACACCCACCAATCCCACCGTGGTGAGTTATGGGCCAATCTTCCTATTCAATAAATATGGAAGGCCCTGTGCCCCAGCAGTGGGTACATTAATAGGCTGAAGATAATGATGATTATTTGATGACCGTCTTTGTGTGAGTGGTACATACACTGGTTTTTAAGAAGTCACCTGCTCAGAGGTCCTGGGTTCGAATACCGTGATGGCCACGTGGTGGGCCATAATGCGTTCTCTCTATGCCCCAACAGTGGGGACACTAACAGGCTGATAATGATGTTTTCAACTTCTTCAGTAAATGCTCAGCCCTGCTGTGCTTGGATGATCTTTTATACAACATGAACATTATTACATAATAGTTTTATTGAGGCGCTCGATAACGCAGGTGGTTGGCGCGTTCGTCCTGCGAACGTGGAAGTTAAGCTACTTTCGCAATGGTCGGTCATGTGATGGGTGATCTAAAACCTATAATCTCGAGCTCCTCCGTGCTTCGGAAGGCACGTTAAACTGTTGATCCCGGCTGCATTTGCAGTTGTTAGAACCAACGAAACCGCACTGGGCCCGCGTGGGGGGTAGGGGGGCCCCATCTCCCTATTCCATCCATACGGAAGGCTTATGCCCCAGCAGTGGGACATTAAAGGCTATAATGATAATTTCAAAATAACATACCAGCAAGTTCATTGCCCTCATCCTGAAAAAAAAAAGAGTGATATTTTTTTATATCTTTCATGAGTTGTATTTTTAATGCTAAAAAGGGTGACATGGTGACAAACATATTGATTCGCCCTGATATGGACTCCTGCAAAACCAGGAGTTATCACATTAATATTATAAAGGCGAAAGTTTGTGAGTGTGTATGTTTGTTACTTCTTCACGTCTAAACGGCTGGAGCGATTTTAATTAAATTTTGTATGGAGTTAGCTGACACCCTGGATTACCACATAGGCTACGTTTTACAGGTACAGCTAGTGTAATATATAGCAAGTAATACTTGCGCGGTTGCCGCTTAATAAAAGAATGTGTATTTGTTTCTTAGTGTCGCCGCACACGGGCCACCGACCACAACCACAAAACGCCGCCACCGGCATACTTCTTGTAGTTCTCATACATTTTATATGGACTCGCCGCACACGGTACGCCGGTGGCAGCCACACGCTACAAATCGTCGTTGCTCGCTTCTTGTGGCCCGCACCGGCCACTTAATGCGCCGATACAAAACGCCGCCACACGTCACTCGCGCGATTCCCCACCCCTCTCTCCCTTACCTTAGTCGGCCGCTGTCGCGCGCTTCAGCCACTTTAGTAGCTGCTTCTAGTTTTTCGTGGCGGCGTTTGTGGCTGTGGCGACACTTTACCGTTGAAACTTGTTTTATTTAAGAAGAATGTGTCTCCAATATAATATGCTTAGTAGTATAGTGGTATTGATATATTTGGTAGCTCACTGTCAATGTTTAGAGAATCTGCTGCAATCACTTGCATTTACAATACAATAAAATACCAAACACTTTATTGTACACCCCAAATAACATTACATTTAGTACATAACCAATTAAAACTAGTGTAACAATGGGCGGCCTTATCGCTGAGACCGATCTCTTCCAGACAACCTTTGGATGGAGAGAACTAGAAGGAAGTGGGAGGGACGGCGGAGTAAATCACTTGAGTGATATATGTTATAATATATGCAATTATATGCATACATAAATATAAATATACAATAAATAAATACATACATACACAGGGTTTTCTAGGGTAGAGAATTGCAATTCAAAAAAAACATTGATGTAATTGTAGTTTTTAATTTTAATATCAACTGTATATATATATTTTTAATTTGTATAACACTGCTATAATTATTAAGGTGCTATGTTGTGATCATAAATCAAAACGGTATTAGTAAATTATAAACAAAAAAAAAACTAAATGACATTGGAGAAATATTAGGTTTATTTTAATTTATAAACTGATTTTGTAATGATGACTATAATTTCTATTTTATTTTAATTACTAGTGGCCCGCCCTCGCTTCGCTTCGGTGTGGAGCTGTAGTGTAGACTATAGATTTTGTTCTCAGGCGTGTATTGTACACATTGGATTTATTTATTTAATTCTTTTTTTATGATTCTTTTTTATTGAATAGGTAATAATGTTAACTTTTTTAAATTAGGGATGAGTGAGAGTATTATAAACGTAAGAGTAAACAAATATAATCAGAATGCTCCGAACTGCTAAGCTATCAGGAGTTACACGTATTATTGTGAGTAAACCATAAAAGATAGACATATGCTGTTGCAGGATATTTTTTAGACAATTTTATGTAGAATATTTACGTCATACATGATTTCTATGTAACTTTAACCATTAAGGCTGCGCACGCGACGGAAGCTTAAAAAATGGAGTAACTTCTCCCGTTTTCCCAACATTTCCCTTCACTACTCTGCTCCTATTGATTGTAGCGTGATGAAATGTATACTATAACCTGCCCAGGAGTAAGAAGAATAATTGTACCAAGTTTCGTTAAAATCCGTTGAGTAGTTTTTGTTTCTATAAGGAACATACACACAGACAGACAGACAGACAGACAAAAATTTTACTGATTGCATTTTTGGCATCAGTATCGATCACTAATCACCCCCTGATAGTTATTTTGAATATATATTTCATGTACAGAATTGACCTCTCTACAGATTTATTATAAGTATAGAAGATGATTTCTGACAAATTCACTGAATGCTGTACACACCTATTAAAGGTGTATAGGTATAACTCGACTGTATTATTGAATGAATTATTTTGTCATTGCTTGTTATGTATATTCCCGTTCGAATTGGAGCGCCCGTCTGGCGAAACTACCTCCATCGTGCTGAAGACCACAGGAAAATAATCCAATATCATTCGCACCGTTGCCTACCCTGACCAAGGGCGGATCCAGCTTTGGCGCCAGGGGGGGGTCATATAGCCAGCTTTGGCGCCAGGGGGAGGTCATATAGCCAGCTTTGGCGCCAGGGGGGGGTCATATAGTCGTGGTATATTAAATATTGAAAGTACTTAAATAAAATCCCCCTGGGTTTGGTCCATCTGTACCCAGCCCAGGGGGGGATCATGACCCCCATGACCCCCCCCCCATGGATCCGCCCTTGACCCTGACCCAATCCCCTACCCCGCGGAGCCCTAGAACCCTACTCACCAGCAGAAACAAAACACCACCAATTGATAACCAAAGCACTACGCGTTCGCTTCGAATTGGCTGCTTCCACCCTCCCAGCTTCAGAATACCGCGTCTTAGACAGTCCCTATTAGTCGACCTTATTGGACGATGGTACCAGTTGATGTGCCTGTGATTGGCCATCGACGGCCAACTTGAAGCAAACGAGTAGTCTTTAACGCCACTAATGTGATTCAACTTTTCTTTACTTTGTTTTTGACCTGCCTATTTTCTTGTATACCTACTTTTATCTTTACTATCCTTCTATGCTTCCTCTTTCAGACTTCTGCCCGCGCCCCTGGCTGTATCAAATAGCAGCCTCGAGCACGGACAGTATATTATTAAACATGTTGAAATTTGATTAAAAATAACATAATTAAAAAGACATATTGTAAATAATCGAATAAAAAAAAATTATGAAAAAAAAACACCACCAAAAAGTAGCGCTATTCCGCTGTGATCTTTTGTAAGGTAGAGGTTGCTTCCCCAGACGGGCGCCCCAATCCGAGCGAATAATCCGCTATGCTCTATTAAGGGTTATACAGCTCCGTCGTACATTAATGAATATATTTATAATGATTCCTTTTTGTGACGTTTATTAACTATTCAACCTTTTGCCCCATCAATGATGAGCGGAATAAATGAATGTTAATTATGCTGCTGACATTATAGCGACTGCAGCAAAAGTAAGTAATGGCTAGATTACGATTTTTTTTATACAGCCAGGTAGGCTAACGACCCTACCCCAGCTGATGTTAAATGTTTGTTTCGAATGTTTCAAATCATCGGTTACAGCATGAAAATATTATGAGAGGATATAAATAATTATCAACTTCATTTTTTGTGTGTACCATTAAAAGATTTTATGATATTCTTGTGTTTTTTGGTAAGCTTACCTAATATGAAACATTTACAGGTAGAACCATCTAGCGTGAAGATTTTGAAATTTCGTTGCCGTATTTTCTCTAGAGGTAGACATAGTAACGGATGATAAATTTATCACCTGGATATTTTTCTGAATCTTTTGCATTGCAACCTACATCAGCCGACTATTAAAAAGTTTTATTTATCGTTAGTTGCACCAATTGCATTAACTGTTCAGTTAAAGTACCGGTTCGGTGAAAAAGGTGCACTATTTGACGATAGTTTTTGAAGTTATACTTCTTTAGGCGCGTTATGAAAAAATGATGAGAGTGAAATTTTAAGATGCGCGCGCATCACTGTAACACAAAAAAATTACTTTTGTGTTTACCGCACATTAAGAAAATCTACTAACAAAATAGAAATAGAATCTCTATTTAGTGGGTGCGAACGACTGCATTGTGAAGGCCTATCAAAAGTATTTATTAATCTGGAACAACGGAACCAAAGCGCGATTCAGGAGACTACAGCGCCATCTCTTGACCATTGGTGTAGTAGAACCAAAAACCACATCTTTATTTTTTGTAATAAAGTAACAGTTATAGTATTCATATTTATAATATCAAAAGTATTTATTAATCTGGAACAACGGAACCAAAGCGCGATTCAGGAGACTACAGCGCCATCTCTTGACCATTGGTGTAGTAGAACCAAAAACCACATCTTTATTTTTTGTAATAAAGTAACAGTTATAGGTATTCATATTTATAATATTTATCCACATGTTTCTAGTTTGTATATTCGGAATACGTGTTTGAGTTTCATATAAGTGCAAATCACATATGTTCTAATAAATTATATTCAGTAGCGATTTTAATTGAATATTTTGATTATTTATTTATTCTTTCAAATTAAAACTGAACTTTATTGACTGTGTCCTTTTCCAGACTTTTTATTAATTTATTGTAATTAATTATTTGCATGCAATTAAAAACTAATTTTAAACGATTCCAAAGAAGGATAACTTCTCACGCGCCTACATAAGTACACGCATCCATTTTTTATATTTTTTTTTATAGCGAGGTAGGCAAATGACTCTACCCCACCTGATGTTAAGTGGTGATAAAGTCCAAACGCGAAGATAGCTGGTACAGCAGTTATAAACTGCTACAACGACCATCCTCACCTTGCCGGCCTGCAAAAATGCTTCTTCACGCCTCTCTTAAAGGACCCCAGATTATAGGTCTATGGTGTCTAAAATAAGATCGTAATTTAACAGTAACTGTTCTAGTGTGACCAGTTAAAATTAACTTTAACCAGCTCTGTTTGCAACTCATATTTAGTAATCAGAATTCACAGGGATTTTCGTGTAAAATTATCATAGTTTCAGGACTTTGCATAAAAGCACGTAGTTCTACGTTCGCCCGCCACACGGTTAGCATAAATCACAATATTCCTTGAACATTCGACTGTATACGATAATTCTTGTGATGATTTGGTGAATACGTAACCAAACAATCACCAATCAACAGCTACACGGGTGTACAGGGTCAATGTTTACAATAATCCGCCTAAATTAATTCAATATATGATATACTTAGAGCATACGGTACCATACAATACAAAACTCTTAATTTTACACCACAGAAAAGATAAGACATTTAGTACATAAAGGATAGATAAAGTACAATAATGGGCGGTATTATCGCTCAAAGCGATTTCTTCCGGACAACCCGAGGATAGGATGGAGTTAAAAAAGAAGCTGGAAAGACGACGGCAATGTAAATATGTTAATAAATGAGCTTAGGAAGGGTTGTTTTAACAAAATTTAATTGTTTGCGATTGTTGAAGTTAAGCAACTTTCGCAGTGGTCGGACATTGGATGGGTGACCAATAATTTTCTATCTCGAGTTCCTCCGTGCTAAGGAAGGTACGTTAAGCCGTTGGTCCGTCTTGCATCTGCAGTCGTTAGCACCCACCAATCTGCACTGGGCGCGCGTGGCGGGTCATGGCCCAATCTTCCTATTCCATCCATAGGGATGGGGCCTGGGCCCCAGCAGTGGGGACATTAATAGGCTGATGTTGATGATGATGTATTCTTCTATTCGCGATTCGAGTTGATAGGTTTTTACTAACTATACTTGTCTAGTCCTAAAGATTAAATTCTTTGACTGGGCCGGCTTATCTACTTATGGTTCCCTCTCATCCTACAGTATTAGACTAAGAGGTATTACTTTGTAATTTAAGGGCTAACACGTTATTTTGTAATCGATTCTTGGTAAGTAAGATCAATGATAATTGTTTAGTCTAGCTCCGGACAAATAGAGATGTTTTTAAGACCTTTATAGTATTAAAACAAGATATACACTACCCAATTTCAAGGGCCCAATCAAAAGGTTGGGCGTGGCCCCTAGCTAGTGTGATGTTTTGACGACCTCCGTGGCCGAGTGGTTTGTACGTCGGGTTTCATAGTGTCACCGTCTCGAGAAATCCCGGGTTCGAATCCCGGTGGGGGCAGATGTTTGTGTGACGAATAAGAGCATTTGTTCTCCAGTCATGGATGTTTAATATGTATTTCTATATAAATATACTTATATATATACTGTATATGTATTCTATCCGTTACCCTAGTATCCCATAACACAAGCCTTACAGTGCTTATTTTGGGGCTAGGCTAATTGGTGTGAGTGTTGGAAATATTTATTTATTTAGGGTAAGCAATTATTACACCGCGCCGATCGCCCTAGATCGGGTCCCTTCCTCCCTAACTCACATTACACCACCTTTAGTCAGGGTAGGGTCCCTTAAAAATGGGTAGTGTAAATCCCGCATTCGACCAGAGGATGGAGACATCTATATGATTTAAATTCACGAATCCTCGAAGCCTCCAAATCGGCTTCACGGTACTTTTAAGTAAATAAGTTTCTAGGCCTCTAAATGGGCAACCTTTGTCTTAAGTTTAAGTTTAAAAAAATTAAGCATTGAGCTCTCGAAACTTGACAATCTACCTTTACAACAATAATATTTAAAATATACCTTTTTTTCCTTCTTGTTTTTCCCTTTGGCCATTTCTAACAATTTTGTAAGTTACAAAAATATAAAATAAATTACTAAGAAAGTAAAAAAAATATATAGGTACGGAATTTATCACTGCAAAATATTACTACAAAACAATTTCACACACATAATTAATGAGTTTGACGTGTTTGTATAGATTATGGATTTGAACTACTCTCTTTTCAGATGTTTGTCCATGGTTTAATATTTTGGAGGACCTCGATACAATGGCGTTATGGATAGCACATGCGGAAAATTCTTAAGAGCCCTTTCACAATTTTTGCAAAATATCGTTATCTTTGAAAAGATTTTGACTATTTCCAATACAGGTAAACAGTAGATTTATTCTTCCTATTGTAAGTTAATGTAGAATATTTGCAAATACTATTTTCCTTTTTTTTGTACTGATCGTTATAACGCAGCTAGTTTACGGAAAAACGATAATATGCACAATTTCAAACGCCTGAATCTCTTAATAATGTTCAATAAATTAGATCAAATTAATTACTACAAAATCAGAAATATGTTTTTGTTGTAACATCATGTATTAGAATTTTGATTTTTCCATCTCCTATTAAAAAAAAAAATCTAACCTCCGTGAATTTTCCCAAAAAATAATGCAGGTTTCCCTCGGATTTTGATATTGAATTAAATAGAATTACTATCCAAAACATTCATAAAACTAATCTACCTTCATTGAGCTACTGAAATATGTATATATACATCACTACATAGTATAAAACAAAGTCACTTTCTCTGTCCCTATGTCCCTTTGTATGCTTAAATCTTTGAAACTACGCAACGGATTTTGATGCGGTTTTTTTTAATAGATAGAGTGATTCAAGAGGAAGGTTTATATGTATAATACATGCATAATATAGTAGAGTAACACTGATAATTTTAGAGGTTTTTAATATAAGGTCGTAAATAAACAAATTTTTTTGCGCTTACATTGCAAACGCTGGCTGAACCTAACGAGATAGATCAAAATAATTTACTACAGTATTGTACACCTTAAAAAGGTCTACAAAAAAGTCCGCGATGGTATATGCCTATCTCTTTGGTATAACCCACAATAACCATTTTTTAATTACTTATTACGAGAAAATAATGGCTTATTTACGAACAAGCGATTTTAAGCAATACAGCATTAATCCTTATCCAATTAAGTACCTTAAATACATTGTGCGTGTAATATAGATCAATATGGCCCTTTACAGCATGTAATTTAAATGAATATTTTCGAAGATATTACAGATTTAAAATGCAGGAACATACCGGTTTGGGCGGTACTGGCCGGGGGGGCGGCGGGCGGCGGCGCGTGTCTTTAGTAATTAGATATTTAAAGAAAGTCATTGTGTTTAATAGAATCTTGAGAACAAAAATATAGTCTAAACTACAGCTCTACACCAAAGCGAAGCGAGGGCGGGCCACTAGTATATTTATAATTAGTTCATTCATAATTATTTAATAAGACTCGAAACATCACCCGTAAAATGCAATATATACTAGTGCAAATCTACCTACGTGCTGATCAGTACGGCAGCGGCGCAATTTTGTAAACGGGCTCCTAACTCCCTTATTAATAAACACGGAATAAGCTTAGACTAGTTACGCCGTTTTTTGTTCATGTCACTCAAATGCCAATTGTCTTTCAATGAACAGAGACTAAACATGGAGTATCTAATCTAAGCTAATTCTTCGTTTATTAATAAGGGAGTAGGAGTTTTGCGAAAATTCGATTTATCAAATCATTCCACGACATGCAACACCAGTTTTTAAGGCATCCGTCGTCTACTCAGAGGTCCTGGGTTCATTATGAAATTCAGTACACATACAGCTATTATGATGTTGGCATACGCTAAGAAAGGATTTTCCAAAACTCACCCCCTAAGAGGGTAGAACGGGTGTTCAAGTTTGTATGGAGCACCAAGATTGCAAGTTTAATCCTTTAACGAAATACAAAATGATGTAGAGTTTGTTTTATTTACTGAGTTTGAAGAGCTCGATGGCGCCAGTGGTTAGCGCGTTCGGCTGCGGTCGTTGAAGTTGAGCAACTTTCGCAGTGGTCGGTCATTGGATGGGTGACCAAAACTGTACTACCTCGAGCTCCACCGTGCTTCGGTAGACACGTTAAGCCGTTGGTCCCGGCTGCATCTGCAGTCGTTAGCACCCACCAACCCGCACTGGGCCCGCGTGGTGGGTCATGGCCCAATCTCCCTACTCCATCCATATGGAAGGCCTGTACCGCAGCAGTGGGGACACTAATAGGCTGATGATGATGATGACTGAGTTTGACATTCATTAATTCACCTAAAATCAAATGTAACTCGCGAAGCCTAGTCATCTTCTAATATATAAAATTCTCGTGTTACGGTGTGCGTAATTGAACTACTCCGTAATGGCTCGACCGATTATTGTGAATTTTTATATGCATACTAGCTGACCCAGCGTACTCCGTATTGCTTACAATTATTTGGAAGAAATGATAAACGACGAACGTCCAATGTTTGACAGGAATATACACATAGCCATCTGTCGGATCCAATGTTAAACATTCCAAAATCAACAACTACTAATAAATTAAAAATTAATTAAAAAAACATTGTCCAGCGGACAAAATTGTGAATCTAAACCATTCTCAGATCCCCTTGAACACACACAAAAAATTTCATCAAAATCGGTCCAGTCGTTTAAGAGAAGTTCAGTGACATACACACTCACAGAAGAATTATATATATAAAGATTCAGTGGTTCTGAGAATCGGACAACATCTATTTATTCATCCCCCTAAATGTTAAGGGGGATGAATAAATTCCCTTAATTTTGTTTTTGGACAATTTTTTCGTTTTATTTTTCATGATACATCATACAAAAATACATTTAACCCTAAATTGTCACCCTTTCCACCACCAACCCCTATTTTTTATGGCGGTACGATGTTCGCTGGGACAGCTAGTATTATATCAGGGGTATACAATCAAAGTTGGTAAGGTGCACAAAATTTGAAAAGAGAGATTTAAATTACAACACATTCATTGCCGTATCTATATTTATCTAGTAGAATAATTTTATACAAATTCTAAAAACCTCGACTGTTATTTCAAATTGAAAATTGACTCTACAAACAAATGTAGCAAAGTCCAAGTGAGTTGAGTTTCAATTTGCGTAAAGTCTTTTTCGACCAATAGGAAGGCTCCATTGCCCCCATTTCACTGACAACTGTCATGGCCGCCTTTGATTGACAGTTACAAACTTAGTAAAGTCCAAAACATGGACTTTTTGGCGGAATCGGGAAGCGTCACTTTAGCAGTGCTGTGGCGGATGTTAGTGTCTAATAATGGTGGATTATTAACCACTAAGTGTTCGGGAACATGCACAAGTGTTGGCAAGTGAAACAAAATAGCGGAAAGTGTCTTTCGACCTTCCCTCAAGAAGTCCACGGGGAGGTTCCAGTAAACTCCACACTTTTACTGAAACATGGGAAAAGGGGGATTGACTTGACTGCCTCTTACTTTGACTTGACTTATCACTTTGACCACGAGTGCTATAGTATTTGTATACACCTACATTTAACACTTGACATTGGCTAAATGCACAAGCCGTGCGAAGCCATTTAGAAAAAAAAGTCCAAAACTTGGTAACAAAACTGGGAAAATCCATCTTATATTTAAGGTTTTACTCAAAAGTATTGAATTGAACTTGATGAACACTTGTATTTTCTTATTGTATAACATTCTGCAAATAAATAATGTTTAACATTAGAATAGTTACATGTAATTATTAAAATAATCGTTTTTATCGTTTACTGAAAATTTTGGCAAGGTGGACTTTACCAACTTTGATTGTATACCCCTCATATAATAGTCATGGATAAATGTTTTTCACTTCGCTTATGCGTCTGTATGGCAGACCACAGACGCATTGTGGCGTAATCATAAATAATTTATAACTCCAGTACAGTAACGAAATAATAGCCAAGGTTTTTCCTTTTAACTGGGCTACGATTACTTACTTGATATCTAAACATTTAATTATATGTCGAAGTATCAATATTATAAACGTAAGTACTAACAAAATGATCTTTTTCTGATATAATGTTTTTATTTAAATTAATCTATGGTCACATCGACGGACCAGATATTTTAGAGCATTTTGTATAATAGCCGGATGCAAAATCGAAAGACTTTTGTACTGCTGCAGCTCAGCAGCAGGATAAATACGTCCCTGACTTTCATCAATTTCTTGACTTGGACTTTCAGCCTATTAATGTCCCCACTGCTGGGGCACAGGCCTTCCCTATGGATGGAATTTGCAGATTGGGCCATGAACCTCCACGTGGGCCCAGTGTGGATTGGCGGGTGCAGAAGTATCCGCCACCAACAGCTCAACGTGCCTTCCGAAGCACGGAGGAACTCGAGATAATAGATTTTTGGTCACCCATCCAATGACCGACAACTGCGAAAGTTGCTTATCTTCAACGATCGCAGCCGAACGCGAAGCTACGAAGTAAATAGGTGGCTACCAGGTTCGACAGCGGGATGGTCCTTGTCGGACACAGGTGTAAAATTGTACTTTTTAGTGAGAACCTTTCATTTTTGTTTGATGGTCGCCAATCCCAGGGATCCAATCGCCTAAACGTGGAAGAATCTCTAAACGGGGACCCCGCGGTTTCGCACTAAGCAGCTTAGAGGGTATTCGCAGGGTTTTGTAGCGGATATTATGACGTAAAGCGCTCGTAAGAGTTACGGGGTCCTCAGTGGGCAGCCACTGTGGGGGCTCGTAAAGCTTGCGGGAGACCGGTGTGAGGTCCGTTCGGCGGTGTGCCTTTTAAAGGCGCCGTCGTCTTAAAACCTCTAGGTTTCGCATGGAGTAGGCCAACCTCTTAGTTTCCCCACTCCTGTCTTCGGCAAGAAAATGATGTTATCATTGTTGCGTGGTTGTCAGACTTCACTTTTATTCTTTTTTGACTTACCATACCTTGTTACCTCCTCTAGACATGAAAATAATAT